TGGAAAATATGAACACAAAAGCGCGATCGTAGTTAATCAGAGATTAAAGGCTCTTCTTCCCAGAACATGGCGTATCTGATCAAGTGATTTCTTGTTTGCTATTTGACTATGGATTGCGTGATATGTTGTTTCAAGGCAACACTTGTTGGTATCATTGGTCTTGAGGGGGTTATACCGTAGTCAAACGAAGGTGAATGGCCATGACAATCAAGCATTTAATCCAACTTTTGTTAGCATTAATTTATATAAGGATTTTATCATAGGGAGGCGAAGGTGCAATACCAAAATAGTATTCAAGCATCTAGCCCAATACTTGATAACAGCGATTTTAAAGGTGGTTTTACCGTAGCGAAGCCAAAATGTAAAGTTTTAGTGTTTAAATAGCATATTCGCTTTCTCATTTCCATTACCATTAGCAGGCTTACCGACAACATAATAACGCATCAAAGTTTACATGAGTTAGTCTCACCGAAATTGTGGAATACATCCACTATGATCTGCATTCCGACCGTTCATCCAGTTACCAGATTTAGATATAAACTGTATGTACGCTGGATTAGATGTACGATATCGATTTATACTATAAGAAGATATGGACTTCAGATACGCTAGTACTATAAGATTCGTTCTATATAAGATATAGGCTATAGTTGGCACCACGGACATGGATGGCACTATAGACTTATACTTGTATTCCGACATTCACTACGGATGTTTACCATATCTGGATAAGTGCCAAGATTAATGCAATATGAGCTTGTTGCTTCAGATGTGCACTTTATGATCCACGCTATAAGACACATGCTTATATTCGTGATACTAGCTACAGATACTTTATGTACTACAGACTTGTACTATATATGAGACATGCTATAGACATGCATACGATATGCTATAGACATGTCATATATCCAGATACATGCTAAAGATGTATGCTCAGCTATATACACTCGGATATGTACTATTGATATAGACTAAGGAGACTGTACCTATCGGATACATGCTACTATATCGATATTAATTATCCTTATGGAAAGGATAGATCAGGGTACTTCGGATGAGAGTCTAATTATTCATCCAGGCAAAGCTAAATCATAATTAGCTTGCTGGAGTTGTCTTTTAGCATGATTAGACATTAGTTGATCTGAGTTGACTTATTTGTCAATCTAATTAATAGAACTTTTATCCATTGTTATAGTATATAAGAAGGATCATCTACCTGGCCAGTAGAGAGACTTCAGTTTACTTTACATCTGTCAGTTTGATAATAAAATATACCTTTATCAAGTTGACATTACTGTTTTTTTTTTATTCTTTTTTTTCCGTGAATTTTAGTCTATCAAGCCTCAAATTCCACACCTTTATCAAGTTGACTTTACTGTTTTTTTTATTCTTTTTTTTCCGTGAATTTTAGTCTATAAAGCCTCAAATTCCACAGGTTCCATACTTCAATAACAAACATCACACTTTAAACCATCAAAGTTACATTAAACCATGCTATGACGATAGCTCACCCAAGCCCATCAAAGTTACTCAAATCAACCCTTATGGCCAGTGCTCTTGCATTGATTACCACTTTAAATCAAACGTCAACAACATTTGCCAGATATCGCAGTAGCAGCACCTATTGCTCTCTAACATCACTAATTCTACAAGCTAGTTGCAAATGTATAAATACTCTTCTTCTATTTTTTTACTCAATTCCAGGATCGTCAGTTCATTTTATACACAAATAAAATACAGTTGATTTCTATTATATTTTACTATTGCTTTATTTTTTTGTGAAATCTATTCAAACCTGATTTCACTGCAAGAATAAAAGCATCGATAACTTAGAGATTGAGCTTCGTACAATGCAGAATATCAGGGACATTAGACCGAATTGTAATGCACTTACTCTTCTGGCAACGCAACCCACTACACCGTCGTTTTAGGTCGAATTCTGTTCAAATCTAGCCATTTTCAAGCACAAATATCTCATGCCACAAAGCGTTTTGAGCGCTTGAAATAGCTTCACACGTCTTCCGTTGGCTACGCTTTACTTCTGGATGCTTTATCTCAATTTTTTTTGGGTCGTTGCAAATTCATGAAAATTATCGTTTTTCCATGAGTATTAGCAAGGGAAAATTTTTGAAAATCAAACGATCGCGTTTTTCACGTCAAAAGTGAAGACTTTTCTTATAATACATATCGGACCAAATTGATCGTACAGATGAAATGCAACATTGGAAACTCTTTCTATGAGACTTTCATATGCTAAATTTTGACATATTCACAGAAAGCCTGTTTTCATATTTTTGGAAATTGCTCATTATTTTTGGCGTGAAAGCTGAAAGTAATCAGCACCATTTGATGCGGCTTCTTTAGTCCTCTAGAAATATATTAGAGAGTTGGGTGTGGCAACGACAGTTTTCATAGTCAAATTTAGCAAAAACGGTTAAAGATTGTGAGATCAAGTCAAGTTTGAACACGAAAATACCACTGCATAATTTCAAATTAAACTACCGCAATACGGCTGCTACGGTACAAGACTGAGATAAATCTACTGGTCGTGACGTCGGATAGGGTGCCCTCTCATTTCTTCATGCCTCCGTTTTTTACCCTTTTTGCAAAACGCGTTTTAGTATCAAGCTATGGTGGTTTTGGACACCGTTTGATTGATAATAACACTGTAGCTTCCGACAACTCTGTCTTGTACTGTTGGAAGAACTTGACACTGCTTCTTTGAAGTGGAATATATTAGGTACCATTCGATAACGAGCACTGGAAGGTGTAGAAGTAACATTAATTCAGTTTGTTTATTAGGCTTTAATAATTTCTTGCTTGTTTGAGTGCTGCTGCCATTACTTCTCTGCCATTTCTGCTGCCTGTTTCTTTGGTTTATCATGTCTGGTGATTGCTTCTTTGGCCTTTGTCTGGTCTCTGCTGGTATCGCTTGTTCTTTGGTTTGTCTACGGTACTGGTGCTGCTGCTGCTGCTGCTATTACGGTCTTTCCTGGTCTACTGTGTTTGGTGCAAGCTCATTGTCTGGTCTATATCTGGTGGTTGCATATCTTCTGGTCTATCTACGGTGGTGGTAGGTGGTAAGTATCTTCTTTCTTCTGGCCGCAATAATATAAAACTTCTTTGAACGTTTGTATTATTGCTTCCTTTCTCATCATGTTACTGCATTCATGGTGTTTACTTTTTTGTTGCGTTTTTCCTCTTCTTTTGTTGGTTGTATTGCTTTACATCCAACTATTACCATGCATGTTGCTCATGTATGGATTTCTGTTGCAACAACAACGAGCTCTTCTGAGCGTCTCTGATGTTGTGTTTGTTATACTTTTCTTTGACTCACTTTGTGAGAGTATCCCTCTTTTGCCTACGTACTACTATACTCCTCATATAGCAGTATGTTCTTTTCTTCTTTCTTTTTTTATTATTATGTTTCTTTGAAGCATACCTTTTTCTTACGTTGTGTGGATGTGCCTATCCCTGAAGCTCAACAAGACTCTATCCGAGACTAGGAGGTAGATAGGCTGCCTTCACTTGGTTATCACTACTTACTTTAGTGATGATTGAGGGTCTCAATGCCAGAATTTAGAGCTAGGTGGTGTAAGTAAGGCATGCTCTAGCACCTGAGGGAAATTTGATAATAGCAGCGGCTATATTGCTATTATAGCGGCGCTTAAAATTTTGCCTCACATCAAAACAGAGGGAAACCCTCGCAAATTTTTTTTAGGTCAGCGGAGTTTTCAAGCGATTTGATTGGCTCAGAGGTTTAGGGACCGAAGGATTCTAGCTAGTTGATCTCCTATTGATCTGTCATTTATTATAATTTTGCGTTTGTAATAAAAGCGTATCTAAATAAATACAATTTAAGTTGTTCTTTATTCAAAAGTAAGACAAGAAGCAATTGTTTGATCTGGCATCCATTTCGCAGTTAGGTGTGTGGGATGTCTCTTAAAGTTATTTTATAAGGAAGTCATAATGCATAGGAACTACAGTCCTTTAGCATGCACAGTGCTGTTTGTGTTGTTGTTACAACGACATCTTCTAGCTATCACCCTATTGAACAATCGTTTTTACTGCTAAAAACTTTAGTATAACGTTTTATGCTTGAAAGACAATATCTTTTTCTCAACTGAAAATGCATTACGCTATTATAAAAGTATTTACTTTCTTCGCAACCTCCTTCCAAAAGCATTGCTGTAAGAGTCAAATGAATTTATTAGACAGCTAACATCTTTTGCGGCAACATTGATTTTGGTGCAGTGCAATCGGGTTTAAACAAAAAATAAAGCAAATGTAAAATATAACAGAAATCAACTGTATTTTATTGTGTATAGAATGACCTGAAGATCCTGGAATTGATTAAAAAAGAAGAGTGTTAATATATATGTCGTAACTTCAAGTTCTCAATGGGTGCTTTACATGTTGATGAATCATGATGCATATAAGATTAGGTTCAAAGCAATGGAAATAATCGATATACGGACAGGTGCTATATTAGCATTCACTCTTTCAACTTCAACGTATGCGACACAACATTATCACCCTGTGCATAACTGCATTTGACACCCACAGTAAGGCTAGTGATGGTATACTCTAAGTTTATGGACTCTTCCCTATTTAATTTTCGGTATATTGAGACATCCAGAGATGAGCTTTACTGTTTACACCAGGGATTCTATCCCTAAATCTAGAGAGTGCGCCTTAATGTAGTATAAGGCGCACGCTCCTCAAAGAGCCAAGTACAAACAGCAGTCGCAGGCACAGCTATTCTCATAATTAAAGCTAACATGTTTTTGATGTTAGCCATATTGACTCATACAATTTTGTACTTGATCACAAGTACTTGCCCACATTGACTACATGTGCTTGAATGCTGACATTGGAGCCTCCACAATTGAGTCTCAAACCAGGCAACTATCAAACACACCATGATCAGTTTGGGGTTGTACATGGGGAATATTTTTTATTTTACAGCTCTTCTTCCTTCTTATATATGATTGTCAATGGGTAATCAAGTGTCAACGAGAAAGAAAAAGACATCATCCGAGAAAAGGAACAAGACATCAAGTGTTACCTCAGCAGCGAGGACCTTCACCGACAGTTTCAACAACGGATCAACAGTATCTTCAAATCAGCCCAAATTTACGGCCGAAGTGTTTCCCAGCACAACACTGGAGGCCAACAGACAGCAAGGAGAGCACTATCTTTTGAAACATGTATTTCAAACGAGCTACTTTGCGCCGATAGACGACATTTTATCCAAGCCAGATACGGCCTGTCTTGATATCGGATGTGGAGCACATGCTTCTTGGCTGGTTGACATTGCGAACGATTTTCCGAGTTGTACATTTCATGGCTTTGATATCATTCAACCATTTTCACTGGATGAAGACAACGCTGACATAACTTTCCATATACCCAGTAACTGCCAAGTCAAAAAGCAAGATCTTTTTGACGGCTTTGGATATCCTGACAGCTCATTTGATTACACTCACCAAAGAACGATGCATTTGATTTACCACAGTGACAAAGTGCCTTGGATGTTTACAGAGCTGATGCGTGTGACAAAGGAGAATGGCTGGATAGAGTTGGTGGAGCCTGAAGTGATGCCTAAACGAGCAGGCCCTATCTTTGGAAAAATGATGGTTGGAAGTATGTCAAAAAATCCATGGGTAGATTTATATCAAATTAACTTGGAAATCATAGTTCGTTCCTTTTTAAAAGACAAGTTGGGCAATTCATATCTTCAAGCCAATTCACTATGCAAAAGGATGGAGGACAGCGGAATAGTAGATATAAAATCAGACTATGGATCTGTCCCTGTGTGTTGGGGCGGTTATATTGGCAAACTCGTTTATGAGGTATGAATAGATGATGCACGGTTTGTGTTTTGTCCATCTAAAACTTGCTTTTTGTAGGACATGCTGCTGATGTTTCAACATTTGGGTCCAACTTTGTATGAATATCTGGATTTTGAAGGCGAATTCAACAAGGAAGTTTACGATGCTTTGATAGACAGTGCGTTTGATGAATGCGTCGAGTTCCAAACCTTTTTCAACGTACGATGGGCTTATGGTAGAAAGCCCTCTACTACGACTAATACTACCACTAACACTATGGCAGCACCTACAAATGTACAATAAGTCCCTTAACTAATAGATATATATGACACAAATTAATTTAATATTGCCACCTACTTATGAAGCTATATGAATAAATCTCAACCAGCTTGTATTTTTTTTTACATGACATTCTGCATCTTATTCATGTTCATGCCTTTTGCGTCTTGTTATTTCAGATCCAAACGAGGAAAAGTGTTTGATTGCCTTGAAAAATGATAGGGATTTCTGTATGGTGTATCTGGAAATAATGAAGAGCGCACACTCCAAAAGTGTTCTTGATATTCTTACTACATTACACATCGTTGATCTGATAGTAACCATCAAGTGTCAGAAGCACTGTCTTCCTCACAAGTCACGAGTACAATAAATGTAATCTGAAAATGCAATTTCTATTGATTTCTTTTACTTTCTATCACATCAACTATCCGATATGAACGTTTCAGAAGCAACAAAAAAGACAGCAGATTTGTTTGCCAAGGCTAATGATGCTTTCTTTGACGATGACTACGACGAGGCTTTGACCTTGTTTACCGATTTAGTGACATTGGAGCCTGAAAATGCAGAATTTCTTTTAAAGAGGTTTGTTATGAAAGATGGTCCTAGTACGCGCGAGGTGCAATTGACTCATTGTATGCACATATTAGATGTCAGGTCCATCAAAAATTGAATCATTTAGAATGTGCTTTGGAAGACGGCAACAGGGCTTTGGAGTTGTTGAAGCAAGGCTCTCGTAGTTTATTGGCCAGAGCTCATTTGCAACTTGGGTAAGACCACATTTATGCAAACGTAATTTGATGTCAATTTCATTTACCTCGTTGATATAGTATCACTTTACATCGTTTGAATCGATTCACTGAAGCGCAGAAGCATCTTGAGCAATCCAAAGAGCTGAATCCTAACGAAAAAACCTTGGTGACATGGTTGAGGAAGAATGCTGAAAAGCTACCCAAGGTAGAAGAGAAACCAGAGGCTGTCAATCCTCCCCCTGCTGCTGCCGCTGCTGCTCCTATACCCAGTGCTCCCAAGGCAGCTGGAAGGTATGGCTCTGGTATTATTTGAGCTCGAAAAGAGTATACTGACCTCTTCTTTCAGACATGAATGGTTTCAAAACGATACATTTGTCACTATCGAAGTGTTCCTAAAGCAAGTTAAACCTGAGCATGTGGATCTTAACTTTTTCGAGAATTCAGTAAGTGACGATTCAATCAATCATGCAACTCATCTAATAGTTGTATCCAGCTGTCATTGAGTGTTAAATTACCAAACGGATCCAACTATTCCCTTGAACTTGATCCACTCGCACACAGCGTTATTCCCAAAGAATGTACCTACAAGATCTTATCCACAAAGATTGAGATCAAGTTAAAGAAGGCCATGGCTGGTATCATGTGGGGAGCATTGGAAAGTGATAATGATCAGGGAACTGCTAGTAAGCATGGTATGCCGTCTTGAAGTGAAGATGCGGATCTAACACATGTGTACCTGAATAGTGGCTCAAACATCATCCATCGCTAAACCCAAGAAGGATTGGAACAAACTCACCAAAGAAGTCGAAGAAGAGAAACCAGAAGGAGAACAAGCATTGAACGCATTATTCCAGCAAATCTACAAAGACGCAGATCCTGATACACGACGAGCCATGATGAAGAGTTTTGTCGAGAGTAACGGTACATGTCTTTCTACCAACTGGGCTGAAATTGGAGCCAAAAAGACCGAGATCAAGCCTCCAGAGGGTATGATTGCTAAAAAGGCAAGTTGATATTATTCATGCGCATATTCAAGATTTGACACTTATACGTTTATTTGTGATTAGTATGAGTAAAATTAACTGCCTTGGGCTTTCATGTGCCGAATAGTTTGTGTGGGGAACAGTAGTTTCCTTTTTCACGCATTTGTCAATGACAATTCGTTTTACTCAGCGTGGAATTCACACACACATAACACACAAGATGATTGAAACAAAATAAAGTAGCTCTTTTCTTCTCTCTCTATCTACATTTTTTGTATCCTTTTATTCTTTTGCTTTCAGTTGGGTAATTGTAGTTGAAACATATCACATCTAGTCAACAAAGTCATGTCTATTACAACGCCTATTTATAAAGTCCTCATTGCAAATCGTGGTGAAATTGCTTGTCGAGTCATTCGTACCTGTAGAAGATTAGGTATTGTCACTGTTGCCGTTTATTCTGACAGGTAAAATGATAAAAACTCGTAATGATCTGCAATCTCAATCTATTCAATTATATCAGTGATGAGAATGCACCTTTTGTAAAAATGGCTGATGAAGCGTATCACATCGGCCCTTCAATTGCAGCAGAATCGTACCTGAATGGAGACAAAATCATTGCTGTTGCAAAGAGATCTGGAGCAGATGCTCTTCATCCAGGCTATGGTTTTTTGTCTGAAAATGCCGATTTCGCTGAAAAAGTGATCAATGCTGGCATCAATTTCATCGGCCCTTTGCCTGACAATATTCGTGTTATCGGTGATAAGATTGCAGCCAAAGTTTTCATTACAGAAAATGCTTCATCGATTCCTTTGATTCCAGGTTACAACGGCAAAGACCAATCAGTGGACCGTTTGGAGAGCGAAGCCAAGAGAATTGGTATGTGTCGAGAGGCAAGAGTTTGAGGTTTGCATTAATTTTACTCTATTTGAATGCAGAATTTCCTGTGCTGTTGAAAGCAAGTGCTGGCGGTGGTGGTAAAGGCATGCGAGCAGTTTATGAAACCAGCAAGTAAGTATAGAGCTGACATGTAACACTGCTCTTATTGACAATGATGTCAGATTGAAGGAAGAAATTGAAGCTGCTCAAGGCGAATCTTTGCGTGCATTTGGCTCGGATCGACTGTTGATTGAAAAGTATTTTGAAAGTATTCGCCATGTTGAGGTACCAAGTTGCTGTTATCAACGTTTTATCACAACACCTGTCTTATTTTTCCCATATTCCAGATTCAGATCTTTGGCGACAAGCATGGCAATGTCTACCATATCAACGAACGTGATTGTTCAGTGCAAAGAAGACATCAAAAAGTTGTAGAGGTATATAAGTTTTCCCCACATTTCATGCTTTTTGTCATTTGTTTTAACCCCAAAATGGGAATTCATTTGAAAATCCAAATAGGAAACACCCTCTCCTGCCGTAGATGCTGAACTTCGTGCTGCCATGACAAGTGCAGCTGTCGAATTGGGCCGCAAACTGGGCTACGTTGGTGCTGGTACCGCAGAATTCATTTTGGTATGTATACTGTGTCATTGACATTGATAGAAATGGCTGTATTAACCCACTCAAATTCAGGACGAGCATACCAAGAAATTCTATTTTTTGGAATTAAACACTCGTCTTCAAGTGGAGCATCCCATCACGGAAGCTATTTCTGGCTTGGATCTTGTCGAGTTGCAGCTACTGGTCGCTCAAGGTGCTAATCTCAAAGAACTGGGCGTGTTGGACAACATCCAGTACAATGGCCATGCCATCGAAGTGAGATTGTGTGCTGAGGATCCTGACAATGACTTTGGCCCTAGAACAGGTGTTATTCACAAATGGAGTCCTGCTGATGCTGCCAAGTACATTCCTGGTGTTCGTTTCGATACGGGTGTCGAGGACGGTTCTGCGATCTCCATCTTTTATGACTCCATGGTTGCCAAGGTCATTGTCCATGCTCCTACTCGCGCTGAAGCTGTCCGTCGCATGAGCGCTGTACTGGCCAGAACTGTTATTGTGGGCGTTACTACCAACCAAAAGTTCTTGATCAGTATCATGAATAACCCTCGCTTCCAGTCTGGCACATTTGATACAAATTTTATCCAACAAGAAAAGGAACGTCTCTTCCCTGTTCCTCATATTAATGATGTCAAGAACAGTATGGTCGCTGCCCTTTTATTTGACTGGACTATTCGTCGTAGCCAGCAAGTTCATTTAAAGAACATCCAAACTGGTTGGCGTAACGTAAAATGGCGCAACAAGCGCATTGATTTCGCTGTCAATCACGGCCAAGAGCTTCAAATTCAATACGACTACTTGGGCCAACCAGGAAATGACAAGAGACATGTATTCAAGGCACACGTACTGGACAAGGAGTCTTCCAAAGCAGGCGAGGATGTTGCTGAACTGCCCATTGATATTGTTCTATTTGAGAATGATCTAGGCAAGGAGGTTGCTGGTCCAAGAGGCATCCACGGCTGCAAGGGCTTATTGCGGTGTACTATTGGTAACTATCTGTTGCGTGCAGTGCAAATCTCCACTTTGCTCACTCCTTTTTACATCAAATAGATGGCGCTCAACAGCACTTTTACATTGCTGAGGATGTCAAGGATGTCAATGAAAAGTCGGTCTTTGTGCATGATTTTGTTCGCGGCCATCAAGTCGAGTTGGTCAAATTGGATCGCCTCAAGAGTAAATCTGCTGCTGCTGAGGACGACAGAGTGACACCATACACCTCGTCTATGCCCTGCCGTGTGCTCAAGGTGCTTGCTCCAAGCGGCACTGTCGTCAAGAAGAACACTCCTCTCTTGTCGATTGAGTCCATGAAAACTGAGGTCAAGATTCTTAGTCGTCATGATGGTGTTGTCACTATGAGGGTGGAGGAAAATCAACTGGTGGATGCTAGAGTGCTCTTGTGTTCTGTCGATGATGCAAAGAAATAAAGCCAGTGTGTACATTTCAACGAAATATTTATTCTTTAAGCTATATCTTAAACTCTCAAGTTCAATTTGTGTTCCATAGTTGCATGTATATCCAAAGAATCGACTGACATGGCAGGATCTAATGAAATGAGTTAGTAAAAGCATGTCATGGTCGTAACCAGCAAGTATCCTTACCATTGAGGAAATCTTCGTAATCAATGGTCTCATCCTTTCCCATTAGAATATCTAAATGCATGTTGGAGGAGGGGAGAACAGGCATACGTTGACGCTAAAATAAGAAAAAAAAAAAAAAAAAAGAAAAAGCACTCGCTCATCAGTATCCACAGCAACATACACTCCATGGCCATAGTAATTACCTTTTCAACTATACTCTTTTCCATCATCATCTTTACAGGTGCATGCATACCATAAGCTTGACGCGCCAAATTCAGTTTCAACTCCCATTGTGTTTCATCCCACTATTCATTCCATCGTCAATACATTTCCAAGCGCATGGTCATGGATATATACGTACTTGGTTTAATCTGCTTTCGAGAGGATGACCGGGCAAGACCTCAGTCTTGATCGAACGAGTACCATAACGTAATGTATCATGGCCACCGAATTCTGAATGAGTAGTACTCAAGGTACTGATAGCTTTCTCTGGGTGTGATTCGGGTGCAATACGAAGAGCCTATATAAACACGACGAGGTGAGTAATAGTGCGAGTATATAACAATAGTGCCGGTCTATACCATTGTATAATATGTTTTTTGATTAAAGAGTAGGTTGGAACAAAATGCAATACAAAGCAACCTTATAATCCACAGAACGCTTGCGCGTCTTGGTTATTACCAGTCACCGCAAATCGTCATTGATTCATTCGGTACCTTGATTTAACGGCATTATGCTTGTGTGCGTTATAAGATATCGAGTTCTTGGATTACGTAGAGGAAATTCTAGTGTCAAATATGCTTTTTGATTGAGAAAAGATGGCTTAATCAAACCATGCAAAGAGTAGCTAGCATCCGCAATGTTCAGTAGACACCCAGAGCTAGATTCTCTTTCGAAAAGCGATACTCATTCAATGCCTCTTAAGCAAGGCATATATTTGTTAGACACTCAACACTTGTGGTTGATAGATGTAAAAAGTTGCTCATTACTTTGCATATCTCTGTTTGATCTGGTGCTCAGGCCAGGATGAAAAGTTTTTCTGTAAGACCAAAGTAAAGTACATCATGCAAGAAAAAATTTCTCGTCAAATGCTTTGTGATAATGGATGCGCATGCCGCTTAATGCTCAACACCACTGCAAATGATGGGATACTTTTCGTGCCTTCAAAAACATGCATTAGAGTGTCAGGCTATGGTGCTGACCAAAGAATGCATCACCAAACAAATACAGGATCAAACGAGAAGCCCTTGGAAATTTCCCACCAAACGAATTGCTGGAGGTCATTTATGCTTTTAGTGTGTGAACATCCTCGGAGAAAACGGCGCGTATCTTGCAAATAAAAACCCCTAGGTGTGCAGGAAAAGCATCATTAAGAGCAGGAAAACCTCCATTGCAGAGTAGCACAATGCTGATGATTATATAAAACTAGCTTTGTCTCAGAAGAAACTGTTCTTTTTTTTTTTTTTTTTTTTTTTTCATCATTCTTACATTTATCCACAACAATGGGGCCCATTCCTAAATCCATCGTCGACGCACATGTTCATTTCTGGCATCCTGATAAAGTCAACGTGTCCTGGGTGAGAGGCAGCTCATTCGATACGCACAAAGACGCAACTGAATACTCTGAACAAGTAAAGAAAGTGCATGTGGATAAAGCCATTTATGTAGAAACTGATGTGGATTGCCATCACGGTCTAGTGGAGGCAGATTGGATCACACAATACGCGGAGCAACTACAATCAACCGAGGTATTTGGAGGTATTGGCGGCATCGTAGCATTCGCACCTGTTCATCAAGGTGATCATGTAAACGGTTACCTGCGTACGTTAATGCGTATCACCAACAGCAGATTAAAAGGTGTGCGTTACTTGATCCAGGATCCCACCAAGGATCCTCAGCGGGTACTACATGGCGACTTTATTCGAGGTGTCCAGCTTCTGGAATCGTATAATCTGAGTTTTGACTTGAACATCAATTGCAACGATTCTCCTGAACAGTTTCCTCCTTTGAAATCACTTGTAGCACAGTGTCCTCGTGTCCAATTTGTGCTTGACCACATGGGGAAGCCGCCTTGCGATAGTCAACCGGGAGATACGAGATTTGAATTCTGGAAAGAGCAAATGCACGGTCTGAGTAGACTGGACAATGTCTATTGCAAGGTATCAGGTCTCATTACCGAGTTCAAGGTGGACGACCATAAAACACAGGCCCAAGTGGCACAATGGCTGGAGCCGTTCATCCAGGTGGCCAGGGATGCATTTGGTATTGACAGATTAATGTTTGGCGGTGATTGGCCTGTGTGTGAGCTATCAAAATACGAATTGAAGTGGCAGCAATGGCTGGAAATACTATGCGACATTATAAAAGACTGGACAGAGGAGGATAAGGAAAAATTGTTTGTTGCAAATGCTACTCGCTTTTACAAATTGAATCATACCAAGTAAAGATGTTGTGCTTTTATTTTATTTTTTATTTTTTATTTTGTATCATCTGTGAATTTAATAAACCGACACTTCTTGTGTTCTATCGGTGGTTATAAATTATTGTCATGATTACAACAAACTCTATAAAAAATACGTATAAATAGATAGCAAAAGCTATCAATTGCGTCTCTTTTTCACTTTCTGATTGCGTTATCTTTTTCTCTTTCATACACCATGTCTTATAATATCATCCAGCACTTTCATACATCGCCCTCTTTATACCAAGACGACGAGAAAAAGGTGAATTTTTAGTGCCTTTAGTATGCAAATCAGCCAATTGAACCCTGTCTTGTATAGTCAATCTTGTCTCATCACTATTCATCGCAAAGAAACTATCTGCCAGAACTACCTCCAACGCCATCATCGTCTACACTGTCATTTCTAGTCAATGACTCTGGAGAGTCAATAGGTACATTGAAACTTGCAATTAACGATGATTAATCTAACATGATCCACACTAGACAATAGCACACTAGAATCAAATACCCATTCACCTAGATTACCGTACGCAACCCATCCGCAGTATGGCTCCGTGTTCTCGTCTTCATCATCTGGTATGTGTGTGTAATAGATCAACAATGTTACAAGTGGTGCAACGTGACTAAATGGTACCATTTGATGATCTAGACTTTAATTACATGCAGACTACATCTACAACAACACCATCTACAATAAGCCCAAATGATGATGATGAGGGGCTTTACTTGCTCTGGACACATCAATTACTAAGGGAAAGAGGCTATCACCCCTCATCCTGTAGAATGGAGGATGGAGACCAAGATGATTGCGGCAGTATGGACAGTAGTATTACAGACCTTTCAACAGCTACTTACGAGCAGCAGCAATCTCAGCGACAGAAATCAACAAACCTACCCTCTTGGTTGTTATCGTGGTTCCCAATGTGCTAGTATTCTGTCCAATGGCAAGCTCTTACAGTCTGCACCTGACATATCATGACCTACGTTTGTGTACCTTTCTTCTCTTTATTGTAGAAAACATAAAACAACCAATAAACACTGATCAATGACGCTATCATGATACATACATAGCATGAAATATAGAAATAGAAGGCCGCTGGGCTTAAGAATGATCTGCATCCAATGAAACTAGACAGGATTACTGAAAAAGAGATACGTAATTGACAGAGACAGGCATGGCATCCGTTTGTTGATCTGATCATTCTGCAAAAATTACATCATTGTATCGACAGCAATACGCGTATGCAATTTGAATTAAGGGAGAGTATATGCAATAAGGGTTATTGGTAAGCATCTAGTAATGCCTGAAAACCAGGATGGGATAATTGTGTGTATTGAGAAAGATCATCAACCTGACATAATTATTACACATTGAACGGCAATATCCATCAATTGGCAACGCCAGATCGTTATTATGAGGGCCTGTTTCAAAAGACTCACAATCTCAAATCAAGGGGCTCATATTCTCAACGTCTAATTCTCCGCCATCACAACGCACAATTAAAATATTTGACAGCAATCTTCTGTGAACTACCTTTATAAACTTCCCGTGCATGTGGGTTCGACTCCTCTACAATGCTTCACATCTGTAAACGTAAAAACAATATTTATACGAGCGAGCAGCATACTGTTATTGTCTTTTACTACTCAAACGTATGCAAAACACAGCGAAATTTGGGTACATTTGAGCAGTGATTTTTCGTGCTAGAAGCTGCTTTAGACCTCCAGAGTCGCACCAAACAGTTGCTCTCGCCCAGCAGTTACTTCCTGACACCTTTGCTCAACTTTTTCGGAATGGTCGAAAATCGATCAAAAACCATGAGGGATACCTCATGGTTTTTGTTGAAAATGAGTCGATCGCATTTTTCACCCCAAAAATGAAGGCTTTTTCTATGGTATATATTAAATCAAAATGTTTCTATCGATCCATCGGAACACCTGAAACTTTGTTCGTGAGATTTTGATATGTAAAAATTTCAACATTTTCGCCAAAAACTGCATTTCACCTTTTTATATTTTGCTCAATTTGTTTAGTCAAAACACCTTCTATGATTAGCACCATTAGAAGCGCCTTGGAAAGTACTCCAAGAAAGCTTAAGGAAGGACAGGGTCATCATCACAGTTTACATAGTCGACACTTGGAAAATAGTTCAAGGAAGTCGAAAATGGACCAAAAATTCCCATTTCGAGCAAAAAACCAGGTCGTCGGAGACTGAATCTATTTTGGCTGGCAAACATGATACGATGCCAATCCTGAAGGCAATCAATGCTGTTGGAAGCCCATGAGAGAACATGTTGCTATCGGGTAGATTTAAACATTACAACTGCAAATCCTATTCAAGTATTTACCATAATTCTATATCTCGCAATAACGATTACATTGTACCATCAAATGCCAAGCACACATCATCATAACATAATAAATGTTCAGTCCCTAGACACCTTTACAACTCTTATATGAAACCTGAGTTGCCAGACATTTGACAGGCATGGTTCATATATGATTAGAGATTTTATATCAAATTACTATCAATCAACAATCAAGTTTCATTTAACAATTGAGCTATTATTAACTTTGCAATATTGGCCAACGGCTGGCGGCAGAGCGAGCCACCTGAACGTAGGTTGGTTTCCACCAAAGCAAAGCGTAGGCCAGGACATCGACCAAAGAGTCGAGATGCTCATCGTAATGTAATAAATTTATGGTCCCTACTAGACGCTTTCAACGCCTCAAATAGGAAAGAAGTTGGTCTAACAAGTATTTTGATAGACAGGCGTTATTAAATATAGAATGCAAGAAAAATAGAATGGCTAACAACAATGCTATGTAATTTGCTATCTACTTTCCATACGCTTCAAAAGCATCTATTACTGTATTGCCTTCATGATGAAAAGGGCATTGTTGAGTCTGCCAGCCGGCTCCACCAGCCAAAATTAATTCAAGCCTAGAATCGCAGCTTGTTTTAGATTGGACAGATTTTGCTATTCTTCGACTTGGTCGAACTATTTTTCCAGATTCGACTATAAAAGCGGGATAATTATCCCATGCTTCTTTAAGCTTTCTTGGAGTGCTTTTCAAGGCGCATCCAATGGTACCAAGTAAGATGGATGCTTTGAATAAACTTATTGAGCAATTTATGAAAGTTTAAAAAGAGGTTTCTGGCCAAAATGTCGAAATTTTACATATCAAAAGTCCCACAAAGATGATTTCAGGGAATACGTTAGATCAATAGAAACATTTTGATTCAAGATATACCATAATAAAAGTCTTCGTTATCAAGGTGAAAAATGCGATCGTTTGATTTTTGATGAAAACCATGAGGGGTACCTCATGCTTTTTGGTCTCCAAAAAGTTGAGCAAAGATGTCAGAAAATAATTACCAGATGAGAGCAACTGTTTGATGCTATTCTGACCATCTAAAAAGGCCTTGAACGCAAGAAAACGCAGCTCATATGCATTCAGATTTTGCTGTATCAGGGACACTAAGGACTAAAAAGGGGAAATACCAGTACATTAATTGCCTGTATATGAAGTGGCTACGTGTATATGGATGTAGAGCATCACATAAGAATCAGGTCCACAAATAATATGAAGGGTTTTCATGTATAAGTGGAGGGTCAACATGAAAGTAGCAGTATTTTGATAAGATACGCAAGGACAATCGGCAGCGCGAGATGCCGCTGCGCAGGTTGGTTCTCTACTTTCGCTTCGCCTCAGTGAGAACCATCCAAAGCATAAATAAACGTTTACATAATGACAATCAACATTATCTGTCAGGCTAATCAACTCACAATAACACATGTCAAATTAGATAAAGCAATTGCCTGTATGGATGGAGTTGGATGTCTATGATACCTCAATTTTTATTTATATTTTGAAATAAAAACAGGAGAATAGCTTAGTAGAAGAAACCGAGGATCTTACCACCGGCGTGCTTAGCACGAGCCTCTTCGTGATCCATGATACCAGCAGAGGTGGTCAAGATAAGGTAACCGAATTGACGGGCAGGCAACAAGTTAGCGGTCCACTTTTCGAGCTCGGGGAGCTTGATGTTGAAACGGGGAGAGATGACACCACACTTGTTGATACGACCATTGAGTTGGATGACAATCTTACCGGAACGGTGATCATCGATCTCCTCGAATTCACCAATGTAACCTGAAATGAGAAGTAAAAGATGAGCAAATGAATCAAGAAATAAAGGTTCTGAAAGGATTTGAAATCATAAAATGTATCTGTTCTATAAACAATACTCAACACGATAATCAGTTGAGCAAGTGTAAGAGAATGAAGTTATTCTACCGCAGATTTAAAGGTTGATGCTCGTGGTAATAAGCAAACACCAGCTAGTTATACTACGGGGTGATGTATGTGTGTGTGTGCCCCAGAACCGAGATGATTTCAAATCCTTCAAAAAGTAGCAACAACTTACCGTGCTTTTGCATGACAGACAAGAACTTGACAATGACCTTGGAAGAGGGACGGATCATAACTTGTCTCTTTCCACGCTTCTCAGCGTTGTTGATGTTGTTCAAACAATCGTTCAAGACGGAAACTCTGACCATATTAGAAAGTGCACAAAAAAATTCTAATAATGATGTGATTCGAATGTTAGTTGATGAAATGAAGGGGCTAAAATGAGTGTCGCCGCATCCATAGTATTAAACGATTCATTAAAGCATGATGCCTTGATTCATTTCAATCCATTCAACAGGGAAAAGTGATGTGATGGATGGATGGATGAACATGAGTAGTAAAATAAGATGGATGGATGCACAAGATGAAAAGGCAGATGGATATTTTATAGTTTACCTGTTGCGAAGAAGAGGGAGATCTACTTTTGTGATACAAACATCCATCTATGTTATACGAATCTGTCAAATCTGGAATAAGCCACTGTATGAATCAAATTCCCGTTTATACTTTGAATGTTTCTGCTTTTTTTTTTCAAATTCGTCCCGGAATGCCATCCGTAGCATCAGATCAGACAACTCTGGTTGTATATGTTTAGACCCATGGAACAGGTTATAAAAAAGCAACATTTGGTTAAAGAAAGACCTCAAACTTTCACAAATGACATGTCAGGATTTTTTGAGAATATCTTTAGCTGATGTCCTTGCGACCTCTAAATCTTTGCAACCTTACATGAGATGTAGTAAGGGTATGTGCTCAAAAACCAATTAATCCCATTGCTCTCAACAAAAATCGCATTATCATATGCAAAAACGACCTTAAAAACCATCAGATGCAACACTTTGGATTGCATTTTCAAACGTTGCATAGACACGCTTTGGTGTTTTCGACAAAGCCCATCATTCAAATGATTGGAAATCGCTTTAAACTTTAGGTGAACAAGCAACATGAACATAGTGCCTTCAGATACGTCCTGCAAAAAGTTGAATATGAGCACAGTCAACGATTCTAGAGCTACTTTTGTGCGGAAGACATGCTGCTCAGGACATTCTATTAAAGCAAAAGCCATGGTTAATATCATTGTCACCAGTTGTTTTAAATCGATAGCAGGCTTATCGCTCGACTTGATTCATCATCACAGCGGGTAACCTTGGCTTGACCGCAAGCTTATTGATGTTACGAAACTGGATGAAATTTGACATACAAACGTATTTCTTAATTTAGCTGTAATTGCTGTTTTGGAATTTGGAAGCATACGATGGTTTGATGGAATATGATTTCATTCGTTAAAATGTAGGCGATCTTCTAGAACAGCGACAAACCTTTATCCTTCAATGACTTTTTCCTTTAACCGAACTCATAATGCTTCCATTAGCTTCATCAATCTCCGCGATGGTATGAACCGTTGATAAACCGTAACACATTAAAACCAATGTCTAGGCGTACGTATATATATATATATATATATATATATTCAAACTTACCAAAACTGTATCTGGCCAATATCAACCATCTCACCACAGAGGTTGATACCTGCTTTTCGGATTTTTTTAACGCAGCCAGTCAGACAATATTGAGTAATGTATACGAAACATCTCATACATTTGCCACTACAGCTAAACACACTGATGAACGTGCTCATTGAAATTCGAAGGCAGCATGCCGACGAGGGTCTTCGCTTGTATCCATGTCGATTTATGAAGAATTCTTCCCTATCAAAGAAGGTCATAGTATCATGTACATTAGAAGGTTATTGGCAGATAGTACAGATCGATGGCCAACTCAACATATATGTGTTGAAAAATAGTGGAGCGACTGGTGAGTGACATGAAATCGTCAGTGACAAGATGAAAATCACATTACAATCTGCCACCGAAATCAAGGCGAAATACGGGAAAATCCAGAGTGATACAAAATAAAATTGCATCAACAGAATAGACGTTATAGAAGAACAGAGAAATGTATGTCAAAAATGAAAGAAAGAAAGGTAGAAGAGAAAGAGAGTGAGAGAGAAGACAGCTCATCCATGTACTCTTGATCAAGACTCGAAATTCATATTTAAGTTCATTTCAGATTTATCGCTACAGACGGATAACATATACTGCGAATCAACGATTTCCCGAAATCGACCGTTTGTATATACATGGAAACATATGGCAGTAATGACGCCAAGTATACTAAACGATAGCAAGTGAGTCAAGGGGTGGTTCTATCTTGACAACTTTGCATGTCTGACTAAACCCCAGAGTTTCAATCTGGAAATATATATAAAGCATTGCCAGTGCACTTGATTGTGTGCATTATCAATAACAAATCCAATAGGTATTTTCTATAAAGAAGCTTCATTAGACATATCATGTACCTATAGCATAATTGAGACCAAGCATCAAGGTTAAAAATATAAATCACATCCGCACCATCGAACTCTCCATGTTCTCCAACACTTGTGCTATTCAATAGTGAGAGCTGATGTTCATGGCATAAAGCATCTGTTTCGTTACATGAAGTGCGATCACAGATTACGTATGTTTGTTGTTATCGCCTAGATTAAAGTTTGGATTAGCCTTCTAGACGCATATGTGTTGACAATCATTCATTGACAACCAAATGACCTTTAACCGTTGGCCGCCATCTCAACATCTTGGTTGTCCAAACTCACAACTTGAAACTGAGATGCTTTAGATTGTCCCGTTCACCTCCACCTTTTTACGTCCATTCTTTGGTAAAATACCTGAATTGGAAAGCAACAAGATTTGCATGAAAACAAGCATACAGATTTAAACACAATATGAGGCATTTAAGTATGTTCATCTGATTTCCTGTCTATCATTTGTAGCGCCCATGTTGATACAGGCTCTCTTTTGCAATCAGCATAATTTGAGATTTGCTCCGTATCTAGTCATCTGTTTACCATTGTCTTGATATTGTATTAAATAGGCGTAAAAAGGTATAGGCGACATACGCGAATAAGATGATTCAACGGAGTTTATTCCTGGGATTCGAGCTTCGAAAATCAATGATTTACATCAACGGATAAATGCTAGACCGTTTGAACGGATCCTGAGGGGAAGATTGTGGATCCAGATCACAAATGTCTTGATTTTATTTTGAAACATGCCTAAAAGATTCGATTGGAATTGTATATAAATAAGCCATGTTGTTTAATGCAAAAAAAAAAATAATATTTGATTTCATCTCTATTCCATTCTTATTTATATTTTGTAGTGCACAGCCTAATATCCACACTACCTGTATACACTACTTGTTCTTATTGACTTTTTCTGATCTCTCACTACTATATCACACATAATACGCCTGCCACAAAAATGCCAGAGCCAAATACAACTACAGACCCTGCTTTACAAGCAAGAAAAGAACGCAGAAGCTCCAATGATAGTGAAACAAGTACAGTTCGTGATACTTTCACCATCAATGAGCCTATTCCTCTCCAAGAAGTTAGCTCTTATCGTGAGCAGATTCGAGAGCAATTACCTCCCGGTGTCCTCGCTACAAGAACCTTATCTATCAACCCTTATCCATCAAAACACACTGATCTCGAGGCTGTCAACTCTCGTATCATGACACATCAATCTGAAAAGCGTCCAGTCATGCACTACGTGAATTGGGATGTCAACGATCCAGAATGTCCTTACAACTGGGACAGTAAACGTCGTTGGGCATACACCATCCTTGTCGCTTGTCTCGTAGTTTCTGCTGCTTTTGGTTCTTCAGTCATCACTGGCCGAATCAATGGTGTCGTCGAATCCTTTGGTTGTTCTGATGAGGTCGCCATTCTCCAAGTCTCTCTCATGGTCTTTGGTTTCATGCTTGGTCCTCTTCTTTGGTCGCCCTTATCTGAATTATTTGGTCGTAAACCCGTCTATGTTGGTGCTCTCTTTGTCTATGCTATCTTCAACATTCCTTGTGCTGTTGCAACCAACATTCAAACCGTCTTGGTGTGTCGTTTCTTCTCTGGCTTCTTTGCTTCCTGCTCTTTAACCCTTGCTGGTGGCTCCATTTCCGATCTCTTTCCTACCGAGACTCGTGGTAATGCCATCGCCTACTTTGCTGCTGCTCCCTATGCTGGTCCTGTATTGGGTCCTATCGTCGGTGGCTGGATTTCCGTTGGTACAGGTGGATGGAGATGGATTTATTGGGTAAGTTGTGAAACCACCACGTTTGACAAGTTCATGCGACTAATCTATGCTATGCATTTATAGGTTAATATGATTTTCGCTGGTGTCATGTGGATTCTCGTTTGCCTCTTGCCAGAAACATACCATCCCAAGCTTCTTGCTGCTCGTGCTAAGCGTATGAGAGCAGAAACGGGAGACCCCACCTATATCACAGTCGAGGAAGAATTCCCTGTGCCCGTCTCTGAACTGGTCCAGGCTAATTTGGTCCGTCCCTTCGTCATGCTTGCCACTGAACCCATCTTGTTGTTGATGTCACTTTATATCGCTGTCATTTACGCTTTGCTGTACGCCTTCTTCTTTGCTTATCCTATTGTATTCCAAGGTGTTCGTGGTTTCAACGATGGTGAAGTTGGTTTGACCTTTATTGGTGTCCTTGTCGGTACCTTCTTTGCTCTTCTGACCACTCCAGTCTTTGAAAAGAAGTTTAGGAAAGTTGTTCAACAAAAGAACGGTAAGCCTGATCCTGAGGATCGTCTGCCTGGTATGATGTTCTCTGCTCCTTTCATCCCCATTTCTCTGTTCATCTTTGGTTGGACTTCTTTCCCTTGGTGTCACTGGATTGGTGGCTGTATCTCTGGTATTCCATTCGGTTACGGTATGGTTATCGTGTACTATGCTGCCAATAACTACATTATCGATTGTTTCCCTCGTTATGTCACATCTGCCCTGGCTGCAAAGACACTTATTCGTTCCGGTTCAGGCGCTGCTTTCCCTCTATTCATCAACCAAATGTACGCTCGTCTGAACAACCAATGGGCTAGTACGCTTCTTGCCTTTATCTCTATTGCCATTTTACCAATTCCCTTCTGTTTCTACAGATGGGGTGCTAAAATTCGTACTACATCCAAGAGTGCTTCTTAAATCATTCTGTCCTTTTACTCTTATGCTTTATATTACCTACACTCTAATTTAGACTTTATCTCCTTTCTACCAAGTCCACTCTACTACTAATACTTGCATAAATTATTATTCATTCTTTGATTATATTTCATAAAAACTATGTAAATAAAATTAACAAATCAAACATATATCTTTTCAACATTTCCTGCACAGTTCCTTTCTAACGATTATTAATTGGAAGAAAGCGTACAACTCCATGTCAACAGTGTGCATCATTTTGAAAGGGGCCTGTGTATTTGACAGACATTTGGAGAAAAAGAGACTGAGGCAGTTTGGCAAAGCACAGTGTCTCCTTAAAACACAGCTCTATTGTAGCACCCTGATTGACGCCAGATCAAAACCCTTCCTCCTTTTCATTATTACTCCCTAAAAGAAGTCTGTCTTCCTCTGACTATGATATCCCTTTCATGCGATAAACATTTCTTTCCTTCTCATTTTTTTTTTAAATTAAATCATACACTTACTATCATTACTTGTCTCTATAAAATGGACTGCTGTCATGAATCAGAGGAATGCGATCCCTCCTCGTCCTCCTCTCAAGATTTAGTCACCATTCTGAGCAATCTACCACAGCAGTGCGTCGATATGCCGTCTTATGAACCACAGCCCCAAGGAACAACCAAAATGAAAGTCTCATTGGATCTGCCAGGATACCAAGAGTACTTGCCTACCTACCTGCCAGGACAGCAGATCACTGGACACGTCAAGCTACAGAATAAAACCCGCATCAAAGTAACTCACTTGAGAATTGCACTGTTTGGCAATGTGCAAGTATACGGAGATCGACCTGGCCATCCCATGACTAATGGCCTCTTTGATTATCAGAGAAATGAGCAACTTATCAACTCTGGCTTGCGCATTATTAGGCACCCCACGCCAAATGATACGGACGAGCAACAATTGGTGTGCAAGCGAGATGACAATCCTCAAGAGACGAAGCGGCAAAAGACAGCGCAAGACAGACACATTGAAAAGCTGATCAGAAAAGCAGCAGCCATTGATCACACCACAAATTTTAGTCACGGCATCTTGAATGATGTTCCAATGCTCATGCAAAACAGTAATCAACAAGACACTACTGCTTTTGAATTAGACAGCAATTCGTATCAGATCCAGTTTTCTGTCCGTGTCCCGACTTCTCGCCGGCTCTCGGGTACCTTTGACCATCCACATTACCCAGTTTCGTATCGCATTGTTGCTATTATGAAGTACAAAGACAAGGAGGATGCATCTAACAATGAAGTAACATGCTACTCTACTGTCAGACTCTGTCTGGAGCCTTTTTTCAACCTGAATCAATTCCAATCACGCATTCAAACATCGCCTAGCTATCAATATGTCCAGAACAAAGATACAGCGTGGAACAGCATCTGTACTCAATTTCTAAATTGTGGCATCATGACCATGTACATGAACAAGCAGCAAAAACATACATCTCATAGCAGCATTGAAGCACGCCTAGAACTGCCAAAACAGGCTTTTGAACGTTCTCAGTATCTGCCATTGCAACTAAAGCTAACAAATCATGCCTTCAGCAACTTTGGTATATCCGTGGTTAAGATCAATGTAAACTTTGTTCGACGCATCAATATGACATGCAGCATGAATGAGCAAGTAGAACTGCAGACAATCCAATCCACCACCATTGTATTCAAGAGCTCGCAGGAGCAGGAGCAGCAGCTGTTCTTTAAGCATGCTCTTTTGGCATTTGATTTGTCCAACCACACCCAGATACCAACAGACAGTGTGTGCACCATATTCTCTGTTGCTACCAAAGATGTCTTTAGTCTTGGCTACGACTTGAACGTCAGTGTAGATATCACTGGCGTCACTACAACCGCCCATAATAGCACGACAGCGGATCTCTGCAGTTTATCACCGAATCAAGAAAAGTGTTACATTGCTAATCAGCCCCATCATGTTTGGTGTGGAGATGAATCGCACCAGGATTTACCTCCAGAACCTTATCATCACAAATTTAAAACTTATACACTGAATTTGGATCCACTGGCTGTCATTGTAGTGGGTCACTCGGATTACTAAGCTTGAAAAGTCAGTCATTTGATGCTTCCCGGCTGAGAAACTGACATTAACAACCTTTTTATACATGCTCTTCGTCGTAATATTTAGTAAAACTATTCACCGTATTGTACACACCAAATGAAACTGCTGACCCCCCTGCTTTTTGAGGCTGTCTTTGTTGTGAAACTGAACATCCGAAAAGAGCATTTTGGTCTTTTATTGAATGAAACAAGGAGAGAGAGAGAGAGAGAAAGAGAGAGAAAGAGAGAGATAAAGGATAAGGTTAATGCGAAAAACGTGGTGTTTCTACAGGCGATATTTGAAATCTAAACGGTTGTTTCCCTGAGCTTCATGCTCAATGTTGTAAACCTTCTTTTGAAAATCAGTCATTTGACGCCATTGATACGCTCTCCATTTGTTGATCAGGTCATATTTTGTTCTTTGATAGAGAAACAACGAAATTGTTATGATATGCAGTAACATGTTGATCTTGTTGCCGTGTCTGTACCGAGGAGCATCAGACACTTGATATATCTGCGATCCTGGCACGCCATTTATATTTGCTGCTCCAATCACGGCTGCCAAAGCCAAGGTCCTTTTACCTATGGGTGCTATATTTGATGCCATCCAGGCAATCTGCATACCATGCCATGAGGGTGATGAGGCTGTAAAGAGGGCGGCCGCATACAATGGCCACTTTCCAATAGAGTCTGGCAGGATCTCCAACAAGCTGAAGCCAATCAAGCCCCATATGGATCCTATCAAGGCGTGAAAGACAACATTGCCACGTTTATCCGAACTCCTTGCTATCAGAATTGAAAATATCAACCCAATAATATGAGATGGGGCTGTCAAAAGATTTGCTGTTGTGGTAGAGAATCCTGCATCCTTGATAATAGTTGGCAAATAGGTGTTAATGGGTGAGGCTGGCATATTACTACGAAACAAACGCATTGAGCACAAGCATGTATTGCATTTGTATCAGGCGAATTTACCCTAGAAACGTGATCAGCAAATGCGTCCAGAGATTAATGTCAGTGATAGCTTGATGAACATCTGTACGGCTAATAGATTTGTTGTGCTCCTTTTTGGCAGCATCATCTCGAGTGATTCTTAATGCGGCTATTCGGATTTGCCTCTTTGTTAACCAACCGTCTTGGCCTCGCAGACCACCCTCTGTATGAGCCGGTGAAGCAGGTAAATAAAAGCTATCATTGTGTACAATCAGCACTTACTCCAAGATCAAACCAGCAATTCTACTTACAATGCAATCAAGCCAACAATGTGCGTTGCGATGCCGTCAATGATGAACAGCCATTTCCAGCCTTCCAAGCCATATATACCTCTCATTCGGAAGACACCAAAGGAAATTAAACCTGAAACTGCAGATGCTAAAGCCTGTGCTCCCCAGAACCAAGCTAACCGAGTCGCCAGTTCATTCGTCTTGTACCATGAAGACATGTAGCCAAGACATGCGGGTATAAATCCTGCTTCCGTAATGGCGATCAAAACTCTAACAGTAAGAAATCCCCTGAAATCCTGTTTTTATTTGAGAGAAAAAAGGTGTGAAACACTGCAAACCCAAGTATCGCATACATGAAAACTTACATAGATCAACGCATGTGCCCAAGTAACAGCAGCCCACGAGCTCATCAAAGTTGGGATCCATAGATGAGCGCCTACTGCCTTCGATACAGCATTAGACGGTAGTGTGAATAATGTGAATACGAAATGATAGACTGAAATGCTGGTGTTTACATCGTCGTTTGTGATATTGAGATCCACGGCTAAATTATCTGACATTGCATTTGCTTCGGAAAGTTCAAGGTTAACATGACGAGAATGGTTACGTTGGAACAGAGTGCTTACAAATATTCGTTCGATCCATGTTCAATACAAAGGTCATTATCAGAATAAACATCATGAGATATTTGTCCAAGATGCGCAATACTTGAGCCTCCTCTTTAGGAGTCCAACTGAATTCGTCGTCTATAAACTCACCATCGTCGCCGTCATCTTTAAGCGAAGCCTCTTTTGTTTTCAATATGTGGTAGTTATCAGTCGATTGATACGATTTATGGGATGATGAGGGTGCTAGTAATAACATGCTTGTATTTCCGTGTTTTCAAAAAGAATAGAAAAGATGAAAAAAGTGCTATTTTCAAGAGTAATGTGAATGCTTTTATTTCTGTGAGAGAAAACAAAGTGTATCAATTATGCCATCTTTTCTCTGAATTGGTCTTTGTTATCGTTATTGTCAGCCGTGCATTGCAACCACACAATTACATTAATGCAGCAATAAAGAGTAGCATTAGGTTACACCATTTACTCACGAGCTGTCAATGGCGAGATTGGATTCAAATAAGGCACCATCCATAACTACTCATTAGTGCGTATTTCTGTTTATTTGTAATATTTTTTCGATAAGGCTTGCAGCCATAATCTGCTTTTATTCGGTAAAGCTCATAATCGAAATGTGTAAGATACATCATCAGCCATAGATTTTGTATATGAATACCAATACCCAAAGCAAATACACATCATGTACATAAACCAACATTCCACCTTGTAACTTTTTATGACCATATCATAGAAAACCTCTTATAAACAATATGTAGCTATGAATTTGACATATCTAGAGTATCCCGCGTCTGAAACAATCTAAATACATACTAGCACGACCTTTTATTCCTCGAAAGTATGCAAACCACAGCGAAATTTGGGTGCATTTGAGTAGTAATTTTTCGTGCTAGAAGCTGCTTTAGACCTCCAGAGTCGCACCAAACAGTTGCTCTCGCCCAGCAGTTACTTCCTGACACCTTTGCTCAACTTTTTCGGAATGGTCGAAAATCGATCAAAAACCATGAGGGATACCTCATGGTTTTTGTTGAAAATGAGTCGATCGCATTTTTCACCCCAAAAATGAAGGCTTTTTCTATGGTATATATTAAATCAAAATGTTTCTATCGATCCATCGGAACACCTGAAACTTTGTTCGTGAGATTTTGATATGTAAAAATTTCAACATTTTCGCCAAAAACCACATTTCACCTTTTTATATTTTGCTCAATTTGTTTAGTCAAAACACCTTCTATGATTAGCACCATTAGAAGCGCCTTGGAAAGTACTCCAAGAAAGCTTAAGGAAGGACAGGGTCATCATCACAGTTTACATAGTCGACACTTGGAAAATAGTTCAAGGAAGTCGAAAATGGACCAAAAATTCCCATTTCGAGCAAGAAACAGGTCGTCGGAGACTGAATCGATTTTGACTGGGAAATGTTTAGTTTGGAAGCGATGGATGCTGTTGAGAGCTCATAGAGAGACCATTGCGAAATGAAAAAGCACTATACAACTGGTATGTATCTGCCTTGTATTTTAAGGTAGTGCGCACATATATTGTATGCCCTTCAACTGTACGCACCTCAACTTTCAGTGGTGCGAATGACATCGATTCATTTGAACCAACAAACTCAATCACAAGAATCCTCAAAAAAGTATCCCAAACCACAAATCTTTTATCATAATTTTTCAAAGATTTATTATACAGCTATTTTTACAAAATTCTTTCAATCATGCCAATGCCCTCTTGTTCCAACAGTTCAATGATAGGCTCATTGATTTCGTTAGTCATGGGAGCAAGAACACCAGTGGCGGTCAACTTGCCGTCCAAGACAAGTTGGGTAGCGATACCACAAGGAACACCAACAGTCTTGGCCATGGCAGAGTAGCCACCAACCTTACCATATTCGACCAAGGTAGAGGTACGAGTTTGGTGAGAGCCATCCTTGAGTTCAATTTCGAAACGATGTTGTAAAAAGACCAAATCACGCTCATTTTCGCCATATTGCATCTTTTCTTCAAGGGTGGCACAGAAGGTATCAAGCAGTGAACCACGACGATGTACATTGGTGTTGGAGAAGAAACCTAACCAGCGCATACCATCCAGAATTTGATCCTTTTGGTCATTGTTATCAAGATCACACTTGGCGATGATGGCAGCTTGCAAAGCTTCAGCAGATGTATCGTTGATGCCAACAGCCTTGGCGAGAACTTGGCTCCAGGTGATGTCTTGAGCATCAGCAGCAAAGTGAGCTTCCTCTTCTTCGCTCAAGAAGCCGAGAATGACAAGAGCCTTGACGAATTGACAGAAACCATCATAACGCATAGTACCACGGATGATAGTCTCAGCTTCGGGAATGTTATAACGCTTATCATAAGGGGTGGAATCACGGTTACCGTAACCAACGAAAGCGAAACCGGGGTAACCAGTGTTCAACTTCTTTGCAGAGTCCATGAGAGCAGTACCAGAGACCTCAACAACCTTACCCTTTTCAAGGTATCTAGCAGTGTTCTTTAAAGCCAACAAGACACCACGAGCAGACCAAGAGAACTTGTATCCGAAAGGATTGTTGGAGTCCTCAGGAGCAGGAAGACCGCCACAGAAGGAAATGAACTCCTTGAGCTAAAGAATGGGAGATTAAGTTTAATCTCATTGTATCCCCCAAAAAAAGAAACATTTAAAATATTATGCTTACCTTGCCACCCTCCTTGTGAACTTCCTCAATGGTCTTGACAGCATAGAGATGATCAATTCCAGGATCAAGACCAATTTCGTTCATAACAGTGATACCAGCATCTTTAGCACTAATTTTAAGATGAATGAGAACAAGGTACATCTTTGTTTGGTATCTAACTCTATTTGGGGTTGATATTGAGATTATCAGAAAATAACTTACGCTTGATCATATTCCATCATAGCAGGGGAGACATAAGAAGTGGTGACAACATGCTTCTTGTGCTTGACAGCAGCCTTAATAACCAAAGCATGGTAAATATAAGGGATCAAACTATCAAAGTTATCCTGGTTAGGGCCCGAGCACATCCAAGATATTGATTGCAACAAACCTGATGGAGACATCGTGCTCAGCAACCAACTTTTCAATCTCTGCCTCGTTGTTGATATTACAAGAAACAGCAACAGTGCCAGGGAATTGCTTGGCCAAAGCTTGGGCATTTTCGAGTCTTCTACTAGCTACAATATGCAATTGGTGTCAACCATCATATTGACGCGACGTACTTTGTATACGTTTTATGCTTACCGATGGTGACCTTATTCTCGGGCTTACGAACGAGATATTCGACACAAGGGGCAGCAACGAAACCTGATCCGAGCAAGAGAATCTTCCTGCAATGTTTCGCGTTGATTAGCATTGTACGCGACATTCTTCTTTGGCACACTCGACTTACTTATCAACCATTATGAATTGTATAAAAAATAAAGTTATTGAAGAGAGAAAAACAATTAAAAGTTGAATTGACAGACGTTAAATATCAAGGAAAATCTTTAGATGGCCACTTCCATATTAAGAAGCATCAAAAGATGAACTCATCTCATTGGACGCATGGAATAGTCGCAGGACACGAAGGTACACTATAAGTTCGATAGTTCTAAAGTTTTGTGACTATAAACAAACCATCTTTCTCACGAACATTCCAATATTTAAACATGAACCACATCTGAGAGCCTCTCGAACAATGTTGATCCATGTTTCTATAATCTTGAATTCAAAAATTTGGTTTCTCAACACTTGATGAGCGAGCCTGCAGCCGCTTGCAAAATTGCTGAAGATGGATTACGATGCATGAAGGGAGATTTTAGATTATCATCAAATTAAGCTTAGACTGCGGTTGTGCGATAATCTACATTTGTTTAACCGACATCTTTTCGCACCCGAGGTCCCTAACTTGATATTTTAAATGACGAAATTTGAAACAAGATTGTTGATACAAAATTGAACGGTGCAGTTGATCTGCTCAATTAAGAGCGTTATCCTTCGTTTGCGCTCGTATACATGGTCAATTCTATCAAAATGTCTACATGTTGAATGCAGTGTACATATGTTATTCTGCTTATGCCCAATGCTTCATTCTGAATTTTGTATGAAGTCACTTTTCCTGCCATTGTAACCATCAGAACAACGTAGCATAAAGCTATTAATGACACCAATTCAAGTATATACGGAAATGCTACAGTTGGAATGAAAGCAGGTTTATTGATTTCATTACCCCTGAATTTTTGACACTGCGCAACTCCGACTGTCGATCTGTAGTATTTGAATGCTTCAATGAAAGAAACGGCAAGCTAACTGTAATGCTAGTATGAGAGGTCAAATAAAAGCTAAAAAACGCAGCACTGTTCATCAATTTAGTTTTTAAAATGAGTGATATGTCCTCTCTAAAATAATATAGGTATGCAGATTTGAGCATTTGAAATCTGAATGGCGGTTGGTTCCAGCGTACTGATATTATACTCAGTGATTTGCTCTTCTAGCCAAGACAGCCTACTGTGCTAGCAAGAAAAAATGGACATAAAAGGCATGTTCTGGTACCTAAAGTTCATATTTGCAATTGAACGTAGTAAATACATGCCCTTGTTTTACCAACATCTCTTAGATCACATTTAAGAGATGCAGATCCCATCTTTTCTCTCTTATATGTGCCAACAGTCTGACATGATATTTCAATTCGATACATCCAGTAACACAGTGGTTACACATGAGAAGGTTCTTTGTATTATTTGGGATTGGCTAAAACCGTTTATCTGATCATTTTTGCCCCACAATTTCAATCCTATACTAGCAGGAGTACGCATTGTATCCCTTAGACTAGTGTTAGGCTGTACTATTCAGTAATTTTACATTGTTTTCAGTGATATAATCATGGATCTTTTTAAGATTAGTTTCAGAAAAAAAATCTCATAAACCCTCATCGAATTTCAAGCAAGAGCCAACATTTGATGAGGCCAAAGTTAAATACAGGACAAATGTCCGTTTATTTCTTTAATCAAACAGCAATAAATTCAATGATGCAATCAGCTTCAAGGCTTTTAGCGAAAAATTGAAAGACCCAAAAGTCAATGTAGCCTGTTCACATGGACATGATATGAACCTTGTTCTGACAGGCGATTATCAACAGGTTTGTGAGTCATCGTGAACCTGCATTAGGCAACTCCGATAAACGTCACGAAGCCTTCTTTATCATGGCATTGAATTGCCAGTTTGTTGACGGCATTTAAGAAACCAACATTGTTGAGCCTTTCCTCTTTTCTCTCTTTTTTCAATTTCGTTTGGGTTGATTCTTTGGTTTTTTCGTTTTTCCCTTGAACTTTTTCTTCCATAAGAGTCAAATCAATATGCTTTCCATTGCTCGAAAATCAACAATCTCCGGCAACATCTCTCGCCTTGCCCAAAGAACTGTAGCAACAACTGCTACAGCCAGACCTCTTGTCCTCGTTTCTGGACAACAATTGAATCAGAGACGTCAATATACAAATGCTAGTGCAACTGCTGAAAAGGTAATGTTAATTGATAAGATGATTTATCCTCTTTTGATTTCAGGTCCAGATCATCAGAGGCATTTTACTAGAAGGAATAAAAATTAACGCAATATGGCTCACTCATAGGAAACCATTACCAAGCTTTTATACAACATTGGTTCTCGCAAGGAAGTTGAACAGTATCTTCGCCACTTCTCTTCTGTCGAATCCCAAAAGTTTGCTGTGATCAAGGTTGGAGGCGCCGTTTTAACAGATGAGCTTGAGACACTTGCATCTGCTTTGACCTTTTTGAACAGAGTAGGTCTCTACCCTATTGTTCTTCATGGTGCCGGACCTCAATTAAACCGCTTGCTTGAAGACGCAAAGGTGGAGCCTCAATATGAGGAGGGTATCCGTATTACTGATCCTCAAACATTGGAAATTGCCCGCAAGGTATTTATGGCCGAGAATTTGAAGCTTGTGGATGCCCTTGAACGCCATGGCACTCGTGCTAGACCCATTCCTGGAGGCGTATTCGTTGCTGATTACCTTGATAAAGAAAAGTATGGTTATGTTGGAAAGATCACGGGCGTCAACAAGGAAGTCATCGAGTCATCTATCCGTGCTGGTGCACTTCCCATCTTGACCTCTCTAGCTGAAACACCCACAGGCCAAATTTTGAACGTTAATGCCGATGTAGCTGCTGCTGAATTGGCCACTGTGTTGGAACCTTTGAAGATTGTTTTCTTGAATGAAAAGAACGGTCTTTACCATGGTGTTACTGGTAAGAAGATTGATGTTATTAATCTTGATGAGGTAGGACAGAATAAGATAAGATGCAGTAGATGAAAGTACTGATATCATGTGCTTGATTAGGAATATGAGGATCTTCTCAAGGAGCCCTGGGTTAGATATGGTACCAAGCTCAAGATCAACCAATGTAAGGAGCTTCTAGATGGCCTTCCCAGATCTTCATCCGTCGCCATTATCTCTGCTGGCCATTTGCACAAGGAATTGTTCACTGATTCTGGTGCTGGTACTTTGATTCGTCGTGGTCACAAGTTGTTCAAATACAACAAGCTTGATGAGGTCGATCCTGATAAGCTTCGCCGCATTATGGAGGCTGAGGACGCTTCTATTCAAGCTGGCGAATCCTCTGTTGCCAGCTATCTCCGCTCTCTTCAACAAAAGGATGTTCAAATCTACACTGATGAGCCTGGACAAGTGTTGGCTATCGTTACCAAGGATCGTAATGACCCCTCCAAGCCTGCTGTCCTCGAAAAGCTTTTGACCAGCAAGACAGCTGTATTGAACAATGTCCCTGAGAACTTGTGGAACTCTATTCGTAAGGACAACGAAACTTTGACATGGCGTGTGGATGGTAAGGCAAAGGAAGGCAATCTCGACCCCTCATGGCACTTTGAGCGTGCTGACGGTTCCCTCAAGAACTCTCAAGATGGCTCCACCACTTTCTTCTATGGCATTGCTGATAATGACAAGATCAAGCAAACACTCAACAGCATTAGCTCTCAAAAGGCTAGTGTCCCATCTGGTACTCGCTCTTACTCCACCTACCGTCGCAGCAACTCTCAATTCATGTCTCGTCGTGGTTTTGCAAGCGCTGCTGGCCCCAAGAATGTTGGTTTGATCGGTGCTCGTGGTTATACTGGTCGCGAGTTAATTAGCTTGATTAATTCTCATCCCAACTTGAATTTGACTCATGTTAGTTCTCGTGAATTGGAAGGAAAGCCTCTTGAGGGCTACACCAAGGCTGATCTGACCTATGTCAACCTGAAGCCTAACGATCTCAAGGCCCAAGAACAAGTTGATGCGTGGGTGCTGGCTCTGCCCAATGGTGTCTGCACTCCATTTGTCAAGCAAATCAATGAAGATGTCAAATCTGGTCAATCCTCTGAAAAGGTCTTGGTTGATTTGAGTGCTGATCATCGTTTTGATACCACATGGACTTATGGTCTTCCTGAATTTAACCGCGAAAACCTCAAGGGTGCCACTCGTGTTGCTAATCCCGGCTGTTATGCCACTGGCGCTCAAATGTCACTTCGTCCTCTCCTTCCTTTCCTCGACAAGCACTCTGCTCCCACCGTGTTTGGTGTCTCGGGATACTCTGGTGCCGGTACCAAGCCCTCTCCCAAGAACGACCCAGCTTTTTTGAAGGATAACTTGATTCCTTACTCTTTGACAAATCACATTCATGAGCGCGAAGTGTCTTACCAACTCGGTACATCCGTTAACTTTATTCCTCATGTTGCTTCTTGGTTCCAAGGTATTGCTTTGACAGTCAATGTGCCTTTGAATAAGACCATGTCCAGCCAAGATATCAAATCTGCTTTTGAGGAGTTCTATCAAGGCGAGCAACTTGTCAAGGTGTTGGAGTCTGGCGAGCCTCTTGTCCGTGATAATGCTGGTAAGCATTTCGTTCGTGTTGGTGGATTCAATGTTCATCCCGATGGTCGTCGTGCTGTCATTACCACGACAATTGATAACTTGTTGAAGGGCGCTGCTACTCAAGCAGTTCAAAACTTGAACCTGTCTTTAGGCTTTGATGAATATGCTGGTATTCCCACAAACTAAGCTACCGCTTACTGTAATTCACTCCCCTTCCTCCCTGTCATATATACATCCAAATAAATAACACCAGCCAACGTATAGAATTACATCTGCATGTTTAGTTTTTTCCGTTTTCAAGGAGTGCGTAAAGAACAGTGCACTGTCTAATAGATGCAGATTATCTATTGCGTCTAAAATGTCCAGCGTGCCTTACAACCGCCATTACCTCAATAACAAGCTCTATCGTAGTCCGTCAATACAGTGTTACAACAGTGCTACTCAACCTAACATGTCTAGCTTATTAATTGGATGTAGCAGCATGCTCTGGATCTTGATTAATGCATGCAATGTCTTAAGCGCTTTGTATCATAACAAAAACGCGTCTATTGGCAAGCAAATGCATGAAACACAACCAAATTCGATAGCTTTCAAACCTTCTTGCCTTATCATGTAGACCTTAATGAGCCACCGGAATGACGCCAAACAATTGTACTTGAGTAGTAGTGACTTCCTGACACCTTTGCTCAACTTTTTGGGGATCAAAAAAATATGGCCAAAAATCGACCAAAAAGCATGAGGGGTACCTCATGGCTTTCATCGAAAATCAAACGATCGCATTTTTCACCTTGAAAATGAAGACTTTTACTACGGTATATATCAAATCAAAATGTTTCTATCGATCCAAAGCAACTTCTGAAACCGCTTTTATGAAGTCTTACTATGCAAAATTTTGACATTTTGGCCAAAACCCTTATTTCATATTTTTTAAAATTGCTCAAGAATTTCAGTCAAAACATCTATCTTACTTGGCACCATTTGAAGCGCCTTGAAAAGTACTCCAAGAATGTATTAGGAAGCATCAGATGATAATCACAGTTCATATAGTCGAATACAAAAAAAAAGATTAAAGAAGTCGAAAAAAGACGAAATCTGTCCAATCTTGAACAGAAAAAATAAACTGAGTTTCAATGAGCTTTGGCTGCGGCGACTGGCGGCGCTGCTGCTGGCTAGCCCAAATACCTTTCTGATGGTGACAATAATGATTGCGATACTGACTAAATGGGGATAATGGAATTGAAAGGACAATTGCTTAGTCATAACTCTTTGTTTTTATTGGTAGCTTTCCTGTAAAGGCATCATTTGCGATGACAATATTTCAAAAAAGACGTTGTAGATCTATACAAGTCCTGTATTTTTGCATGGCCAGCTTTATATCGCTATCTCAAGAGCAACACCAGCAAATAATGGTATGACCATGCTACTACCAAAAAATATGGCATGAACGGAGAATGTAGTATACAAATGCTGCATAAAACTTGAACTCTTTTTCATATCGTTTCAATAATAGCATCCGTTAATACCAGTGTATAAGCAAGGGAGGAGGATACAGGGAGGAACACCTCCCCTTCTGACTCTAATATAGCCTTTCTTTACTATTAATTGATTGTTTAATATCTACTTGATATTCCAGATTTTTATTATCTCTGGTTTGGAATGTATTCGGCGAGAGCCCGCAGGGCGACGCTGTCATCGAGCGTAGCGAGATTAATCGACTAGTAGAAAATATACTCTGAATCGTAATACCCGGTAGTCTTACATTGGCTGTAATCTTATAATTTGTATGTTTTTGAGTGGGGAAATATGGCTACCATGGCTACCCTTTTAGGGGCTTGTACAAGATAAGCTTGGAAAACATTCCAAGTAATATACACTTGTAAATTTATGTGAGCGTCTAAAAAAATCACTCGATACATGCTTAAAAAATCAGACTAAGTTCTTTGGTTTCGCTAGATCAGCTTCCTGTGCTCTAACTTCATTGTTCAAAGTCAAGGGAAGATGCCAGCTAAAAGATGCCAGCTAAAAGATGCCATTGAACAAATCGATTCGTTTGTGATTAGTATTTGACATACTCAAGCCGAATGCCGTCAGATGTGTGTAATCTTGGCCCTTAGCGTTACAAATCACATTGCCATTATATTTGACATTGAAAGTCTTGTTTACAAACAAATTGGAGATTCATCAATCGAATATAAACAAGATGCGCTTTTGTGTACCACAAAAGAGACACGAATTGTTAGGGTTGAGCAAAGATGGCTCTGTGATCTGAAGCAAGAGCCGCAATCAAATACAAATGCTAATGTGAGTAAAGTGAATCAGAAATGACTACAATGAATACACAAGATTTTAATGATATTTGGCTAGACAATGAGCTTCGAGACTTTTCAGGCTACATAATCTCTGGCAAAGACTCCTTTGTTATCTGATCTATAAAAGCAAAGCTTATTCTGGAACGCTACCCTTGATCATTCAAGCCACTTTCTTATATACCTGTCCTACAACAAGCCTCTCCTGACATATCAATTCAAATCAAATATCAACATGGAAAAAGAAAAAGTTGTTGGTACACTTGTTGCTGTTCTCATGACCGGTGGTCTTTTGGCGTTGATGATGTTCGTTTCATTCCATGATTACTCTAAAGACACTGATTTTTAAATATACACATCAATAAACTGCTTTCAAAGGAGCATTTTCTACAGTCATACATAGACATCCTCTGACAATGTATCTGATTAAATAATAACTGACTCGTTTCAATCCTCTTTATCAAGTAGTTACGTTTGTTCTCTTTCTCCAAAACATGATTGTCAAACAGAAATGTTCATTGACTAAAATACTCTAGATCTATCCGTAACAGACAATTCAGGTCAGCCTGAATATTGAGATAGACACAGTGAGTAAGACTACCCAAGACTCAAAAATTTTAAAGCATAGCTTGACAGCACTGCGTTAAAGCATAGCTTGACAGCACTGCGTTAAAGCATTCTTGAGAACTACACACATCCTGTCGTCGCTATTTGGAATTTACTTCCAGAACGTTCATCGCCAAATAAATTGGATGAAAACCCAAATATGCAAATGTCTCTCTCTCTCTCTCTCTTTTCAATATTTAAATATCCAGAAACAATGCTTAGATCACTGCAGCGTCTTGGCAATCCATCAGTAGCTCTTCCGCGCACATTGAGTCCATTTGCGAGGTACTCTTCTCGAATGCTGATGACACCGAAACTATCCACATCCATGATTGTTCAACACAGCGCACGAATCCCTAAGCCGTTTTACACAGCCTGTCAAAACCACGGATTTCACACGATAACACCTCTTTTCAAGGAGCAAGAACCTAATGTCAATAGCAAGCAACACCAGATGCTGATTGGGTTTACATGCAAAGTCTGTAATGAACGCTCTCATCATACCATGTCCAAGCATTCCTACACCAAGGGAGTAGTGTTGATACAGTGTCCTGGCTGTAAAAACCGTCACCTGATTGCAGACAACCTAGGATGGTTCAAGGATAGTAGAACAACGGTAGAGGATCTTGTCAAGGAGAAGGGTGAAGCCATTCGCAAGATTATTGTGGATGATCAAGGTGTAGAGCGATTGGGCGACTTGATGGAATGGCTGCCAGAGATTACGGAGGAGGAAAAGGCCAAGAAGGAGGAAGCTAAATTGAAAGCAGAGGAATTGAAAAAATCGCAGGAGCAACACAAGGACCAAGAGTAATAGATGTATATATGTATCTCAACAATAGACTATGAATAAAGTGAATTTACACATGTAATTGGCATTGAAACAGCTGGCTGGCATACATATATTGAACATTGGATGATATGAGTCAAGTTCAGCAATAAAATTTATTATAGTATGGGGAATGAATATGATACATGCTGGTCAAGATACGCTGATCTAATCCGTATTATGGAAATCCAAGCCAGTAATGGTCTTTTTGACATAGCCAGCACGAATGACCCAATCACCAAAGGGCTCGCCTTGTTCTCTCTCCAAAGCATATCGTTTGATCATGGGTTGTACTTCATTCAGGATGTCTAGTTCCTTGAGATTTTCACGATAGATCTTGTTCAACCGTTCGCCCTTGTTATTACCGCCCAAGTACATGTTGTAAGTGCCAGGCGCTTTACCAACAAATGCCAGTTCGGCCAAGTAAGGGCGAGCACAGCCATTAGGACAACCCGTCATACGTACCACGATGGAGTCATCAGCAAGACCAGCCTCTTCCATTGTCTGTTCGAGAAGAGTAATCAGTTCAGGAAGATAGCGCTCAGATTCTGCCATAGCCAGACCGCAGGTAGGGAGAGCCACACAAGCCATTGCAGATTTACGAATGCCAGTGAAGGAGAGGTTGTCCAGCTTATACTTAGCCAAGTGTGCTTTGGTTTTCTCAAGATCGGCTTCAGGGACATTGGCAATGACCAGGTGTTGATTTGCCGTGAGTCGGAATTCACCCTTGTGGAATTTAGCAAGCTCTCTTAATCCAGTTTTGCAGAGGAAATCAGGTGTATCCTTGACACGACCATTTTCAATGAACATACCAAAGTGCCAAGTACCAGCGACACCTTGAGTCCAGCCATAACGATCATAATTGTCGCTGAATGTGTAGGGTCTTCCTTCTTCGAATGGAATACCACTGCGAGCCTCAATCTCCTTCTTGACCACCTCCACACCCATATCATCCACTGTGTACTTGAAACGAGCATGTTTGCGATTGACACGATCACCATGGTCACGTTGCGTAGTAACAACAGCTTCAGCCACCTTCAGGACAGCATCAGCAGAAATGTATCCAATAAGTGAAGCAGGACGAGGGTAAGTCTTCTTGTTGCCGTGTGTTTGACCCATTCCACCACCGATCAGGACATTGTACCCAAGCACCGTTTTTGTCTCGTGGTCGACGATAGCAATCAATCCAAGATCATGCGCATACACATCGACATCATTGTTGGGAGGAACCGCAATGACCACCTTGAACTTTCGAGGCAAGTAAGAGGGACCATATAGAGGCTCAAAATCTTGCACAGCATGACCTGCTACCATGCTGTTATCAAGCCAGATTTCATGATAGGCGTTTGTCTTGGGAGCCAGTAGGTCGCGTAACTGAATGACCAGGTCTTGCACTTGAGCATGGATCTCTGGAATCTCAGTAATAGCTGTGCTCATGATGTTACGATTGACATCGCCACAGGCAGCAAGCGTGGAGAGCAGCGCCTTGTTGATACGACGAACAGTTGTGCGCAAGTTTTTCTTGAGGACACCGTGAAGTTGGAAAGCTTGACGCGTAGTCAGTTTCATGGTATTGTTACCGTACTTTGTAGAGAGCATATCCATAGCAAGCCATTGAGCCGAAGTAGAGACACCGCCTGGAGTGCGAACACGAATGAGAAAGCTGTATGCCTTTTCCAGACCCTGCTTCTTACGCTCTTCACGCAAATCGCGATCATCCTGGACATAGGCACCATGAAACTTCATCAGCTTTTGAGTGATTTCAGTGACACCACCCGTAGAATCATCTACCAATTCAGCCGAGATATTGCCGCGCAAGTAATTGGAATCAATCTTCATCTGGTTATCAGTGTACGGAGGCTCCTCATCATTGGCACCGACATCCTTGACACCAAGCGCCTTCCAGAGTTCAGGTTGCCAGATGCCCAAGGCAGTTTCAAACCCATCTTCGTCTTGATCATCACCCAAGCCAAGAGCAACGAGTCTTGTTGCCCCCAAATTCTCAAATTTAGCATCCAAAAGCTTACCAGGACGATTATAAAAGATGGCATCTTCCTCGCGGGGCCAGTAATGGCTATCACCCAGACCAAAAACAGCCACATTCAGATCAGCGAAATTGACATCACCCACGGTCAGACCGTTCAGGGCCTTCCAGAATTCCCGAGCATTTGACGGCATTTCACCTTGACCAGCAGAAGAACAGACAAGCACCAGATTGGTTTCATTTCCAAGTTCTTGCACGTCTTCATAGTCATCCATGGCCATCAGCTTGACCTGAAGACCTCTGGCCTTGGCACGGTTGGCAATCTTCTTGGCAACTTCCTCAGCATTTCCATTGTCAGAGCCAAACAAAACAGTCAGAGGAGCACCATTGCTGGTACCCAGACCTGATAACAAGCGAGCATAGTCAGCACGAGCCTTTGCCTTGAGCTCAGCATGACGCTTTTTGACATCCTAATTCGTTAAATGCATGTCAGTAAAATGGATGAATAAATGGGATTCATGTACTTACAGATTCCAATGAACTGACTAAGGCATTTGAAATGTCAGGATGGCTTGACACTAGTTGAGTTAGATAGTTTTCTCTGGCCAAAAAGGCTTCCAGAGACTTCTTGATACGCTGAGAGTCCAGAGAAAACATATCTTGACCAGCAGCCTCTTCCAATGCAGGATTCCAACGATATAAGGGCCAAGCGCCCGTATCGACGCTCGTCTTGGTTTCTTTCAGAGTAGCAAGGGGATTTGGCACGTCGTACAGTTGAGGTAAATAAGCAAGAACAATCGAAGGGCCCTGATAGGCATCAGCCTCCATAAGAGCCTGTAGCACACCCGTGTAAGACGCATAAACAGCAACAGAGGCAACGTAGACAGAGCCATAATTCATCGCATAGAGGCCGATATCCTTCTTTTGCTGCTCTCGCCCGGTTTGACTCGTGTAAGCGGCTGTATCGACAATCAAGATATTGATGTTATCACCTGATGTCATGACATGATGAAGACCAGATTGACCGAGATCATAAGCCCATGTATCAGATCCAACAAGCCAGTTTGATTTCGTGTAAAGCAATTCCTTCTTGTCCAGTATGGATTGAGCAGCAGGGTACTCACCAGCAACAAAAGAGAGTACGCGAATCACCAAATCAGCAGCTTCTTTTACCTTGGACACGATCGACTGGCGAGCATTCACAAGCATGAGCCATTGAGAGAGAACACGAACAGCTTCCAAAGGAAGAGATGAGCTGCGAATCGCTTGCAAGACGAGGTCCACCAGACGTGATCTTTCTTGAAGACGGTTGACAATACGACCGTAGCCAAATTCAGGCGAAGCAGTGTGAGGATGAGAGACATTGGGAGACCACACGGAGGAAGCATGATACGCATTGGCAATGTCTAAGCGAGAGCCAAACACTTGATCTAGCATTTTGAGGTAGGGTGTTTCCACAGGTAAGATGGCTTCATGTTTCTTGCTGTTCTTGCGTATGTTGACCTCTAAAGACAAATCTTGTTGCTCACTAGCCCATTCATTAGGAGCAGTGATGGACAATGAATCAAGATCAGCCAGGATATCAGACAAGCTCTTCCTTGTCAATGAGACAGAAAAGTCCCTAACAGAAACAACAGTAGCTTGTTTACTGTGGGCAGCCTTCTTGACACCAGCAGGGAGGGTATTAGTATCACCGTTCATAAGAATAGCGCCTCCATGAGATAAAGCTTGAACAGCCTCAACAGCCGCCTGTTCTTGCTCGTGATGCAACGGCAGATGGGCTATTACAACAGCATCAGCAGATTGGATTAGAGATGGCAAAAATGAACCAACATGAGACGAAGCAACACGAACATGAGTAACATCTGATCCTTCCAGAGTGTAAACCTGAGCCCCCTTTCCCTGTGCAGTTTGCTGAGCAGCATAAGAGGAAGCGAGAGAAGGGCTTGATACGAAGATGACCTGTTCAGTGCCTAAAGGAACAACCTGCCACGGGAGAGCCTCCCTAGGTAAAGAGGACACTTCGAAGCGACGATTTAAACTGTTGCTGATCAATGACTTTATGACAGAATACACCATGTCAGGAGAGAAATCAGCATCTTCTACGCCATATTGTCCACTGACAATGTCCACCAGATCGTTGTTCGCTGTTTGATAAGCAGCAGCAACGTCCAAAAAGAGAGGGCTGTAGGTCGAGGTAGAGTCGTCTGTTGGTTCAAGTACGGCAATGCGCTGGACAGTGCTAGGTAAAGCATTTAAAAGAGACTGATCATTCCAGGGACGATAGAGACGAATCTTGAGAGCGCCCACTCTCAACGAAGGATTTGATTCAACCATTGCACACAGAGTTTGCTTGACCACATGAGCACCAGCACCCATAGCGATGATGACATGTTTAGCCTCAGGATGGCCTATGTACTCCAAGGGAGCATAATGCCTACCAGTGAGTTCAGCAAACTGATCGGCGACTTGATTGAACACAGCGACAACATCCAGTGGAGGAGATGTTACCTGATCTTGCTCTGTTGAGTCCTTTGGTTGGGCTAGACTGGCCTTGTACTTCAAGTAAGCAGATTGCTGGACGAGCTCGGGTACGGTCTTGCTCTTAAAGGAATCGTTCACCAGTTGCTCAGGAAGCAATCTCAACAGTTCATCGTTGCTCAGCACTTGAATAGACGTATACTCATTGGAGATGCGCTTGCTGTCAAAGAAATGAAGAAAGGGCGTAGAGGCTTGAAGAGACACAGCTTGAGCAATCAGGGCCAAGTCGTACGCCTCTTGTACACACGCAGCACTGAGTAGGGTCAATCCACTTTGTCTAACAGACATGACCTGAGTGAAATCAGCAAACGAAGATGACGAGTCATTGTGATCTGCAGCAACATGCAACACCGCCGAAGATGCATCTGAAGCGAGCTTGTACAAGTAAGGGATAGCAGCTAGCAAAGATTGAGAGGACAAAATGGCGCTGGACAGTTGACGACGAGCAATGGCAGTTGTAAGCTGCGATACAGGGTCTTCCATGTGATGAAGTTTGACAGCTTGGTTCCAAATATTCGTCTGAGTAAGTTGAGGCACGGATGGATCCACATTTGCATACACACGCTCATTTGTCAATTGAGCTACCAGGGTAGAGGCTTCTCTACCGTTGAGAAATTGCATCTTGAAAGCGTTAATAGACAGTGAGAGGGAGAGAAGAGCAGAGTAGGGGTGAAGAGGAGGAGAAATGCAGCAATGATACAAGAAGCAAGCGTATTTAAACGATCCTGAACTGATGTATAAAATTAAATTCGAAATAAATGTCGCTATAGCACACAATATCTTGTTATTGTTATTGGGCGTACTCAATCATTTTTGATAAGGGGGTGTCAATACACTCGCTCACTCCGCTGGGTAAAATTCAGGACAGGACATGCTGAAACAATCGATGAATTGATTGTGAAAGATGGTCTGATTTTTATTGAATCTGTCTAGGATTTGAAATAGTAGTATATGTATTGTAAGGTATTAAAAAAGGGTATTATTCTAGTTTTTGGTCTTGCTCTTTTTCCATTCACAAGCATACGGGTTCAAACGTGTTTTATGCGTGGATGTTGGCGTCGGCTTGAAAGCGGCAGTGTTCCGACGTTGCTGATGTGGGTTTGGTGCGCTGCTGTGATTGACGTTTGGGATCTTTATCGTGTATTTGGAAGGCTGCCCATTGATTTCAGTCGTAAATGTCAAATAGCCATCTTCCGTTGTGTATCCTCCATTACCCACTGGCGCTTTCTTTTTCTTCTTTTCATGGCATTTGTTCAGTTCCATCTGCAAGTAATTCAGCTGAATCTGGTTGACTTCTTCAGCTTGTTTAAGGTGGCGAATCGTCTCGTCCCTCTCCATCAGCGATTGATTCAAATCAAAGATCTTCTTTTCGTCATCCGAGTGCGCCTGCTTCTTTTCAAGCTTCATACAGGCTTCAAAATAGCTTGTTTGCAATTCTCTGTATTTTTTTGCCCATTCATCAGCACTCTTTTTAGCCTCGTCTTCGGATTCCATCATGTCTGCCCAATTATCCATCTGTTTGCCAGGCTTCTTCTTTGTCTTGCCAAAGTCTTCGCTGCAGTCAATACCGTCGACTGTCGTTGTGGTGCTGGCGGATGGCTGGACTTTGCGCTGATTCTGCTGCTGCTGCTGCTCTTTCAATTGCTCTATTTCCAGGATGTGTCTCTTTTTATCTTGCTCGTACACAGTGGCTTGCTCTAGTAGCTGTTGATTGATCTCTTGCAAATGTTTCAATTGCTTCTTCAATTGCGCGTTTTTCGCTTTGAGGTCGTATGTTGGCTTGTCATCAATCATTTCTTTCGCATTGTTCTGCTTGGCGTTGGGCTTTTGCTGTATTGCCTCCTCTTTTAGCTGTTTGATCGTCTTGAGATCCATTTCATGCTGCTTTTCTAGTTCCACGTTTCGAGTCTTCAACACCTCTAGTTCAAACAACTGCCTCTTTGCCTCTGTGTACTTTGATTTGTATAGGCCAAGTTCTTTTTGCTGTAATGCTATATTAACATCCTCCTTCTCAACTGGGCTTGCACTGGCAATGGACTCAAACGTCATTCTTCTTTGCATGTCCACTTGAGTTTCCATACGATCGATCAAAGTCGCTGCGAATCCAAACATCTCCTTTTTCTGCTCTTCCCAAAACCTGCGCGCATCCAAATGGCTCTCTGATGCTCTCCACACAATCTGGCCGAGATGAAACTGCAATTGAGCTTCAATGACGCTATCAATTCTGTCGAGTAGTTGATCGCTGTCAGCACTTGCTTTTGGTTTACTGGGTTTTTCATCTTGAGCGGCAGTAGCAGCGGTGGTTGATTGGTATGTTGAAGGGATTTGTGGAACAGGTGGCACAACTGAGTAGGATATGGAATGCGATGGTAACTAAGAATTCGTGGTGTTTGTTATTACATGGATAGTGACATGATACATCTGCTATAAGCCAACTTACATTGGTCACTTCGCTCAATTTCCTCAGGGCCATGAATCTCGGGCTGACAGCACTATTGCTGCCAAATTCCTTTGTGTAGTTGTCCACGATGGATGGTTTGTGGTTCTTGTCCTTCACTGTTACGGGAGTCGAGGCTGATGGTTTTATGATGGTTTTTGAAAGTCTGCGTGCCTTCAAAACGTGTGAAGGGGGACACAGAGCATTCAGCGAGTTTCTCTCTTGCAGCAATTGCGATGGCCTTCTGCTGAACGATGCCTTTCTTTCATAAAGATTGTCTTCCAATGTATTCTCCACATTGGTATGAGCACTATTTAGATAGCCTGTAGACAAAGCAATCCATTAACAACAGGTCCCTTCTTTTTTTTTTGACATACAAGGGGTTGGGGGCGTAGTTGCATTGTATCACATACCTTGCTGTTGTTCCATCATTTGTTTATCTTCATGAATGATGGGTGCAGTGGGATGGTAGCACACGCTATCATCGTGTTTACTGTTTGTATGGTACGGATGAATGCTTGCTGGAGATGCCGACTATAGCGCTTATAGGTTAGATATTTGTTATTTGTTGTCATGATGTAGTGTGTCTACCTCGTGTGCTAAACCCATAAACGTATCCTGCTCCTCGTCCATGTCAGAATCGTCATCTGTCATCATATCATCATTGATGGTAATCTTAAAATCTTTCTCGAGTAGATCCTGAAGAGTAAATGAGTGATTTAGCATACAGGCTAATCGTGTAATTGAGCGGTTTGCTACACTAACCATTTCGGGTTCCTCATAATGAGTATCAATAGTCGCAGTCTTTTCGTTTGATTCACTACCACGTGGTGGCGTCTTTTCAACTGTGGTGGTGCCTGGCTGTTGTGAATGATTGGTGCTTGTTGAATTCAATTTCTTGGACAGTGGCCGCTGTGGAGGGCTGAGATGAGTAGTAGTCATGATTGAATTGATGGCAATGGCAGTGTGTGTGTGTGTTTGCTCGTATGTCAAAGTAGTCGGAAAAAGGAGGAAAGCAGAAGAGAGAAGAGAGGAAAAGGAAAAAGGGACCCCATCTAATAAACATTTTATATATATATATATTTAATATTGTCAATTCGAATCCTAAATAAACTTGCCACCTTGCCAGAAAAATGGTGACACTTACTCAAAAAGGCCATTCTACAACGAGCTCTGTAATATTACAAGTGGTGATACAGCTCTCACCTGGCACCAATTGACTCTGCCCTTACTCTGACGCTACACCTGTCAAAGGACATTTGCCATGCACAAAGTTACGACAATAAAACGTAGCTTTAATTGATTCATCTGTCATTTATAGGCTATCATACTTTTTCTTCTTAATTTGGGCATTCCATATGCCACCTCATATGTCAAAATAGCCCCTTTTGTACTGCTGGTTGCTTATTGTTGCTATTATAGTCCTTCAGTGTGATCGGAAGATCTGATCCCCACAATAAATGTCACTAAAAAAGTCAACTTGACAACAGCAGCACTTTGTGTAGAACAGAACTCATAATGTCGTATATTTGAATACTGATTTAAGTCTTATTATAACATCATGTTATTTTACTTCTTGCTGCAACTGGGCTAGTGTTTAAACATGCATGCATTTTAGCAGTGGGATGGAAATTTCTGCTATGCCTTTTCGTTTGTAATTACTAAAGTAATCGCGGCAATGGGGAAATTTCTAGATCCAAGACGGACGTTTCATGTGCTCGCCTTGTCATCCTGAATCATAACTATAAAGAGTTTGCCAATATATGCACTATCATTTTAGCATTGCAACCTGTTGTTGATATGCCTAGGTAAATTTAATTAGATATTAAGCACGATGGGAGACAATGTTGTCCAAGAAGTCTCTGACGTTATCTAAAAGCATTTTGAATGCAAAATCTGAGCAAGGAAAAGTCTAAATGCTTTCAAAAGATGGCTCTTAAATCCCAAAGGGCGTTTTTAGTTTTATCAAAGGTGTCCAGAGGGCAGATTTGGGTTCTTTTCTCTTGACCATTGCCAAAAAGGCATCACCTTCAACACCAGCATCTACAACAATACCAGCGTCCTTCTTATATCATAATCAAATCCATAGAAATTCAGAGGCAAAAAGATAGAGATTAGAGAGACGGCCAAGAATCAGAAGTTCTTCATTAATCGCGCCTATGATAATTGGACCATTGTAAAGTTTTTGGTCTATAAAAATGAAATGCTTGTAAACGTATGATGGACTGGGAACAGTAGTTACTATTGAAAACAATTCGTTTGAGTGATAGAAAGGCGCAAGTATACATCATACAGCGATGCTACAAAATATGAGAATAATATAAGTTCATTTATCAGCAAATGCAAAAAGCAACTTGATCCAAATTTGCTTGAATATTTGACAGAGTTAAAAAATGAGTTGGTAATGCCCAAATAGAAAAGAAGAAACGCGTATACTAACACTAGCCGATCTATCTCGCTACGCTTGATGTCGGCGTCGCCCTGTGGGCTCTCGCCAAAGACATTTTAAATCAGGTATTATAACATTTTGGTATATCAAGAAGTAGATTTTATACAACCAGCTATTAGTTAGTAAAAGAAAGGTTATATCAGAGCCAGGAGGAGGGGAGGAGGTATCTCCCTCAGCATCCTTTTTGCTTACATTGTTATCAAACAAAGCCTATTATTGGGACAATGTGAAAGAAAATCCAAGTTTTATGCAGCATTTGTACATCACAATCGCCATTTTATGGTCGTATCATTCGCCGCTGCTGATGTTCTTAATAAGATGGCGACATAAAGCTGGTCATAAGTAAATTCGACATTTTGGCCAGAAACTTCTTTTCATATTTTTATAAATTATTCAATAAGTTTAATCAAAGCATACCTTTTAGTTGGTACCATTGTATGTGCCTTGACAAGTACTCTAAGAAAGTATTAAGAAGTACATGAAAATTCTCACAATTCATATAGTCAAACTTTGCAAAATAAGTTTATCAATTTGACCAGAAAACAATACCGGAGATTGAATCAGTTTTGGCGGCGGCTGGCTTATGATGCCATGTTAATTATAAAGGTAATTGATACTGTTGGAAGCTCGCAAGAAAAACATAGCGGATTGAAAGTGCTATCACTTTGTCTGACAGCGTTTGTCGTGTCGTTTTGTACCTGATAACGCCATTAAGCTCGGCTTATAATCACAATTGTTGTAAGTACAGTTTCCTTTTCGAGACTTCGGAGGTGTCTATCGACAATAAATTCAACATGCTATGATTATTATGAGATCGTTGTAACCAGACGCAAACAAAATTTGAAATATTAAGAACTTTTTTTAGCTGTATTTTATTTGTTTTTAAATAGAAAACGGAAATTGTAAAGAAATGTGTATACCATAGAAATAGAAAAGTGTTTAAGCGTTGATTTGTTGGTTCTCGGCTGCGAACTTGTCCATTCTTGCTTCTAATTCGGGTCTGAAATGACGGATAAGACCTATAGATCATGATTGTTAGTTTCTCTTATCTATCTGACATGAAATCGCAACATTACCTTGCACTGGCCAGGCTATTGATTTGAAAAAGAGAGCATTGTGTTAATCAAGACATACTAGACATTGTAAAACAAAAATGACACTTACCAGCAGCATCACCAAGGGCACAGATAGTATGGCCTTCGATTTGCTTTGTTAACTCCCAGATTTGTTCAATTTCTTCTCTTTGACCACGACCAACTTCGAAACGATCCATCATAGATTCGAGCCACTTGGTACCTTCTCTACAGGGTGTACATTGACCACAAGACTCATGACGATAGAACTTGGCAAATCTAGAAATAGCACCAACAATATCTGTAGACTTGTCCATAACAATAACAGCTACAAATGCAACAAAAATACATTTTAATCGAGATCCACTAGCATGTCAATCGATCCAAACTTACCAGCTGTACCAAGACCGGATTGGACATCACGAAGAGCATCGAAATCCATCCTGTAAATTATGATATGATGAGTGCGCAATCCAATGTGGCAAATGTCCATGAAAACTTACAAAACATCCTCACAGATATCTTTGGGAATGACGGGGACGGAACAACCACCGGGAATGATACCAAGCAAGTTATCCCAACCACCTCTAATACCGCCACAATGCTTCTCGAGCATTTCTCTCAAAGGCATTGACATTTCCTAAATGAGCTATATGTTAATATGCAAAGCCTCTAAACAATATATACTATCAAGTTACCTCTTCAAAAGTGGCAGGATGGTTAACATGGCCGGAAACACAGAAAAGCTTGGTACCAGAGTTGCGGGGACGACCGAAACTGGCGAACCAAGAACCACCACTACATCATGCATCAATAAGCATCGAAGTCTAATATAGCACATGCATCAAACAACTTACCGTCTAAGAATAGTAGGGGCGACAGCAACGGTTTCGACGTTGGTGACAGTAGTAGGACAGCCAAAGAGACCGATATCGGCAGGGAATGGAGGCTTCATTCTAGGCTTACCTTGCTTGCCTTCAATGGATTCGATCAAACTGGTTTCCTCACCACAGATATAAGCACCAGCACCGCGATGAATGTAGACATCAAAGTCATAGCCGGTACCACAAGCGTTCTTACCGATCAAACCAGCCTTATAAGCTTCGTCAATTGCGATTTGGAGATTGTTGGCTTCTTGATAAAATTCACCACGAATATAAATATAAGCTGCACAATCCAGAGAGTTAATAACATTCAATTAGCAGCTACTTTTATGGGATATATTACCAGCGTTGGCCTTCATGGCAGAACCAGCAAGAAGACAACCTTCAACCAATTTGTGGGGATCACCACGAAGAATCTCACGATCCTTACAAGTACCTGGCTCACCTTCATCAGCATTGATAACGAGGTAACGAGGACTATACAAATGATGCAAGCAATTAATGTCCACAATTGATGATCGAGATTGATGGGTGAAATGTCGATATTTACCGGCCATCTAAGGGTTTGTTCATGAAACTCCACTTGAGACCAGTAGGGAAACCAGCACCACCACGGCCACGAAGACCAGATTCCTTCATCTCCTTGAGGATCCATTCATGACCCTTGAGGACCATTTCCTTGGTCTTGTACCAATCACCACGCTTCAAGGCACCCTTCAAACGGAAGTCGTGCTTCATGTAAAGATTGGTGAAAATACGATCCTCATCACTGAGATTACCGTAGGTTGTCTTGCCAGTGATGGGGTTGGCATTTGGGTCGGGAGTTGCTTCAGTAGCAAAGGTGCGTGCTACGGAAGGAAGGGTTCTGAGCTGTTGGCGAGCTAATATAGGTGCTGCTGCGAATTTATAAAAGAAAAATGTTATTCCACAATCATCCCACATCAAATTCTACAAATAAAGAATCATTACCACGCTTAACGGTAATTGTTCTCAACATTGACCGATTGAATTATACAAAAAAGAGGGGGGTGAAAAGGTTTATAGAAGAGAGGGGGGTTGTTTAACAAAAGAAAAAAATCTAAAATTCAAGTTGGCAGCCTTGTATAGTTGTTTTTTGTTTGGTAGGCCATCACATTTTCACCCCCCGTTTGCTCACTGCCCCACATTGTTTCCAAAACCATGGCCTTCACTTGAATGACGTCGCATCGGATAGCCAATCTAGCCTTCATTCTACGGCTACACAATGCCCCTTAATGAAAGCACCATGGATCTGAAATGTCAAATGTGAGAATTCTCGATCCAAATGTTGCCATGGCAACCATCCCTCTGGTATTCATTTCTATATAAATAAGCAATTTTTATGAATACTTTTGCTCTTTTCTTTCATTAAATTCATATTTCATGATGCTACTCAAACTTGCTTTCATCATATGTTGCGTCGCTTACAATGTTATTGCCGGATCCAGCGCATTCTATGGTCTCAATTATGGCGTGAGTAAAGAAGCATGTCCTTCGTTTGATACGGTCAAAAGAGACTTCCGTGTACTATCTCAATACACAAACACGGTCCGTGTGTATTCTCTCAAGGATTGTGATATTGGCCAACTCGCTCTGCAAGCATCCCAAAAGGCCAAAATGAAGATTTATCTGGGAATGTGGATAGACAAAACAGATTCATTTGAGCAAGAGTATCAGGCTTTGAAGAGGCTTGCAATGTCAAATAGCCTCTACAATGTTGAAGCCATCATCGTAGGATCTGAGGTCATGTACAGAGAGGATATGACAGCCGATGAACTTGCCAAACGCATCAACATGGTAAAGAGTTTGGTTGGACCCAAAGGAATCAAGGTGACCACATCTGAAGTATACTACAAATTCTATCCCGAGATCATTGATGCTGTGGATTTCCTCATGATGTAAGTTTTATATACCACATTGTTAAAATAATATAGACATTTAGAACGTTTGGATAGGAATGCATTCATTTATTGGGAAGGAGAGCATATTGACAATGCTGTGGACAAATTGAAGGAGCATTTCTTGTCAGTAAAAGGCATCTCTAAAGGAAAAGTTGTGCGTATTTCGGAAACTGGCTGGCCAGACCAAGGGGATCAATTCAAAAACTCAATCCCATTGCCAGAAAATCAAAAAAAGTGAGTTAACATCCCAATTGGCGTTTGCTTCTATGTTTACTCATATCATCAAACAGCTTCTTGATGAAAACCCTATGCATGACTCGCACATTAGGAATTGACATGATTTGGTTCTCTGCTATTGATGAGCTCTACAAACCAGGCGTCGAAGGACATTTTGGTCTATTGGATTCGAACAGAAAATTAAAATCTTTCTATCAATTTGACAACTTGATGAATCCCTGCATCGCTTAATTTAGCTCATATCCCATTAACAAATCCCGTTTTTTTTCACAACATAATTTCAGATTAAATAAACACATAGCATATAGATATTCATCTAATTACATATCGAGGGGTATCAACATTTACTTGTTGTGGAATGGTATGGCGTTGCCTACATGTCGCGCGTGATAATTAGAGACTCCAGGGGCTGAACGCTCTTTAGAGAAAACACATGTTACTACAGCTTTGTCTTTGCAGAAAGGCTTCTGTAGCAGCAAATGAGCAGTTGGGTATGTAGACAAAAAGATTGGCTTGAATAGGTTTTTTTTTTATTGCTGGAAAAAACGGATTAAAAATTAGTAGTAATAGTAGGTCTTTTTCCTTTATATCTATCTGATTCATTAAAATTCATATCCTTCCACCTTGAATAGCTCGGCAAAATCGAAATATTGTGTCATCAATTGCTGCACAGGACGGGGTAAGTTCATGGAAGTCAACATATTCTGCATCTTGGAGAGGCCCTCTCTGCGAATAACAATGTTGAGGTTACGAGCAATTTCGCTTGGGTACTATGTGGATCGGATGAGCCTCTAAAGTATCACAATTCCATCAATGATTACTTACCACAATTTCATGGTACCAACGCTCATGGTATACTGTCAATTTCACTGCAGCTAAAAGAGCTCTTTGGACGTTGGATTCAGTAACATATATCTCCAAAAGCTTCATCCAAGCCTTGGCAGAGAATTTGTGATCCAAGCACTGTTCATATGCCTCTCTTGCTTCATTTTCATGCCATAATCTAAGAGCAAGATCACCCAATAGCTCCCATTCAGTACCAGTCTTACGATAGGGCATTTGTTGAGCACGATAATGTGCGGCTTCGGTTCTCCAGAAAGTATAGATACGCAAATCTTCGTACAATACCATAAACAGATTGTCTAGCCAACGCTCACAAAGACGTTTGTTGCTGAATGAAAAGTTGACACCATCACTGGGGTGTGGTGTGTTGATGGGCGCATCGTTGGAAGTAGACGTGCCTTCAGTCTAGAGATAAAACAAGGGTTAGCATGTGTATGAATGTTGATTGTCACCAGAGATTGCTACCTTTGAGTTGTCCTCCGCTGCTTGGGTAGGACGTTCAAGTGGAGTGTGATGCACCTCAACCTTTGGTTGCTGTTGGTTTTCTTCTTCAGCTGCTTGCTGTTGATTACTCTCGTCAGCATTTAAATCAACAGTGTCCATTTGATCAGCCAACTCATCAGAATTTTCAGTGGTTTCTTTTGTTTCCTCTGATGGTTCTCCATTTTGAGATCCTTCCTCTTCTTTAGCGTCTTCTTCCTTCTTATTTTCCTCGCTATCAGACACGGTGGTAGCACTAGTCTCTGCTACTTGCTCCTTTTGCTCGACACTCTCTTGAGCATTAGCACGCAAAGATGCTGTGGGCTCGTCTTTGCTGTGTTGCTGTTGCTCGTTAACGGATGTGCTCGACTTTTGAGTATCTTCCTTGGCCTTTTGCATACGGTATTCCTCCTCCATAACGAATACTTGAGATCTGCATTTCAATAAATCGTCCCATCCAATCTTACTAGCTAAGCGAGTCAAAAGTGCATACGCTTTAGCAAATGTTCCATGTAATGCGGGAGCGGGGAGACGAGCCAAGTTGGGGTCAGCCTCATTCTCTCTTCCAGCAGCATCTTCTTCCATGATGCCTGAATTCATGATCTCTGCTTTGATAGGTAAATGTGTCTTGATGGGCGCAGGCATACGATGCATATCACGCTCGCTGTAAGTAAACATGGGACAAGAATTCAATGTCAACAGTGCCTGTAGAACTTGTTAGCATATTGAATTTTGCATGAAATCAGCCTGTATGTAATTTACATTCTTGTAGTCCTCAAGATCAATATAAACTAGACATCAGAATGTAAGTACCACTGTCGGTCTGGCGCTATCAAGTTTGATTTACCTTCAGTTAGTTTGGCCCATGTTAAAAATTCGGAAGGTGTAGTATTCACGGCAAATTTAGCCAGTTTCAGAGCCATGTGATATTCGCCCTGTCGTCAAGCAGCCAGCGTCAGTCGCTATCACAATAGCCATGAATATCAAATACCTGCCTTACTGCGAAGATAATCTACTTGCACATGCAACAAAGGGTAACTCATGGGCATACGCTTCAAATCCTCGTTCAAAACTTTGACAGCTTTGATTTCCTCGTTCTGTCCAATAAATGATTGTGCCAGCAGAGCACCTACTTCAGGATCTTTCTTTTGCAGCTTTTGGTAGAGTTCAATGGCGGGACCATAACGGAAACTGTCGCCAAAGTACTTCATCACGCCTGATGTCAAATGATTATGTACAGTGGTGGCAGTTTGAATTTCGGGGTTGCTCCCTAATTGCCATCCACGCCAGAAGAGAGCTTCCACAGCTTCCAAAAATCTCTGTTCGCCGGCTAAATTGTTGATGGGATCGATCTTGCGATACCCAGCTAGTCTGTAGTAACTATCGTCAGAATAAAGGATGGCACGAAGGACAGCTGAAAGGTATGTCTCTTGCCAAATAGCGGCAGTGGCTTCGTGTCTAACGTACGTTTTATATAGTGAGCAGTGTGATGATCAATATCTCGTCCTACAGCCAGCCATACCTCTCTCCTCTCACATCCACATAATAGCTCTCTACACCGCCGGGAATCTTTACTTCGACACGAACATCCACACGAGAGAATGCATTGAAACAGCTAGTGATTTTAATTGTCAGAATATATTAATCCTTGGTTGGACGAGGTACTACATTACCAGTATATTCCAGAGCGAATTCTCCAAGCATTTGACTTGGAAAACCAAGATTGGGTGTCATCCTAGATGTGTTCAACGTCAGTCCTGATTGAATCTTATGCCTCTCAGCCATGCTAGTACCAGTGAGTATGTGAGTGAGTTCAGATAAGCTGCCAACGTAGCGGAAGAGGAGGCATCAACACCAGAGACATAATGGTAACTGCCAAGCTATTTCAAACAGTGTGAGTCGAAAACTCGTCTGAATAAGTTTTCAGTATGAGGCTATGTACCTCTTTCATTCCAGGTTTTGAGTGAGCTTTGATAACATGGCACAAGTCTGGTGGACCCAGTTCACGAAAGGTGCCTATAGATTACATGTTGATATACACATATACCTACGCGCCCTGCAATATGTAACTATACCTAAAGCGTCAGTACGTGCGGCGATGGACTCGCCGAGTTCAGTCTCAAAGAACTCTGGGATGTCTTTGAGTGTATCAGCCATCTTTTGTTGTGGTTTTGAAATGTTGAGAAAAAGATAAAAAAGGGTAATTTGAATTTCGTGTACCGTTTTTGAACTGGAATATACTCTGTGCTTCCAGATGCGTCTCTCCATTTAAACCGCACTATACACACCTTGCAAGCGGTCCAATCATACATGGAATATAGCAGCGTGTGCATACCAAATGTCAAGGTTAGGAAACCAACAGTTCATATATGTGCTGTTAATGTGATCTACAGGCAAGCTGTCTTGTCACAGCCTTGATGTTCTGCTATTGGGAAGCCCCAAGCTGCGGTTTCTCGGGACATTTGTCATGGAATACGGTGCTTTGATTGAAATCAATAAAAAACGTTTAATAATACGAAAGCTCTACAGGGTATTCACCACTGTCAGATCAGCAAAAGAAGCGATCTGTTCTTTGCTCAACCCAGTAGCTGTGGAGAAATAGCCACTTTAATCCTTAACGCTATTTACTGTACAATCAATGACCAGATCTTCTTCATCAGCTGCGTTCATGCATCGTATGCCTGCAATGCAAACTGAAGAATGAGGACCTGATAATTGTGTGTGCGGTTGCGTTGAATGCCGATATCGAAGCTTCTGTTGAAGATGTGTAGAACTAGCTGAGTATCCCAAACAAATGCCTGCAGGAAAGTACAGTAGTTCAGACCAAATCATCCAGTGATGTCTTCAACTTAGTGTGTTTTTGATGTTAGCCTGTGAAATTAGAGCTCGTCATTTAAATACATGAAAGCTGGTATATGAACGGTGCCATAGATCATACGAGTTTTTGATCCATAAGGTATTACAGAGACTCCTTGCGATAGCAAGTAATCCAGTCAACACCGGCAAAAATGGGATTTCTGTAAGAATATACCATAGATATGCTACACAACATTCAAAGCACAGTGTCTTGGTTAACGAGTCGAGACGATATTGGCAAACTTCTTCTCCTTAATGTATTATTTACGAAATACCAAGAAATGTGTCAATATCCTGGTAACTAACTTGATCCTAACAAGTACACAAACTATAAATCTGTGAGCCCCCTTAAGCATGGAGTGTAGGTTAATTGTTATGCACACAAATCATATGTCTATGATTGATGTCATTTGCACAAAATTGCTCATAGATTATGCTTATGTAAAATACGTAGAATCGTGAACAAGGGTTCATTTAGAGTTGCAATGCAAAAAAATGAATTAAATGTAACTAAATTCGGACTAATTAACGGTCATTACGTGCATATATACTTGCTGCCACTGCTGTTGCCTACTGCTATGGCTTATTCGTTTGCAGTTTGACATAATCATCTTCTTGTGGTGTTCATTTGTTTGGACACTTCTTTTTTATTCTCTGGCTCAAGTCTCCTTAAATTGATTAAAGCCGCAAGATCATATAAATACAAAGGCAAATCAATGTCAAAACGAGATATCCCAATTCCCACTTTGATTCTAGTCCCTCATCCCGCACCTGAATTTCTTGATCTGGCACCTTTCAAAGCGATTGAATAGAGTACCCTGATCCTTCTCCCTTTGTTCTTATCTTTCTCTTATATAAAAATATAACTCCCTGTGTAGAGACATCACTACAAACAACGATAATCACACATATATCACTGTCTGGTTCTCGATCTGCCTCCTTTTCCTCATCCATCTCTTTTTTTTTTCAACGCTATTTCAATACAGCCATGATCTCTGCATCAAACCCAGTTATGATCAACTATCCAGCACTAACATACAAGCAAAAGATCAATGATAACCTATACAATTTCCCAAGGCGATTCAAAGCGTATCTACTAGGGCTTTTCCCAATCATTCAGTGGATTCATCGCTATAACTTTTCGGTAAGAGGATACTTGAAGCTGGCTGTTCTCAAATACTTACTCAGTTTATATACACATTCACGTACAATAGTGGCTAGTCCAAGATGCAATCGCAGGCATAACGGTAGGAATGCTTATCGTGCCTCAAGGCATAGCTTATGCAAAGATCGCAAACCTGGATCCACAATACGGCTTATAGTGAGTATATATGCGCAAGCTTATGAGCTTACATGGCATTAATCATGTCATAGTACATCATTTGTGGGCGTTACATTATATTGCTTCTTTGGAACATCAAAAGATATCAGCATTGGCCCCATTAGTAAGAATTGAAAGAATATGTACTACTAGTCCACCATCTAACTATCAAATCCTATACAGCTGTTGTCTCACTCCTCGTCGGCCAAGCTGTAACAAAAGTAACTGAAGCACATCCAAATATCACTGGGGCTGAAATAGCTGTTTGTCTTTCGCTGTTTTCTGGCCTTACTACAGTACTGATTGGCCTTGTGAGACTTGGGATACTAGTCGACTTTATCTCAGAACCTGTCATTGCTGGTTACATGACAGGCTCAGCCATTACCATCTCATTTGGTCAATGGCCCAAAGTGTTTGGTCTGAAAGCGGTAAATACGCATGAGTCTCCGTATCTAATATTTTACAACTTTTTCAAGCACTTACCAGAGACCAAGCTTGATGCTGCCTTTGGATTGACAGCCTTGATGGCTCTGTATATCATTAAAATCGGTGGTGCTCATCTGAGTCAAAAGGTCTCTAAGCTAAAGAAGCCGCTCTCCTTTTTGGGAATCATGCGAAGCGGTTTGATTGTTATTCTCGGTACACTCGCGTCGTATATCATCAATGTTCACCATCACAGCAAGCCATTAATCAACATTATTCAAGAAGTACCTGCTGGGTTTGATGCCATAGCAATTCCAACGTTGAACATGACTATTTTAAAGGAAGCCAGTGGTGTGTTGCCTTCCATTGCATTGATTCTAATCTTGGAACATGTCTCTGTTGCAAAGTCATTTGGTCGTATGAGCAATTACAGTATCAATCCAAACCAAGAAATTTTAGCCATTGGTATGAGCAATATTATAGGGTCTTTCTTTGGGTAAGTCTAACGATAGTTAAATAAGAATAAGGTAACTAACATGGCGATATAGCGCATATCCTTGCACAGGTGCTTTCAGCCGCACCGCTGTTATGGCTCGTTCTGGCGCAAAAACGCCAATGGCTGGTGTGTTCTCAGGTGCTGTTGTTGTTCTTGCATTGTATGCGCTTACACCCGCCTTTTATTACATACCTGAGTCAGTCTTGGGTGCCGTTGTGATTCATGCTGTTATTGATTTGATCTCAGGTCCCACTTTCCTTAAAAACCTTTGGCAGCAAAGCGTACTGGAGTTTATGATTTTTGCCATTGCGGTTGCCATTACGTTTTTCATGGATGTTGAAACTGCCATATACGTCTCTGCGGGTCTTTCTCTGTTGCTCATGTTGCTGCGTCTAGCTCGCCCATCTGTTTCAAGCTTGGGTCGCGTAAAATTGAACCCTGCATACAGTAACCTTTCGGCATCATCTTCGTCTGCAACGCCCAAACAGAAACATGCCGCACATAATATCTATGGCATGGATAAGACAGCCCGCTACATATTTGTGGATGAAAAGGATACGCATTTCTCTGGTTTACTGGACCCACTTCCTGCTGGTATTATTGTGGTCCGACTAAGCAACTCCATCTTGTACCCCAACGCAAATTATATTACTGAAAGAATGACTGAACTGATCAAATCTCGTACTCGTTCTGGCAATGAAGACGATGATAGCTCACAGCAAGAAGAAAGTCCTTGGAACCAGCCTGTTGCTTCAGCAAAAGAGGATATGCTTCATCGACATGCTCTCAAGCCTTATTTAGAAAGCATTGTATTAGACTTTGGCAGTGTAGACAAATTGGATGCAACTGCTCTTCACACATTGCATGCTATGAAACAGTCTTTTGATAGTTATGCCGGTGGTAAAGCGGTAGAGTGGCACTTTTGCCAGATTGCGAACCAGCAAGTGAGGCAGCTGCTGATTGAAGCAGGGTTTGGGTATTTATCAGAAGCCGAAAAAGACTTTACATGGTCATCTCTGGTTGATTTGAAAAGGGCAAAAGATACAACAGCTATACCTGCAACGGAAACCCCATTTTACAGTGCAGGCAGTGTTCCCACTATGAATAGCTTATGTGATCCAATGGGTATGATGTTCGTTGAATCATTTGATTCATCAACATTGAATGCAACTACAGCCTCTCACCAAGAATATCAAGAATCGAGTCCTATTGAACTTCTGCCAAAAGATACCTTTCCTGCTTTCCATTGGGATGTTGAAGAGGCTGTTTACTCTATTTGTGCTAGACGTCATAACCAGAAAAAAAATTGTCAACAACTTCAGAATTCTTCTTCAATTACTGTTACCATATATTAAAATTACCATTATATACTGTAAAACATTCAAAAAATAGTCGAGAAACAAATCACATCCTTTCAAAAATTTAAAGAATTGAGTACCTTACAAGGTGAATAAACCACCGGCGAAGCCGGCATTGGGGAGGGGATTTGGAGGAGGTGCTAGGCCCATCCACCAAGAACATAATATATCTAATTCAACATTTGGTAACATTGTCCTATAAGGCAGTTTTACCGTAGCGAAGTGAAGGTGAAAAACCATGGCAACTAAGCATGTAATCCAACATTTGGTAATATTAATCTCAATGAGGGTTTTACCGTAGCGAAGCGAAGGCACAAAACCATAGTATTGCACCTGGAAAATTCGGGTTTTCATTTCTATTGTTAATAAGCTTACCAGCTACATAGCGCATCAAAATTTGCATGAATCAGCTTTACCAAAATCAATGTACCTCCTATTCAAATTAAAAATTGCTCAAGCTACAGAACTGCCTTTCCAGTAAATTGCAGCTACCAGAGATGTGATTTATGCCGTGTAAATAAACTCTATAAAGCAAAAACATAACCAAATTTGGCAGCTTTCAAACCTTCTTGCCTTATCCTGTAGACCTTAATGAGCCACCGGAATGACGCCAAACAATTGTACTTGAGTAGTAGTAACTTCCTGCCACCTTTGCTTAACTTTTTGGGGATCAAAAAAATATGGCCAGAAATCGACCAAAAAGCATGAGGGGTACCTCATGGCTTTCATCGAAAATCAAACGATCGCATTTTTCACCTTGAAAATGAAGACTTTTACTATGGTATATATCAAATCAAAATGTTTCTATCGATCCAAAGCAACCTCTGAAACCAGTTTTATGAGGCTTTCATATGCAAAATATGGCTATTTTCGCTAAAAACCTCATTTCATATTTTATTAAATTGTTCAATAATTTCAGCAAAAACATCTATTACAATTAGCACCATTGGAAGTGCCTTGAAAAGTACTTCAAGAATGTATTAGAAAGCATAGGATAATCATCATAGTTTATATAGTCGAATACCACAAAATAGATTATAGAAGTCGAAAAAAAACAAAATCTGTTCAATCTTGAACAGAAAAAAAAAAAAAAACTGAGTTTGAATCGATTTTGGCAGCGGCTTGCTGCTGGCTGACCTAAATGCCTTTCTGTTGTTGATGGCAATGATGATTGCGGTGCTGACTAAATAGAATCATGAAATTGAAAGGACAGTTACTCAGCGCAAATACGTTTTTTTGGAGAGGTTTGCCTCATGAAGGTGTCTTTTGCAATGACAATATCTCAAAAAAGTCGCTGTAAATCTTACATAACTCCTGAATTTACTTATGACCAGCTTTATGTCGCCATCTTATTAAGAACATCAGCAGCGGCGAATGATACGACAATTCTATTATCATAAAATGGCGATTGTGATGTACAAATGCTGCATAAAACTTGGATTTTCTTTCACATTGTCCCAATAATAGACTTTATTTGATAACAATATAAGCAAAAAGGATACTAAGGGAGATACCTCCTCCTCCCCTCCTCCTGGCTCTGATATAACCTTTCTTTTACTAACTAATAGCTGGTTGTATAAAATCTACTTGATATACCAAAATTTTATAATACCTGATTTAAAATGTCTTTGGCGAGAGCCCACAGGGCGACGCCAACATCAAGCGTAGCGAGATAGATCGGCTAGTGTTAGTATATACTGGTATATATCATCGTGGCATAAAAAAATTATTGTCCCTACACACTTTCGAGGCCCCAAAAAGGAAAAAGTTGATCTTCCAAGTTTTTCGGTGGACTGGCGTATTAGATGCAGGGCTTCAAAAAAATAGCTTATTTAGAGGTAGTGTTATGTGGTTCGCCACCTACTTTTTATTGGCTTCAAAAGCATCTATTATTGCTTTCAAAATTAGAACGCTATTGAGTTTGTCAGCCTGCCTCATCATCCGCCAAAATTAATTCTAACTCAGAGCATTATTTCTGCTCAAGATTGGCCAAATTTTGCTAAGTTTCGACTCGATTGAACTATTTTGTGACATTCGACTATATAAATTGTAATTTTCATCCGATGCTTCCTAATACATTCTTGAAGTACTTTTCAAGGCGCATCCAATGGTACCAAGTAATATAAATGTTTTGAATAAACGTATCGAGTAATTTGCGAAAATATAAAACGAGGTTTCTGGCCAAAAAGTCGAGATTTTCCATATCAAAGTCCCACAAAGATGATTTTAGGGGTTACGTTAGATCGATAGAAACATTCTGAATTAATATATACCATAGTAAAAGTCTTCATTATCAAGGTCAAAAACGCGATCGTTTAATTTTCAATGAAAACCATGAGGTACCCCTCATGCTTTTTGGTCGATTTTTGACCATATTTTTTTGATCCTCAAAAAGTTGAGCAAAGATGTCAGGAAGTAACCACCAGATGAGAGAAATTGTTTGGTGCTATCCTGACCATCTAAACCCCCCTTGAACGCAAAAAAAAAGCAGCTCAAATGCGCTCGGCTTTTGCTGTATCAGGGACACTCTTGACTAAAAGCGGGTAATATCTGTATGATACTTGTCCGTATATAAAGTAGCCACATATATATGAAAGTAGCAGTATTTTGATGGTATGAGCAAGAGCAATTGGTGGCGCGATCTGCCGCTGCACAGGTTGGTTCTTACCGAAGCAAAGCAAAGGTAGAGAGCCTTCCGAAGCAGAAACACTCGTATATATATAGTATATATATATCAATTTTAGTATCTGCAGTATTATTTCTTTCATTGTGGACTTGAAATCAAATCTTTTGTATTAAGAGAAACTCCAGAGAAATTCGTACATCAGATAATGAGCTTAATAGGCTAAATCGAGAGATCAACCTGATGGGCCGTTTGAATGAAATGTACAGCTTGTCAATGTTTGAATAGCGCTTCTGTATTAAATAAGTAATTTTTATCAAATTGAATATAAATGTTAAGTGAATGTTATTAATGCGTTTTAAATCTATGCAGCAAAATTGTGATAATATTAAGTGAGATGGAAAATCAAAGGATAAGGGTATTGCTTGTAGTAGTGTATACAGTTATTGTGGTGATTAATTTTGCTCTGAATCAGAATCGCCATTGTGATACAAAGTAACTAAATAAACAACATTCCATAATAAGCAACGAAATCCAATTACTGTAGTAAACAATGTGTACTTACGGGAATCAAATTTTTCGAATGGATTTGATTTTTCAATCTTTTTCATAACCCTAAGACCATCTGCTTCCAGGTCCAGACTCATGCTTTCTTGAATCTTTCTAAAATTAATGGCATCAATGCCATTAGGCTTCGATATAGCAGGTAAAATGGGTGGTGTCTTGTTTCTTAGTAGTGCAAAGTTGGTGTTTTTAAAGAACAGATGCTGTTTAATGTCGGCCGCGCCTGCACGGGATCCAAGTCGAGTATGTTCATCTTTTTGTAATAGCTTGCGTATCAGATTCTTGCAGTTACTCGAAATATTGGCATTGTAAGGCGCAGGTTGATGGGGAAATTGAGGCTCGGTGTGTAAGATTTTCGCAAATGTCTCATTTCTACCGTTTCCTTTGAAGGGTGTAGTTCCATACTACACAACGTTTTAGACACTCACCCTCATCATCGCCCCTGTACACTGCTACTTACCAGCATCTCATAAATAAGAATGCCCAGTGTCCACCAATCAACTGCGCTTGTATGACCACATCCCTTAATTACTTCTGGTGCAATGTATTCCTCTGTTCCGACAAAACTGTTCGTTCGGAGACCTTCGACACAGCTTTTCGTATCAATTGAAGGAGGCTATTTTGATTGTCTGTTGAGCAATTATCATGAACAAGTGGTTTCTCAAGAATCTTACCTGGTTGGGTGATTTCGATTTAACTACACCTGGTCTACCTGGTGGGCTAGAGCCTTTACTTAGATCAAAGTCGGTTAGCATTATATGTCCGCTTTGATGTAATAAGATATCTAATTTGATCTTCAAGTTAGCTACATGGAAGGAAAGATTTGCAAATTAAATCAACTTACTCTCTGGCTTAAGATCGCGATAGATGTGCCCTTGCAGATGAAGGTATTCAAGCGCTGCTGTAACTTCCGCAGCATAAAATCGAGCTCCATCTTCGTTTAAACATTTTCCTGGCCTCAATTGCAACGCTACATGAATTATTAGCAATTGTGGGATACAATGAATGCAATTCGAATCTGTACCTCTGAAGAATTCACCGCCCATGCAGTATTCCATAACAAAATAAAGATACTCTTGACTTTGAAAGCAATGGTATAATGTAACAATAAATGGATGATTAGATGTCATTAAGATTTCTTGCTCAGCCAAGGCGCGTTTAATCTTGTTCCGTTTGATCATTTCTTTCTTGGATAGAACTAATGAAGCTGGATTGGTTTTCATGATAATCAGAATGTGTCTCTTCATCCTACCTTTCATGGCAAACAGTTTATCGGTTCCCTTTTGTCGAACCATGTAGACTTTTCCGACATCGCCTTTACCCAGCATACGGACTTTGACAAAGCTAGATGGGCCAACCTCCACATTCTTTACTTTGATACTGCTACTGGAATAGGTTCTTCTGCACAATTTCATTTTTTCAAATTGGCCTTGTTGGGCAATGCTCTGGTGCTGCAAAGCAGATGAAGTATAGGACCGAGTGGGTTGAAGATTATTAGCATTGGGTGCTGAAGCCACTCGACGAATGGCCTTGTTATTTGGGCGAAATGCATTGGTATAGAACCATGAGTTTGATTTCGGTGTTGTTGCGACAGCAGCAGGCTTTTCTTGTAATTGAAAATTATCGGGAACTGTGAATGCAGGTGCGAGTTCAACTTGGCTGCTGTTGCTACTCTCAATGTTGAAACTACCATTGCTATGATTATTGTTGGAGTAGTGAAGACTAGGAGAGAAATGTGTAGGTAGTGGCGCAGATATAGAGTTATCGGTATCTGTGGAATAAATCATAGACATGGTAGATATTGTTTCAAATGATAAAAAAAAAAAATATGAAAGAGAAAGGATTATAAGATCTGCTTTGTTCTCCTCTTCGGGCTCTTTTCTCTTTCTGCTGCCTTTAATTGTTCGGCTTTTGCTTTTCGCTTGTATCTCCATCACACCACTTTCTGCACAGACAAAAAAGGTGACTTGATTTCTTTCACAGAATCAATACAAATCACTTCAATCTAGAAGCAAACAAGCTTAATTTTGTATGGATAGTCATATTACCTTCGCTCTCTTGCTTTCCTCTGATTAGGGGAAAGGAACTACAAAGAAACTAAAATTAAAAATGGTGCATCAGTATTTGTGTTGATCATTTTCATGCATACGGAAAGAAAACAGCTCACAAATGAATTCAATGTTTCAAAACCTCATGTCAATTACAGCTCTCGGTTCAGTGTTCCTCCCCTCTACCCCTATATCCCTTGGCCTGCTTGATCAGGCTCGTATCAGATTCAATTGCTCAGTCTTAACAGTTTGATTTCGAAGAGGCATATTCAATTGGCGAGATCCAGTTTTACAAATTGGTAGAAATTAAGAGTTTGGTAATAGCTTGAGTTGCAGAAATCTAATCAGAAATTAACATATACCTGACTTTTGTGCGTTAAGCTATGTTATATTTGGACTAAATTAATTATATATTCATAAAGATTGATCACTGCACCGAGGTTGCGACTATGAAGTTGATGTTTCTTGTAGCATCTTGCAGAGTAAAAAGACATCAAATGCAAAGGGCGTTTAAATTACTGGGTAAGCAAACATTTGATCAGTGGCTCCATCTGAGATGCACGAGTCTTTGTTGGCTTGATCCCAATATGATGCATACTTGCACCCTTTGATCGTTCAAACGTATTTTTTCAATAGTAACTATTGTTTTCATTCAATAGTAAGTTCATAGAGAATTAAAATGCGCATCCAATGACACTACTCTTGATAAGCATAGGAAAAATTGTGTTTAAACAAGCCTGTTTTTTCATGTGGTTTGGGAGTTTTCTTTAAAGAAAATCATGTGCTAGATATGTATCAACTTACTTATATCATTATTCATTGCGTAGAACTAAAGATCAGCGCCCGTTTGAGACCTTATTTAAATCTGTAGCATCACTTCTCATGGCTCTATAATAGTACCCAATAGGTCATCCTCAGCCAAGTTGTTGAAAAACGCTCGCTCAAGGCTAACTTTTGCTGTAATGGCGCATATAAAATTCTTTTAGCACATCACTATTAGTCATACCACGCCCTAAATTTATTTTATAGACTTTAGCACCACATAGATGTTTCCGTAGTGTTATTCAGAAAAAACGTGTTTTTGCCACTGTAAACTCCAATTTGGGGGTTGAAAAAACGATTTTTACAAAAAAAAACATCCTACAAGTTCAAACGAGGTCTCATTTTGCAAAGCAAACAAAGGGGAGAAAAACTCAATTAATGGAGAAGCCAGGTTGACTTGACAGTTGATCGAGGAATAGCGCCCAAACGCTGTTCTTTTATATGCACATCGTGTGAATGAATCACTCCTGATTACACTGTATTCAATCACACCCATGATGGTCGTAATAAGTGATGTTATCCTTATTCAAATGAAATCAAATCAATAACAAGCATATTCAAATATGACAACTATGCTCTGTTGCCATAGATGCACAATACTCCAGATAAAGGGTTCTACACTTCAATAACAAACATCACATCTTAAACTGTCAAGATTACATTAAATCATACTGCTACGATGATAACTCATCCAAGCCCATCAAGGTTACTCAAATCGGCCCTTATGGCCAGTGCTCTTGCATTGATTACCACTTTAAACCAAACATCAACAACATTTGCCAGATATCGCAATAGCAGCATACTGGTATTTCCACTTTTTAGTCCTTAGTGTCCCTGATACAGCAAAATATGAGTGCATTTGAGCTGCTTTTTTTTGCGTTCAAGGGGGGTTTAGATAATCAGGATAGCACCAAACAATTGCTCTCATCTGGCAGTTACTTCCTGACATCTTTGCACAACTTTTTGGGGATCAAAAAAATATGGTCAAAATTCGACCAAAAAGCATGAGGGGTACCTCATGGTTTTCATTGAAAATTAAACGATCGCGTTTTTGACCTTGATAATGAAGACTTTTACTATGGTATATATTAATTTAGAATGTTTCTATCGATCTAACGTAACCCCTAAAATCATCTTTGTGGGACTTTGATATGGAAAATCTCGACTTTTTGGCCAGAAACCTCGTTTTATATTTTCGCAAATTACTCGATACGTTTATTCAAAACATTTATATTACTTGGTACCATTGGATGCGCCTTGAAAAGTACTTCAAGAATGTATTAGGAAGCATCGGATGAAAATTACAATTTATATAGTCGAATGTCACAAAATAGTTCAATCGAGTCGAAACTTAACAAAATTTGGCCAATCTTGAGCAGAGATAATGCTCTGAGTTAGAATTAATTTTGGCGGCTGGTGAGGCAGGCTGACAAACTCAATACCCTTTTCATTATCAAGGCAATACAGCAATAGATGTTTTTGAAGCGTATGGAAAGTAAGTGGCAAATTATATATAACGGTATAGCACTATCGTCAGCCATTCTATTTTCTTGCATTTTATATTTAATAACGCAGGTCTATCAACATACTTGTTGGATCAACTTCTTTCGTTTTTGTAGCTTTGAAAGTATCTAGGGACCATAAATTTATTAGCATTTCGACTCTTCGGTTGGTTTCCTGACCTACGCTTTGTTTTGATGGATACCAACCAACGTTCAGGTAGCTCGCGCTGCCGTGGGTCTTTGGCTAATATTGCAAGATTAATAGTAGTTTAAATGTTAAAAAAAACTCGATTGTTGATTGGTAGTATTTTGATATATAATCTCTAATTATATATGAGCCATGCCTGGCAAATCCCTGGCAACTCAGTTTTCATATTAGGGTTGTAAAAGTGTCTAGTGACTATAAATTTATTATGTTATGATGCTTATCTGTTGATGGTAGTTTGGTTTGATTGCGATAACATTTGTATTGGGTATTTTTTATGAAGGGAATCTAGTCTAGTTCACTTCACTATCGAAATCCGAGACTCAATCTGAAGACGCCTGCAGCTCAACCGGATGGCCAGGCCACGAAAAAAGGGATTCATTAAGTAGTATTCATCCGCATTGCCTTAAGTAGACGTGTGGTATAGGATGTTGCAAAGGGCAGCGGCAGAAGTAAAATTAATAGAACTGATGTAGTTCGCCAAACCCTAACCTTTCAGAACGAAAAGCCATGCGATGCTAGTTGTTTGTGGTGAACGTGAGGGCTAATTTTACTGTCACCGTTTGCTGATCTGTAGTTTTAGAAATTGGTGATAGTTCGCAAGTAAAATTCAATGTCTACTACCCTAATTACCTAAGAATTGTGCTGCACTTCAAGTTGAAGTGAAAAGTACAAGACGCTTTGTTTTCTATACATTGCTCTTCAGGCAGGTTGATTTAATTACTTTGAAAGCTTACTTGAGGAATAGAAGATGATTAAAATTGCTTATCCAACAACAGAGGTCGTGTACCCTTCATTGCCAAGGAGATCAAGCATCAATTTAGTGAGACTGGACACTGGATCCAATGTTTCGATCTAAAGATTTTCAAGGGGCTACATCACAGAGGCGCGGGAAGATCTAAAAAGAAACAGTTACTCATTGCCGCTTAAAGTTTTACTTCTAGCTCATCTGTGAATAAAACATTACTTCTTTCTTATTTTTAAACTTTTTACACAAAATGGGTAACTCACAGTCTATGGAGAAGGTGGAACACGTTGTGAAGGAGGGCATCAACATTTATAAGAAGGTCAAGAAGGAACAAGAGCAACAACAGCACCACAACAACTACAACAACAATAGTAATTACAACAATGATAATAACAACTACAGCCATCATTCAGGTGGTGGATCATCCTATCATCCTTCAGCAGACATCGACGATGATGAGGAATACTCTCAACTACGAGCTCAAGCACACCAAGAGGCTGAGAAGCGTAATGATTGCTACGCCAGAAGTCAAGAGGCATACAAGAATGGCAACGGTGCAGAAGGTACGTTTAATAAATCTCAAGGATAATCGGGCGTTGATCTGTTTACATCACATGTAGCCAAGGAATTATCAAATCAGGGCCATCATCATGACAACTTGATGAAACAGTACAACCAGAGAGCAGCAGATCACATTTTCTCAGTCAAAAATCAAGGACGCCCATCGAACGAAATTGACCTGCACGGCCTTTATGTAAAAGAGGCATCTGCAAAGGTGGAGGAAGCTGTGCAACGTTGTCAAGCTAATGGAGAAAGAAGTCTTGTTATCATTGTTGGAAAGGGCCTTCATAGTCCTAATCAGATTGCTAAATTGAAGCCTGCCATTATCGAGCTTGTCAAAAAGTACGAGGTTTCTTGTCAGCCTAATATCCCTAATCCTGGCTGTCTTTACATTGAATTCGGTAAAGGTACTGGCGATCTTTCATGGCTGGATCGCTTCACTGAACGCATGTCTAACAATGATCAATGTTTGATCATGTAAATGAAAGAGGATCTTATACATCATGTTATCTAATTAAATTATACAGCATACTATAAGGTGCGCGCTTTATTCTCTCCTGGAGGAGAGAGATTGTATTTCAAAGCACAGCGTCAAAGCTGAGAGCAGTGATTTCATTTTTTCTCGACATCTTTATATATGATTATGTTTTTTTATGGGCGATTTTTATATATAAGGGTGCAAAGGATATATATATATATATATGTGTGTGTGTGTGTTTGTGTGCAACAGATGAGATGGAAGAAAGAATCAAAAGAAAGAGATGAGGGATGTAATTGTAACCTTCCTTTTATCATTGTTTGTAGCATCATCCTCTAGACTATGAGAAATGAGTAGGAGCAGGAAGGGTGTATAGGAATACGATGATAGTTATAATAGTATAAAGAAGGAGGAGGAGTGAAAAGTATATAAATAAGTAGAGCAATAGTAAATAGCTAATATAAAAAGTGTAATATATGGTGACAAGGAGAGAACAAAGTTCTTTTACTAAACAAAAGATTATGTTTATCTGTACGATCCTTCGTTGTGTGCTGTTGTGGGTGCTGATGTCTTTTGATTGTCCTCTGGATAGCTGTGAGGTGTTTGATACACATTGGAGTTGGTTGTAACAACAGTAGCTGTGTTGGATGTAGGTGCTACAGTCTGCTGAGGCATGGTAGGAAGAGGAGCCATAACATTGGTATTCATGACGGATGATGCATGCTGTTGTTGTTGTTGATATGGGTCATATTGAGGTTCTGCGTAGTGTTGATCGTAATGGGAATCGTAATGCTGCTGTTGTTGGTATCCAGCATTAGGGTCGTAGTAGGCTTGTCCATTGTAGTAGTTGTTGGGATCTACGCCATAACCCATTTGTGGAGAGTTGTAGTAAGGATCATGTTGCTTAGCAACGGTAGCCATGGGTGGTTGAGGAGACATCATGGCATTATTGTAGCCATAGGGCTGTTGCTCTGCCATTTCCCATTGTCCATGATTGTTATTATGCTTATGAATATCGTCAGCTGCGGCAATAGCAGAAGCAGCCATGGCAGGAGAGGGACGAGTGTTGTTGAAAGGATCAGGTTGGTAAGAATTGGGATGTTCGTAAGGGTCGCCATTCTCACTGTAAAGTCTTTTGTTGCGACGGTTGTTTCGTCTCGTCTTGGAGAAGAAAGCGTAGGCAAATCCTGCGCCGATGATAGCCACAAAACCACACACAGATCCAACAATAACGCCTACGTTACTACCACCAGGCGATTCGTCACTTGTAGGAGTTTCAGAGGCAGATGCAGATGGAGTAGTGGATGACATGGAAGTACTGGCAACTGAAGAAATTTCAGAGCTGGTGGATGAAGGTGCTACAGATGATGAAGTTGGAGAAGCTGACGATGTTACTGGAGGTTTGGATGAGGAGGATGGCTTGATGGAAGAGGATGAAGGTACAACTGAACTGGAAGATGGCAAAAGAGCTGAGCTAGAGGAAGCAGGAGCTGAGGAAGTTGCTGATGGTGATGGTTCCTTTGTAGATGATGCTCCGGGAGCAGCAGAGGTAGATGTACATGTATTGAATACTTCACAGAGGAATTGGGCTTTGATCTCTTGCACAAAAAGCAGGGCGACAAGTAAAATGATCAAATGAATCGACTTCAATTGCATTTTTTCTGATTGGAATGAGAAAGAGAGACAAACAAAATGAAAAGAGAGAGAAAAGAGAGATGGATAATGATACTAAGGAAAAGACTAGAAAATAGGTTACAAATGTAACATTGGAGTTAGCTGAAAGGAGAGGGGGATCAGTAAAAGGGGACTGGGGAGGTTCATTTAAGATGATGCACATAATTGGCCGTGTGTTTCGTTTGTTTCTGCCTTGTCATTTCACAAGAGAGATTAGTTTGGAAGTTCACTTATTTATAATGTTTCGTAGTACAAATCTATGGTTAAAATATATGGATTACCATGTGAATCTGCAGCATGGTCAATGTATAGTGCATATACGGCGATATTGTAGGACATGCCAGAGACTCAATGTGTATGGATCGTAACCAATGTGCTTGAGACAAGGGATGATCTGATTGTTTAAGCAAACAAAGTTTTACTATATGTTGACGGTACATGTAGAAAGAAATGTAGTGTGCATATGCAAGCAAAAAAAAATCAAATCAAGTATGATCACACGTGTGCTTTATTAGAATCCTTTTCTTACTTTAGCAGTAATATTGCTCTGTCGATACTCCAAATTCCTCAATTCAAACTGATCAATCATCACAGCAACTTGGCTATCCACCGACACTTCAATTGAACCTCCTAGGGCCTTCTTGATGGCTTCAAATCCTAGTTTCTTGGTCATGACGGGTATCTTTTCTGACTCTACAACAATGCCTTGGCAATCTTCTACATCGCACTTGGGCGGTGGCAGCACCATAGGCCCTTTCCATCCCTCTCCCTTGTCCTCAAAATCAGCCACCATTCTACCAATTTCGTAAATCTCGTAGGTTGCAGATGCGTTGATCTTGTTGATAGTCATCTCTATGCCTGGAAACGGATTTCGCATGCTCATGACGACGGTGGATGACAGAATGTTCATTTGACAATCTGCTAACAGTGGCTCCTTGTCGAATGGAGGTGGCTGCACGTCAAATGATAGGCTTCGTAAAAAGTTTTCTAGGAATTTTGACCTGGTTGGATTAGGGTGGTTTCCTGAAATAGTGAGAGTGACATTACTAGCAGCAGTTATGCCTATAAAGCAAAAAAAAAAAAAAAAAAAAAAAAAAAAAAAAAAAAAAAAAGTTTAAATTAGCTTTCCGGTGTAACCTGTGGCGAAAACATATATGATTACCATTTGAAATGAATTGCCCTATGAAATCAATGACATGCCTATTATCGCCGAGCAGCCATGCGCTTACGGTTAGCTCGTTAAATACACCGGGTGCTAGGGCGAGTTCTGGTATGGTTGTGTTACCAATCACATGGTCGTTAAAGAGTAGTAGCATATTCAGTTCACCCAAGTTGATGTGGACATCAGCAGGGCTGTAGATGCGAATCACCGTGCTCGCATGCAGCGCATCTGGGTGGCCTTGCACAATTGTCATATCCGTTACTTGAGGCGGTGGATGTTGCATGCCCTGCAGTCCTTGTGTCTCAATTTCGCCGTTGAACTCGAGATCACGGATATTCAAATGTCCAAAGGCGCTATCTACTGCTGCGTTTGAGGTACCATGAATATACACCTTTCCCTTTTTCTCATGAAATACTCTATTCAAAAATTCCTCGAAATCCTTTTGTCCTCCTGGCAACACTTTGAATGGAGCGCGATACAGTCTTGATGTCACCTTCATGGTGCCCAATGGCAGATCAATGCCGTTTCCTTCTTCCGTGCTTGCGGGGCAGGGTCGATTAGGTTTGACAAGCGCAAAAGGGTCTGTGGAATCCACGTTCAGGTACAGATACACGGTGGGATCGATTTCTGTCACATCCATATGAAATTGCATCTCTTGTGGCTTCTTGAGCAGTGCGATTGCGTCCCCTGAAATCAACGGATTGCCTGTGCTTGAAAAGTCGATTTTAATGTGTGACAATTCGAGGGATTGTATCAGATCAGTCTCGGTGGCACCAGGAAACGGAACACTCAAAACGACAGATTCTAATGCCTTGCGCAACCAGCGTGGCGTTGTGCTGACATGTTTCTTGTGTGGTTGATCGTCAGGACCAAATGAGCTACCTCGCACATGCACCCAGCTGGTATTGCCGTGAAGATAGCCAGTCAAAAAAGACTCCATTAATGCTTGCGATTTCTCGTCTTTGGAAATAGGCAGTGTGCGGCCTGTGACATTAAAGTAATTCATGCGGTGGCCTTGGAGATCGGCGTCCACTGCTTGCACAACCGCCATTTGCGCGTCCTCGTCCTCCGGTGAAGCAGCAGGCAAGAAGATGCCAAAATCCATATCGCCTAATGACAGACTCAGTACGCTGGATGGATTGTAGATGCCTACTGTGCCAATCACAGATACACCACCTAAAGGATGAGGACCAGGAAACACCAGCGACTGCAAATCCGTTTTTTTCAACCCGTCCATGCCCTCTAATTCAATCGTCTTGTCCAGATCCACATTGGAGTCCCAGGGCAGCCAACCTAATGTTACGGACAATGGACCAGCAACACGCCACATGATGGTTTTAGCAACCACTGCGTCTTTACAGAAATCCATCAATGCATCTGTGTCATCAATCATGAATCGGGTGATAAAGTCGAAATTCGTCACTGAGGAGACACTGTTGAGATCCAACGCTGGCAGATCAATGGTGCCCATCGACATGGAGGACAGGGCTAAAAACTGCTGGGGCTGATAGTGTACTTGTAGGGCGCTTTGTTGGATGCCAATGGTGCCAAACAGGGCATTGAACTTTTTCTGCAGATTGAATAGGTCTGGCTTCAGTTCGATTTTACCGATAACATGCATGGTAATGATATTGTCCTCTGTCACATTGAGAATAGATGCCTTTTGGAAGCTGAACCCGACCCCGTCTTTGACTGAACGTTCTGCAAATGTTGGAGCAAACCACAGTAAGCAGAACAAAATAATGACACTGCAAGCAGTGATGGAGATGGCGATATATGTACAAGTCTTTTGTGATTGGCGAAGGCGTATGGAGGATGCTGGTGTATTGGGGTTGTGCTGAGAAGCAGAGGGTGATGTTGTAGCGGGTATGATGGCACCATAGTCTGAAGAAGCGGATGGTGTGAGCAGCGGTTTCTGTTGTTGCTGTTCGCTATCAGCGTAAAACGGCTCTTCTTGATTGGTAGGCGAATACTTTTCCTTTCCTTTTCTATTGTTCAACAGTTGATTCGAAGAAGACGAACCTTCGCCTATTGAGTTATACGACATGATGGCTGTTCGAGATAGAAAGAGAGACAAGGAGAAAAAAGAAGAAACATGATCGAAAAAGCAGACAATCCCATTTTACACACACACACATTGGGTGTGTCCTTCTGATCTCTTTGAAACCCAGCGTCGAATCCTCCCATCATGATGAATCCATGTTCCTCCTCGAATGCCATGATGAATGGCCACTTTATACAGAGAAAACACTATTTCTATGTGGTGTTTATTGCTACTGAAAAACTTGATTTTGCAAATGTAGCATTCGAGGAAGAATGGGTGCTCCAGATGGCATTTCCCGCTACTTACCAGCATTAATGCAAATGTACCAATGGCATGGCACCGTGCTACGGCATTATGTAATACAGCAGCCGTTATGTGGTAGTAACCGTTTTCGTAGCCTTTCTATGCCATCCGCAAACGATGCTACGAGCTTGGTCACTCTTATGATGCTTTCAATGGATCTTTAAAGACGAAACAGTGCAAAATCTCGATCATTCCAGGTTGCGTTGGCTCATCATTTGACCCTATCACAAGTGGCTAAAAGATTGGTATATTTATGAGAAATATAGGGGAGAGGGCAGTGCGTTGTCATCTAGCAACAGACTCGGCATATGTGATGCAATTACCTTTTGAATGTATTACATGGCATTGCAGTTAATCCGGAATACATCTTGTATAAATGGGGGCTTTTATTATAAATTAGCAAACTATGTACAGTTAATAATACTTCTAAGTGTATATAATGATTATAATTAAGTGCGTTATGCTACAGAATTAGGCAACTCTTCAAGAGGGGGGTAATTCGCTGAGCTGCTGCTGTTGTCTTGCGCGATGTATCGCTTCGATTTGTCGTCTTCTGCTTGGCACTTGGTTTCTAGGCTGCTTCCAGGACCTTGTTCAGGTTGGGCATAGCTAGAACGGCCATTGTGCAAGACAAGCTCTTGCTCGCGCACAATATCGTTATCGTAAGGAAAGTATTGATGCAAAAAATGCATAGCAGACATACGAGGCAGGAAACAAGCAACAATGGTCAGAATGAGCACCATCCAGTAGCAGCCCGTACCAAACAAGACATCCTGGCCAGCAAAGATAAAGGTGTTGAATTGGGCATAAATGCAAACAAAAGCATAGTACACCAGGATCGATATCCAAATGATGAACAGTTGGATCCACGTGAAGCTGTATAGGGAAGTCATGACAAAGAAGTTGGCTACAATCACAGCGATACTAGACACAATGGTGCCCAGCTCATACATGCCGTTCTGATCTCTGCCTTGAGGGTCGGGCGGGCCACCGAGCAAAAGCATGTAGGGGAAAAAGAAGCACACAGACGACTGGAATATGGCATCGACAACTGTCAAGTAGAATCGCCATGGTTTAAACTTGTCGTTGCGAAGACCCATACGGTACATTTCAGGATACAGATCAGAGACCTTGGCATTGACATCTTGATCCCAGATGCCCAAGAAGATGATAGGCAACGAGGTAAAGATAAGATTGTAGAGAGCCACGAGAGCGTACTCAAACATCATGGATCCATTGAATCTAGCACAAGTCTATGTTAGCTATCCTGCACTACGCCTAAAAGCAAAGCACAACTTACTGGCAAAAGATCTGATACCAAAACAAGACAAATGTCCATACAATATTCTTGAAAAAGAAGCCCATAATCATTTCTGCTGTACGCAAGTAGGACCAGCGGCCATGCACCAGTAGCAGCTTTTCCAGGAAACGAAACTGAGCAATCGCATAGTCAGAGGCCATGACAGCCTGTCTGCCTTCCACGCCAGAAATACCGATGCCCACATTGGCTTCTTGGATCATGGAGACATCATTGGCACCATCGCCAATAGCCAGTGTCATGACCTTGAGACCCTTTTTAACGAGATGGACAACCTGCGCCTTTTGTTTGGGACTGACGCGACAACAAATCACACTTGCACAGCGCATACCGAGATCCAATACTAGGTCCTTTGTTTTGGGCTCCAATGCATATTTGAGTGTCGTACCATCAATAACCAGAGCGCATCTCTTTTCGCCTACTAAGGAGTCCGTATGCTTAATGGCTTTCTCTAGCTCAACCAGCGTTTCATCACGATCATCTGCCTTGACAATCACCAATTCCATATCCAATGTGATCAGATTACACGAGAAGCCAATGTTAATGGCTGTTTCAGTCTTGTCTCCAGTAAGCACCCACAATTTGATACCGGATTGAGCCAGCTTGGCAATCGTTTCAGGAACGCCGTCTTGCAGACGATCCTCAATTGCAGTGCCACCCATCAGCAGCATGTTACTCTCAATCTCCTCAGACACCTCCTCAATCTTTTCGTCACGGTTGTAAATGGCAGCACTGGCTTCTTGAAATCGTCGGTTCCACGTTTTGTATTCTTTGGGTGAAATGAATCTATAAGCCAAACACAGTGTACGCAGACCTTCATTAGCGAAATCCTCCAAATGCTCTGAGGTGGTGGCCTGCAAATCCATCTGCTGCTTTTCCAACTCATGCTGGTCGCCGAAATCGCTGCAAAGACGCTCATAAATGACAGAATCAGCACCCTTACACAGCAGCACAATTCTATCACTATCATGGGGCCTGATAATCACACTCATGCGCTTTCTGGTAGAGTTAAATTCGAGCACGTTGAGCAATTCGTACTTTTTCTTCTCGCCCATGATTTCTGCAGTCAACGTGTTGGATTCCCGGCCTAAAAAGACAAAGCCCAGGTCTCGAGCTGAAGCGACCAGTGCAGCTTCGTCCGGTGATTGCGCTTTGTACTCGATGATGTGTCTATTTTGTTTGTCAGGTCGCTCTGCAATGGCTGTATGACATAGTGCTAATGTGGTGAAAAAGTGAATCATGGCTGTAGAGTGCGCATTTTGCTGTCCTAGATCCACAAAAAAGTTGGGATCAATGAATGTCGGCTTGGGCCCCAGATACTTGTTTTCAAAGAGATCGTCTTGTTTCTGGTACATTTGTCTGCGTGCTTCGTCCATGTCAGAGAGGTTGGCAGCATCCAGATCCTTTTCAGAGTAAATGGAGCCACGACGAATCTCAGCGCCTATTGATGTTTCTGTCTTGCCAACGCCGTAAGAGACGCCATTGACTGTGCCCTTTCTTGCTTCCATGACATTTTGCGTCAGTGTGCCCGTCTTGTCCGAGAAAATGTATTCGATTTGGCCGAGATCGTCAGAAATGTTCCATGTCTTGGGGATACAGGGTGTGTCTGTTGGTGCGTAGTACATGTCGATGTCTGCATAAATAAAATAAGCCTGTGTGCGGAGGCCGTCAGTAGTTGCTCCGTGCAGTTGCTATCAAGATACTTACTGCCAGCGTCTTGACGATTTCCACGGAAATGTACAAAGAAATGGGCACAATATTCTGGTACAAGATCAATGTGACCCAAAACGTGATGAAACCAAGATACGATCCACTTGAGCCCTCAATTCCAAAGTCGAAAAAGCGAGCAGATCCAGGAGCACTGAAAAACGCACTCGCCAGAGCAGATGATACGATACACAAGATGGCCAAAACAACGAAATTGGCGATAACCTACAGACGACATTTTGTGTAACTGTTAGTTGCATGAATGATGCTCGTTTTGAATGCACTTACAAAGGGATTGGTTGCCTTGGCCATTTTGCTACGCTTGGATGGTGTTTTACCAGAATTCAGCATGATTTTGGTATCATCGCCCGTAAACACAATGATGCCGATAGCCCATCTCGTATTTCTCAGCACACAGCCACGCAAAAGCAGATTGTTGTATGTCACTGCTTCTGTCTTTTGATGCGACACGGACTCTTCCTCTTGATCCTCCACAGGCTGTTCAATGTTCCAACGCATGACACCGTTATAAGAGTACAGATTGGCGTGAGGCGGCTCACTTTCGAAATAGAAAAAGGCTCTCTCACAATCATGCACTGACCTCAGCTCGCTGGTTGCTTTGAGGCCCTCCCTCACCTTCAAGTTGGTTTCACCGTCCAAATTTTGAGTTTCCACATAACACAAGTTGTCCTTTTCAGATGTCGATAAAATAACGATATCAGCTGGTACGTTTTCATCGTTTCTGATCATGACATAATCTCCCACTTGCAGATCCTGCCACTGCACCTCTTGCCACCACACTTTACAGTTGTCGACCGGTGGATCCCCTGCTGGAAGGTCGGAGCATTTCAAAGCGCCTGGGTGGACAGAAGAGGATTTGCGTCGGATGCTGGGTGTAGGTGCTCTGTGTAGCACTGAGTGCGGGATAGTGCCTGGTCGATAGAACTTTTTGCGTGCTGCAGACGCAAACATGTTGTTGAAGGCGGATCCAATGGTGTCGGATCGTTGTCTTACTTTGCCCAAAAAATTTTTCTGCTGAGGAAGAGCTAGGAAATCTGGAGAAGCTTCTTGCTGCTGCTGCTGCTGCTGCTGATCATCGTTCAATGAGGCGCTCTCGGACGAGGCGTTTTCGTCCACTTCATTCAAGGGCGATTTATCATCATCAAAGTTGAGCTCCACCTTGGATACAGGTACATCTTTTGCGGTGGAGAGTCGATAGGCATGAGTGTATTTGTTGTCCACTCCCGCCAGCATGCAAAAAAATCCTAAAACGACATGCAGGGCATGGAATCTGCTCTTCTTCTCCTCGGGTATGTTGACGTTTTTCCAATGGCTCAATGTCAGCGTCTTTGCTCTGTTGACCTTCTGATCAGACTGATTTCGCTTTGCATCCTCGATGCCGTCCTTGATGGCTGTGATGATTAAAATGACGATGAGTGGAATCGCGGATACACCAGGTTCTGTCACACCAAATAAGGGAATACATTGCAAAATGACAAGGAATAAAAAATACAGATTGGCGATATTTCGAAACTGTTCAAACAGATTTTTTGGTATAAATGACAGTGGTGTGTATTTGGCTGTTCGGATTCGGTTAGGCACATAGGAATGATCAATCAAGTTGCCATTGTCGTCGTATTCAGAGGATGGCGGCGGCATGTTGACGTAGATCTTTCGTCGCTTTTGCATGTAGGACGAGGTGGATTCCGTCCTTTTGATTTCGTTTTCGATCGTTTCATCTTGCAGCTGTTGCTTGGCCTTTTTTGAGAACAATGCCTTGAACCGTAGCTGTTTATTCATGCTGAAAGAGTGTGTATGTGATGTCAGTATTAGACAAAGTGTGTGGAAAATTTGCCTTCCAAGCGGTTGTGGATTGAAAGAATTCGAATATTATAAAACAAGAGAAGAAAAAGAAAAAAAAAAAATCGGATAATGAATAAGCAACCTGCTTATAAAGGATGATCTAAAGAAAAACATTTGATAGACATGAGGTAGGACGGATAAACTTAACCCGGTAATACATTTGAAAGGTAGTGAAAACAGACGACAATGCTGCAGTGATTGGTGGTCCCGTTGATGTATTGTTTCATCTTGGATTATCGATAAAAGAACATCGCCTCTTTTAGATGGGGGGAGTGATGCGTAGGGAATATGCGCTCTACTCTAAGCAGCCAAATGAATGCTCGGAGACAATCATCTTAAATATTTAAGCGCACGAGCCATTTTCTTGATGAATGTTCTACCAATATCTCATACACAGCCAATTTGTCATGTTCGGAACACAAAAATACTCATTTGACATGTGTTCTGTTATATGACTTTCGGTCAAGCATCTATTATTACTATCATGAGTATTTCAGCTGTTACTATTTCACTTTAACCAGTACCTATCCTTGCATGTGCAGCTGGCATTCCTAAAGAATTGGCAGCAAAAGCAGATGCTATGTCGGACGATCCAGGTGTCATTCAAAAGTTCGTTCTGGGCTATAAAGAATTCTGCCTCTATAATGAATTCAAGCTACTTGATTGCACGACAGACGTGAGGGATTTAAGCGTAAATCTTGAGAAAAAAAAAAAACTGTTTATTACAGGATGCAATGAATGATACCTATTTGTGTACACATGCGTAATCAAAATTGCTGTTATGCTTGATTGAAATGGCCAATGCTAATTAAGATGATGAGAGCTGTTGGTTATGCTTTCAGTCGTCAGCAACAACAACTTCGCCATGTGTGTAATGACAATCAGTGCCTGCTCATTGTTGTTGATGTAGACAACATGGCTTGCTGAATACGGGCGGCGATGTAGTCGTGTCAATGGCTGTTAACCAGAGAAAGAGTTGCTATAAACTTGTAATGGTGTATAGTTTGAAGGAGTATATCAGAATGCAATGAGTGCTTTAAGATATGCTGTTTCTTATTAGCTATTAGATATCATACAAATCTTGAAAAACCAGAGAACCGTGTTGTTTATCTCATTTACAATGTAGCCAGATCAAATCACTGAATTATATTAGAGTTTGAGGTAATCATCGCTGATGATGAGTATCAACTCTACAAGAAATCAGTTGTCCTACTACTTAAGGCCGCCTCTCATACATTCACTCAAAAATCAAAGCAGCTACATTCAACATTCTATGCAATTTTCAATGACAGTGAATGGGCGGGAGGTAGTGGCTTATGGGTCTATTACACTTGACTTCATTTAAAAGCGCGGATATCTGTGTTTGGGATCTCTCTTTCAGTTTTTATATCAATAAAATGGTTATGCTTGATTCCAAAATTACCTTATTACAAGAAATATCAGACGCAGCAAAGAAATTAGAAAACATTTTAGTCACTCAGTTTGACAAGAAGCTCGAAGTATGGTTATTGGCATACAAAATACAACGATAAACACGATGGCTGATATAAAAGCGTATGATAGGGGACTTTGGAGGCAGATAGCCAAGCTACCATCGATTATGACAAGATTGGCATCAACTTTGCTAAACTCAAAGATCGCCAAGTAGGCTCTTTTACTGCAACCCTTGAAAGTAAGCAAGCTACTGCTGAAGCCAAAGACTACATGAACGAGAAGCAAGTGGATCTTCACGATGTCATGTACGAGAAGCGTCATATTTTAGAGGAAATTGTGCAATGTAGAAAGTTTAGGTAAAAATAAACATATGTAGCCGTGTGTAGGGTTTTAACCAAAGGAAATGCGACCTGTAGATCAGTATATCAAGATGTTGAACTCATACCATTAGACGAATTCATGGCCAAAGCAGGACCTGAGTATCTCGAGAACTCAGACAACCCACATCAACTGTTTATCAATCGATTAAAATACGAGCTTGTTGTCAGAGCTGCGTAAGTAATAAATGGTGTGATTGCAATGCTTTTTCACTGACTATAGGCTCTGTTGGTTATAGATTGAAGGAACAGCAAGAAGAACTCCAATTAAAACGAACTCAACTGATCAAGGAGAACAGAAAAGCACAAAAGAAGGTGGATCAATACGACAAGTTACTGGATGACTTTGTGCAGGTAAGAATATCACTTACAGCTCTTATTCAACGAGGCTAAATCGACATGTTGATATAGTCTGCAGTACCTTTGGAGGAAGCATTGGAAGCAGAACGCAAGGCACATAATGCACCTACAGATGAAATGATCGCAGATCAACCAAAAGAAACAGATGAGGCAATAACAAACACAGTCGAAATAATGGATACTTCTTTATAATGTAAATAAAAATTTATTGATATAATCCAGTTTGTTCATTCAATGTCGTGAAAATGCAATCTAAATTGGTAAAAGTCAGACAGAGAGACAGGTTTGGGTTGGATAGGAAAAAAGAAATCGAGAAAACCAAAGCAGACAGATACAAAGAGGATTTGATTGATTGAGAAAAAGGAGAAAAGAAGCATTTGTAATCTTGATTCATGATATCAGAAAGGCCAACCCAATGTTAAAACTTGCCGGAAGTTGATGTAGCAGAAACCTTCCTAACGAGTGTGTCTACGTTTCTGGATGCATTCGCCTCGCTCGGCGAGAACCAACCTGCGCAGCGGCAGCTCGCGCTGCCAACAATTGCCCTTGCGTATCTCATCAAAATAATACTACTTTCATCTTGACCCTCCACTTACACATGAAAACCCTTCATATTATCTATGAATCCGATGCTTATGTGATGTTCTACATCCATATACACGTAGCTACTTTATATACGGACAAGTATCATACAGGTATTACCCGTTTTTAGTCAAGAGTGTGCCTAATACAGCAAAATATGAGTGCATTTGAGCTGCTTTTTCTTACGTTCAAGGGGGGGTTTAGATGGTCAGAATAGCACCAAACAATTGCTCTCATCTGGCAGTTACTTCCTGACATCTTTGCTCAACTTTTTGGGGATCAAAAAAATATGGTCAAAAATCGACCAAAAAGTATGAGGGGTACCTCATGGTTTTCATTGAAAATTCATGGCTTTCTCCGCTAAAGATCACAAAATAGCAGAAAAAGGTGGGATTTCCAGTAATGGAGGTTCCACGCTGGATTCTAGCCATAATCCAGGCAACAACATTTTTACCTATGCATCACTTTTTCAAGATATCAAGAGTCAGAAGCGAACAACCTTCAACATTGCTCCAGCTATCGACAACAACGCCTCCACAACTGGAAGACCTTTGGACTACAACTCAACATTCGTAGAAGCTAAAGATGACTACTCTCTCGTCATTGATTGTTCTCAATTTGCTGGGATGGTATTCAGAGAGAAGCCCTTGCTCACTTGTCTTCGAGATCACTATTCCAAAGGATTGGGAATTAGAACACGTATGGTTGGTAAGAACCATAAGGTCATTGAAATCAGCTTTCCAAGCCAGGAAGATTGCGAGGAGGCTCTGAACAAGGAACTCGTCTTACAAGGGAAGATAATTAAGGTGAACAAGACTTTGGACAAAAATGCCAACGTCCTCAGAGTAGGTGTCTCTGAGCTTCCTTACAAAACTGAAGAAGTTTTGAAGCCTTTGATGGTGGAGACCTTCCAAAAATATGGGGACATTCTCAATCTTGGTCTTAGCTATACCAAAGATGGTAATTGGTTTACTGGTCGCGGTTTTGTCACTCTAAATAGGGACAAATTAAAAAGTTACGCAGCTGAACTTACCCCTCAGATCCAGTTTGGGAATTTCAAGGAGAAGCTACATTTGGTTTGGAGTAACATGAACCCAATTTGTCAAGACTGTCACACTGATGATCATATCAAAGCTGATTGTCCTCGAACAAAGAGGAAAGCATGTTTCCGATGCGGAAGCTTGGAACATCTCATCGCCGGGTGCCCATTAGCCTCATGGAATAGAGTGAAGAAAACTAATGATCACAACAAACAAGGTCAACATCGCCAGCAAGAAAATGTTGCCCAACCTAAACCTATAGGTAGAAAGGTTGACCTTTTAGATCTAATGAATGTGGACCCTCCTAAGTACCTCAACCACAAGAAGGGGAAAAGGAAGGCTACATCCCTTTCGTCGAAATCCACAAGCGATGATGAGGCACTTTCCAAGGGGGAAGTATCTTCAGCTGACGAGCCAGAGTCTGATTCCGACGCTGAAAATGTCCAAGAACATTCAACCAACTTGAACGACAGCAAGGATATGCAAATGGAAGAGGAAGGTGACTCCCATGATGGTGAATCTCAGGGTGATGAATCTCAGGTTGCTGAATCCGAGGGTCGGGAATCTCAGGCAGGTAGCCTCTCACAAGAGGATGCTCCCAAGGGACATCTCGAGGAGGAGGAGGACAATAATTCCTTTGGTGATGAGGAGTATGTCAAGTCTACTAGCGAGGAAGATAGCGATGGGGAATCTCCTAAGGTTGTTCAGGACAATGTAAGTAGATATAACTTGCGACACTCTGGGCACAAGAACAGTGTAGATGAACCTACTGAGGAACATCCCAAGCGATCTATCGATGAACTGGCTTCTACCCCTCCAGTAGAGGACAGCGAAGGTCCTAGCAAAAAGCAGATTAAACAGCAAGAGACTAACACCAGAGACGAAATGGTCTTGGATGGATCATCAACCACAAACACATTATAATTAATTAATGAGTAACACCAACCAAACTAGAAACATTAACATTAGGATAGGTTCCCTCAATTGCAGGAACCTCAACAAACAATATAACACCAATACAACAAATAGGTTCATCACCTACCTTAAGCAACAAAAGTTAAATATATTACTATGCCAGGAAACAAATATTCCTCACCATTCCTTTGAAAACATTACAACAAATTTTAAATATCAATTCCAGTACCACCAAGCAATTTGGACTGGACAATGTGGAGTCATCAACTTCAATCCATCACTGAATCTACAACAAATCAAAATACTAGAAGACGGAAGAGTTATTCTGACCAAGCTATCACTGGTTAACAATAACATGCCTCCAATTTACATTTTAAATATCTATGCTCACTCTGATGACTACAGGGCGAGAAATCACTTGTTCGACCAAATCATCAGTCTCCTCAACTCCATGCCTGAGATTATCCCTTCTCTCATCATAGCCGGTGACATGAACTGCTGCTTCGACTCCACAAGCCAACGCTATAATCGCCAAACTGGAAAGCCCAAAAGTTTCATTGAATTTTTGAACACTCACTTTTCAGATTGCTTGAACCAACCAAATTTACCGCATGATTACACTTTTAGACGTGGATCGTCTCTTTCCACTCTCGACTATATGTTTGCAGGCCGCGATGCTTTCTTCAAAATGAGTGATGGTGATATCACATTTCTCTCTCAAGAATGGACAGACCATGCCTTGTTAACCAAGACATACACTACCGGCATGACTAACTGTGGTAAAGGTGTTTGGCGGGCCAACCCCTTTCTTGCGAAGAACCCTATCTACGTCAACAAATTAAACACTGCTATCTCTAACTACGTTGAAACCAAATTAGATCCTAACCTATCTGCTCAAGAAAAATGGGACCTGATTAAGAAGAAAACTAAGCAAGTTACTCTAAACTTCAGCCGCACTCACTGTTCATGGAGGAAAGCTAAAATCAAGAAGTTACAGAGCGAGAGGAACAATTTGCTACGTAGGTACCGGGATGATTCCGTCTGTCTTAATCTTTTGCTTTCTCCTGTCGAAAAGGAGCTATCCCAACTCCAACAAGAGATAGTTGACGTCCAACGACTGAGAGCAGGACAGAGATGGCACGAGAAGAGTGAAAAGTCTCCAGGTTACATCAAGCAAACATTAGCGGAAAAGGCATCCAAGCGAACAATCTCTAGCCTAAAGCATCCTACTTCCGGGGAACAATGCTTGGAAACTAGTACTAAACTTGACGCTGCCAAAGTCTTTTATCAAGACCTATACACCGAGGAAGAAATTGATCTCAATTGTGTGGAAAGAATGCTACAATATATCGACAAAACAATTCCAGCTGAGGACTCACAGGACATCATTGAAGACATACCTTACGAAGATATCATTCAAGGATCTCGAAGAACGCCAAATGGTAGTAGTCCGGGCCTGGATGGTATATGTTACGAAATTTTGCACCTTCTAGTAATCAACCCGAGCTGTGAAGCGATTATTCTGCAAGTGTTCAACGATGCTTTATCACTAGGCAAATTCCCAAAATCCTGGCAGGAATCATGTATTGTGCTGCTACCAAAGAAAGGGGATATGACTGACCTTGGCAACTACCGTCCAATAACCCTAATAGCCTCTGATTGCAAAGTGTTTACCAGACTACTTAACTCACGAGTCATAGAGGTAGCAAGTGACCTTATAGGCCCCCACCAAAGTGGTTTCCTGAGAGGTAGATACATTGGAGACCATGGGATGTCGTTGAAAGTGATTGTAGACAATGCACGTGAAGCAAGATGGAACAATTCTGGAGAATTTGTCGAATATGCTGGGATTATGCTGGACAACGCCAAAGCGTATGATAGGGTACATCCCCAGTATCTATCCAAGGTCCTAGTGAAGTTTGGTTTCCCAAAACAGTTTGTCCAATGCATCTGCAAGTTATTCTTCGACAACTCCATTTACGTGAATGTCAATGGCTTTTTAACAGATCCTATCGAGCAAAGACGCGGCATCAGACAAGGAGACAGTATATCACCAATGCTGTTCAACTTGGCTATTGAACCATTTCTGCTATCTGTGACCAAAAGTACAACTATCTCGGGGTATAGTCTCCAGCACGTCAAGCCTATAAGCAAGAGAACAAACAGTTGGGTGGCTCCTCCTCCATTGAAAGTACTCGCATATGCGGATGATGTCCTGACTTTCGTCAAGTCTCGGGCAGAACTTCTTGATCTGGAAGAAAGATTGAGAACTTACAACAAGGCCTCGAACTCCAAGATCAACTACGACAAGTCCGTGGCCTTCCCTCTTCATGGTGGAAGAATGACAAGCCAAACTGGTGGCCTAATTCAAGATCATGCAACAAACAATCTCAAAATCAAATGGTATGATTCTACGTCTACAGGATTTATAAAATACCTAGGTTATCCAATTTGGTTCTGCAATCAACAAAGAGACGTATACATCGCTAAACTGCTGGGTGATATCACTACTGCTGTTGAAAGGTTTGCAGCACGACAAGTCTCACTGTACGGCAGAGCGAATATTGCCAACACTATGATATTGTCCAAACTATGGCATGTCATTCGGATCGTTTCCCTGCCCAAAGACACAGTCAAGAAGATAACCTCAATCATTTATCAGTTTGTAATGTCTGGCTTGTATCCACCTCTAAAGGGCAACTCTCTCTTCCTACCAAGGTATCAAGGCGGTTTAGGACTGATTGATATAATGGCGCAACAAAAGGTTCTGCAATTCAGATACCTGAACGCTTTGCTGACAGAAAACAGCAACAACATACCTGGTCTCACGTATAGGCTACTAGTGGATTATTTGAAGATGTCGCACGACTCACCATCGCACATAATCCCTATACTGTTCCAAACGGCTAGATACAAAAACCAGTTAAGAGGCTTCCACCCTTATCACATGATGTTCGAGGCAATAGATACTTATATGAAGCATTCCCCATTCTCACTCGCTTGGTCTGTCAAACCAAATGTCATGACACTCTTGTCATTGCCAGTGCTGGAAATTCTTGATTTTGTCAATGAGGAAGTAGCCATGGGATACACAAGCAGAGACTCGATCAGGGAGAGTAAAGTTCATGACTTCTTCCACGTCAACCAGGAAACAAGTACTCTGCAGATAAAGCCAAGAAGTGAATGCAAGCGACCAAACATTAGGAATCAGATAGAAAGAGGTCTTCTCTGTGGGAACATCAGATTGGAATCTTTCGCGGATACAAGAAACATGGAGGCTCATCTAGACCTACAGCCTTTCGTTGCTATGCTTAACTACCAAGACCGCCCAATGCTTCAAATGTCAAACAAATACTTGAGATCAATTATGCTGGACATACACAACCTTGATGTTGGACGAAAGTTCAATCATACCATCAGCAAAGTCCAGTGGAAACACTTCTATCATCAAAACATGCATCACTCTGTGAGAAATGTCTGGTATAGAATGATACACAAGCAATGCCCGAGCAAATCAGCTCTTTTCGTTCGACGCCTGAGGAACGTCGAAGATGACAAATGTACCCTCTGCAATGATACTGAAGATGCCAAACATCTCATGGTTAGCTGCCCCCACAAAAACGACATTTGGTCCAACATCTTTGAACAATTCCTGGGATACCCCAAGGTTGCTAATCCACAACAAGTATACCAATCTATAGTTAACTTAAACCTGAAGCAATATTTCATCTACAACCTCGATATCAAGATTACAATCTTCGACCTGTTTGCTGCCACCATTCGTATGATATGGAGATTCCACCTCCTACAAACATTCGAAGGAGTGCCATTTGATACCAACAATGTCACCAACAAGATCAGTGCTGAAGTGATGAGATTGTCAGATCTCAAGCATCAATATTAGTAGTAGCTTTAATAGATTTTATATATGGCAAGTCACTTTGTTACATACACTTGTCCATCATTTGATGTTCTTATTATAATGTATATTTACTAATAAATAAGCAACATCCATACAAAAAAAAAAAAAAAAATTTTCATTGAAAATTAAACGATCGCGTTTTTGACCTTGATAATGAAGACTTTTACTATGGTATATATTAATTCAAAATGTTTCTATCGATCTAACGTAACCCCTAAAATCATCTTTGTGGGACTTTGATATGGAAAATCTCGACTTTTTAGCCAGAAACCTCGTTTTATATTTTCGTAAATTACTTGATACGTTTATTCAAAACATTTATATTACTTGGTACCATTGGATGCGCCTTGAAAAGTACTTCAAGAATGTATTAGGAAGCATCGGATGAAAATTACAATTTATATAGTCGAATATCACAAAATAGTTCAATCGAGTCGAAGTTTACTGACATTTGGCCAATCTAGAGCAGACAATAAGCTTGAGTTTAAAATTATTTTGGCGGCTGGTGAGGCAGGCTGACAAACTCAATAGCAGCCTTTTATCATGAAGGCACTACTACTAGATGCTTCTGAAGCCAATGGAAAGTAGGAGGTGAATTTGATAGTACCATCGTTAATCATACTATTCTCTTTTGAGTCTTGCATCTAATGATACCAGCCCACTAATATACTTGCAAAATCGTCTTTCCTTTTTTCAATTTCAAAAGTGTGTAAATCTATCATGATATGATAGTGTAAAGTGTCTCAGGGCAAATACAAGTGGACTATTGAAAACTTATTGAACTGCCACAAAAAGGGTTTGAAGGCTTGGTACAAGTTTATCCTGAATTTAACCGCAAAATACAATACCCCTCTAAAGAATTGCTACGTAAAAAGATTATTTCAACAATCCCAAAACGCAAACTGGCCATCATCACACAGAAGAAGATAACAATCATTTTATAATCTTTCGTTTTATAAATGAACAGGCTTTTTAAGAGGTTTATAGCAAAATTTATTCAAATTCCAGTAACAAAAGAAAAAAGGCAAGAAATATATGTATACAGCTGAATTTAAGAAGACCATTTTATTCTATCATGGCAGCTTCTTTGCGTGCAGCGATGGCTTGTTGATTGAGAAGATATTTGAGTGTATATTGGTTTGAATCACATCTACATAAACAGAGCATAAGTACATTATTTATACAAACAGGCTTTCAAACTTACAATGTAGCAATATCATCTCTGACACGATTCACACCCTTATGCAACGCTCTAAACACTGGCTGGAATTGACCACGGTGGTCGCGAAGGTATCTTCCATGAGCTGTCATGACACTGGTGACCCATAACAAATGGAATTCAATGTGTGGGCTTGTTTCCATGTGCATACCCACAAATGTTAATAGCTTAAAGAGGTACTTTTCAGGCATGCTACGAGCAACAAGGTCCACAGAATCTGGAGGAACGCCTTCGAATACAGTGTGTAGTAATGGTTTTTCGTTCAATCTGAATGCCATACAGAGCGACTTGAGGTATTCTTTTTCACCAAGGGCTTCAATCACAGTTTCTGGTGTGATATCAATCTCCAAATCAAATGGGTCAAAGAGGATATCTTCGTCTAGGGAGTAAATCATGAGACCATCTGTTGTCGCAGCAGCCCATGATCTGCCTGTGGGAGAGAAGCGCACTGCTTTGGATTTGATTTCAGGCCTTGTGTTTCTAACAGAGAGATCGCCGGATCGTGTGCCGGGTAGAGAAAAGTCTACACGCTCCTCACGGTCAGATCCTTCGTCTTCCAGCTCTTCCAAACTGCCGAATTCTGTCATGTATTTCGAGTTGAGCATTTCTTGAGTGCCGTCTAGTGAAAGGTTCTTGGAGATGGTGAATTTCTTGATCAAAAAGGAGCTTGCCACATCGTAAATACAGATATATTTGCTGGTGCCAGAGCCAATCAAACTTGTGCCATCAGCTGTATAGCAGATGCTGTTGAAGCATTTGCCCGAGGCAGCATTATCAGATGAAGTACGATCATCCTTCTTGCGACCACCCATGATATCCTTGCGACCATCAATGGTGCCAACAATATTTGCTTCTTGAATGTCCCAGAATGTAATATTACCATCCAAAGTGGCAGCAGCGATCTCCTTGCCATCGGGCTTGAATGCCACAGCCAATACTTCTGTCTGGTGAACAAGGGGCTCAATGCTCTTGGTGCGACCAAATACATCCCAGGTACGAGCAGAATGATCCCAACTACCACTCACAAGCATCATACCCGTAGGTGAGAAAGCCAATGAACTGATGGGGCCTGTATGACCAGCCAAGATATCAAGCAATTTACCAGTCTGTACACTCCACACGTAGATTTCAAATGTATCCATGGTACCAGCGCAGACAATTTCACCACTAGGATCAACGGCCAAAGAAGTGAATTGAACAGGATTAGGGCTAGTGAATGTTCTGAAATTACGATAACGCACCAAATCAAATGCACGCACCGTACCGTCCAAACTAGCCGAGAACAGCACCTGCCCCTGTTTAGCAAACTCAACAGCATTGACACCACTGCTGTGCTCACTGAATGTCACAAAACAGAAACCACTTGCTGTATTCCACACCTTGACTTTACCATCATCGCCACCAGTCGCTAATGATTGTCCGTCGCCTGAATAGCTGACTGAATTGATATCGTAATAATGGCCTTGCTGCTTCAACACATATGTTTCGGATTGCCATTCCCACACCAACAATTGACCCAGGGCTGCCGAACCGAACGCAAGCCATTCACCAGTAGCGTTGATAGCGACTGTGTCAATCTTCTTTTGCGAAATACTCAGAGTGTGAATGGTGGTGAAATTGGGCACTTCGTAGATGCCAAACAAGCCGTTAGCAAAGCCAGCTACAACGAGATTGCTGGCAGCAAAGAACTGTGCTTCGGTGACTTTGATGCTGGTGCTGTTGAAGTAGTTTTTCTTTTGAATTCTCCACTTGACCTTATCCACACGAACAACCTCGTTTCCATCTTCATCCACTTCCACCATCTCTGTATCAGAGTCCTCATGCATGGCAGCATATGTCGAGTTTTTCCACTGGAACAATGATCCGTCTCTGCTGATAGAGTAAATCTAATGGAACTGTGTGTCAGTAACGCAATGCTGCAGTCAGTCTCGCTCTCTTGCGCTTACATTCTTCATGTCTGCAGAAAACCAAGCATTGACGATATAATCACGATGGCCTGATAGAGAAGCTGGCACGAAATCGATGGATCTATCCACTGTAAAAATTCTGCATGTCATGTCCTTTGAACTAGTGATGAAGAATCTGGAATCAGGACTCCAGTTGATGTTGGTTATGGCATCATGATGACCGAGTGCTGTGAAATAGAGCACAAAAGGTGCGAATTCTCGAGTGTGGCCGGGTGCTTTCCAAATGTTGACAGTTTTGTCGCTTGTGATGGCAAAGTATTTGCCATCAGGGCTGAATTGAATGGCTCTGGCTCTCGTTTTAAAGTTCATGTGATGGAGTACAACTCGACGAGGTAAATTAATCAACAGTGCTCTGCCATCTAGAGATTGAATTCAGCGTGAGTTGGTTTCTCGTCTTGATCGAGTAAATCGACTCGTAGTTTACCTTTATCGACGGTAACTAATAATGTGCCGTTGGGTGAAAGTGCCATGCGGTCAATGTTTTTGCGCATTTCAAAAGGAAGTGTGCATGAGGTATTGCTGTGATGAATGCATGTTAGCGTGCACATGAATTACATCCTAGTCATACGCTTGGTCTTACTTGACGAGATCAAACATGGACACACGGTTGCCTACGGGACTCAATACTGAATTACCATCGGGTGTGAACAAGACATTGGCGCCTGTATACACAGTGCCTAATAAATTGGAAAACTAGATGTGAAATGATCCATGTCAGCTTTGCTGATGAGCGACATGAATATGATCTATCCTCACCTTGTAAGATGATTTCATAACGAGAGCAGTTTAAAACAAGGAAGAAAGGAAAAAAAAAAAGCAGCACTCGCAAGAAAAAAAGGTTTTGCTTTAATTTGACAGGTGGTGGCTTGTGTGTAGCTTTAAAAGCAGTAGTATCAGCTTCATACGGCCCAATCGCTCAAGGTATCAACAAGAATGAAATGCGTTTTATTTCTGCAAAACTTGACTTTGATCAAAAGATAAAACAGAGATCGATTCTCTTGGATTACTAGACTTGATGTGATGATCATTGGTATTTTGTGCAGCAGCCGTTGATGCTGATGACGACGATGCTTGTGCTCTTTGGGAATAGTATTCGTTTTTCAATGCATTTGCAGCAGACATGTTTCTCATGTGCGTTGCAGACGTGGGTGCTGTCGTCGCCTCTCGGATATGGCTCATTGTATGTGGATTCAAGTCGGATCTCTCTCGAAAATCGTTCCTAATACGAGTCATCAGCCTACTAGTTCAGGCAACACTGCCCTCTCGTCCAATTGCTTACATGATCTGCCCCAGTGTATCCAGCTTGTTCATCAGACTCTTCAATGCCATCTCTTTCTTGTTGAAATAAACGAGATTTCGCTTGTATTCATCTTCTACATCACCTGATGTTTGTATCACTGGCAGTCTTGTGGTTTGGAAGATGTGGTTACAGCACTGAAGTGAGAGAAATGCTTCTTTTATATACATACGACATATCATCAATGGACTCCAGACTGATATGTTCAGTTGCTAGTTCAATCTGCTTTCGTCGAATCACATCGACTTCTTTAAAAATTCGACTTGTATCACGACCTAGAGAGATGATGAGTTCAATGTGCAAGCGACCCTCTCGTTGCTTATTTACCAAACACTCTCAAATCATCATTAGCATACATCTCATCCATTTTTTCGAATTGCAAGTTGAGATTGGACTGAACATCATCAGGGTGTGGCATTGGAGGTATGCTTGTAGTTTAGTAGCAGAAGAAAGAAGTAGGAAAATGCAAACTGTGTGTGCTCCTGATCAAATAATTGAAATCCCTCAATCACAAGCTTTTACTTGAAGCGGTGTCTCTCTCCTGTGAGCATCCAAAGCATGATCAGCAATTAATTGCCAAGACGCTTTAAAACCACTGTGGCCTGGCTTCTCTACGATGCTCCACCACTGTATCAATGGAAACAACTTATAAGGGCAAGCAATGTACTTGCATCACCTCTTGCTAGCCAGAAATAGGCAAAACACAGCATACTTTGAGCGCATTTGAGCCGTCATTTCTCACGTTAGAAGCCACTTTAGATCGCCAGAATAACACCAAACAATTGCTTTCATCTAGCACATACTTTCTGACGCCTTTGCTCAACTTTTTTTTGGGATCATCGAAAATCGAGCAAAACCCATGAGTGATACCCCATGGTTTTTGTCGAAAATCAAACGATCGCGTTTTTGACCTTGAAAATGAAGACTTTTACTAAGGCATATATTACATCAAAATATATGTCTTGATCCAAAGCGACCCCCTAAAACTTTGTTTGCGATAACTTCATATGTAAAATCTCGACATTTTCGCCAAAAACCTCATTTCATATTTCTTGATATTGCTCAATGAGTTTATACAAAACACCCCTCATATTCAGTATCATTGGATGCGTCTTGAAAAGTACTCTAAGAAAGCTTAAGCGCGCATGAGATAATTCGCACAATATACATAGTCGAATCTTGCAAAATAGATTAAATAAATCGCAAATTGATCAATTATTCCCATTTCAAGACGAAAAATTACATGTCGGACATTACATTATTTGGCGGCTGGCCACTATGCCATGCTCATCATAAAGGTAATCAACGATGATCATCGAAAATCTCATTCATGCCAGCCTATAATTTGTCCTTTTGTTAAGTTGCTCTCACACATTTTCCTTGGCATTTAACATTACGGAAAATTGCATCCATTGCTTGATTATAGTTATGCTACTATAGTGTACACAGAGCAGGCTATAAAAGCCTCTAACCTAGAGGTAACCAATGCTGTTTAAAGCCAACGAGAGTGGGAGTGTGAGTCAAAAAGGTACTATAGCTTGGTCTAGATACTTTTCTTTCTTCTGCTGTACAGTTTTGCTTATACAAACTCTTTTTTTTTTATTATTATTATTAAGGCTTTAAAAGTGCCTGCGGCATATTATGTTCTGATGTTAAGCAGGCTTCAGACAAATGCATCAAGGCGTGCTTTATCTTCCTCTGTGGGCTCCAAAAGTGGAGGAGGGCAGTACCCAGCAGGTGCTCCTCGTTTTCTCAAAATGTACTTTATGCTTTGAAGCAATCCAGTATCCAATACCACCTGAATCTTGGGCACCAAAGAAGCCAACAATTCCTTTCCCTTTTCAATTTGGTCCATATGCAAAAACTCTACTGCTTGCTTCATCTCCTTTGGAAACACATTACCTGCAACAGATGTGATTCCAGTATAGCCTTGCTCTGTGTAGGCTTCAGCATACTCTTCATCTATGCCCGTAAAGAATGTGTGCTGTCTAGCCTTGTCGCCCAGTAATTGCTTGACCTTCTTGACATTGGCAGAGTCACCAACCTCTTTTAAACCATACACGTTGGCAGCAATACTTGCAATACTTGCATACGTCTCGGGCTCAATTTGAACACCATTGCCAGCAGGATTGTTGTATAAAAAGATGGGCAGTTTGATGGATTTGGCAACATCGATAACATATTGCTTCAGCTCTTTTTGAGATGGTAAACGGTATGGAGGAACACCCAACATGATACCAGCGAATCCAGATTTTTGAGCAGCTTGAGCCAACTCGATAGCATCTTTAGTCTTGAAAGCAGCTACACCTGCATACAATGGGTAGTCCTTGGAAACAGTGTCACCGACGATTTGATACAATTGCTTTCTTTCAGCTATTGTCATACAGTGCTGTTCACCTGTGCTTCCACTAATCAGCAACCCAGGTGCTTCCAACTTGTGTATGTAGAACTTGACAAGCTCAGGAATGGATTCAATGCATAAATCCCCTTCTTTGGTGAAAGGGGTCACCATGGCGATAGAGTAGGAAATGAATTGTTGTTGTTGCTGTAACATTGTATGCTAAATAGAATGTGAGATCAAGAAGAAAAACCCTTTGAAATTCACATCAGAATGATTCATTTTTTATATGCGAGCATTTAGCGGGGTCTTCCGGATGTAATACTTTTCAAGTGTGTTTCACTGCCGTAAACCAGGACGTTTGATTATAGATTTGTACATTTTATACGTGATGGCATGTGTGTAGGTTTGCTGTAAAAGGCAGTTGGCTTCATAATCGAAGCATGGCTCCACTCTTGCAAGGCGAGATGCCATCAATTTGATATAAAACATGAATGACATGCAAATCCAACCCCCCAGGATGACAAATCAGAAAAATTTACACATGCTCTATAAAGAATGCTGATTTAACAATCAAACTCAATTCTAAACATATCTGCTTTGAAGACGGATCAGGTACCTTCCTTACTCGTTGGTGGAGGTATTTCTCATATCGACAAGCTGTCATTCAAAAAGCATCTAATCTAAATCCATTCAAATGCTGATATATCATGGCACTGCGATATGGGAGAATATGCTTATACTGCCTCGAAGCTGCACTGTCAAGTAGTACAGTAGATCAACCTGTCATTTACTTGCTATAGAGCTAGATGGATCTTTGCAGTCATGGAAGGCAGCACTGTAGTCTTGTCATTCCGTCGTTTTTCTAGAGATGATCTGTCAACCACAACCAGTCCCCGCTAAACTTTCCTCACTCTCTAGAAAAAAAAAACCCTTGGCATGGTGAAACCGACAGAAATCAACAATGCAAACTTTCTGTTTAGTTGCAAGCATAATGAAGCATTACTGCGGCGTGAGTACAATCATGCTAATATGTACCATCCTGTGTACCTTGAAAGGTTATTCATATGATCGGTAAAACAAATTTGCGATCTGTAATAACATATGGTGGCAGTAGATGACCTCCATCTATTATACACCTTAATTCAAAGCAAGAAAAAGGGGCGAAATCTAGAAAAATCTCTTTTTTTTTTTTTTTTTTTTTTTTTTTTTTTTTTTCTTCTTCTTCCTTCTCTCTCTTTTCTTCGCTCCCTCATTTCAGCGTCTAATGCGGCAAGAAAGACTCAATTCTTTCTCTTCCAATGATCCCATTTTCAATCAACAAGAGGACGACATTGAAGAGCAAATTCATCAGCAAAATGCAAAAACAGTAGATACATCGACTTACAGCTTTGACAGTGTGTTTTTCAAGCGGTTTGCCCGGCTTTTAGGTATTCTATTCAAGAGTAGCCGCTTATATAAACCATGGTCCACCAAGAAAGAAGCTCGCAAGCACAGTTTATTCTGGCTCTACATTACCTTTATCACTCTGGGCGTCAGTTACGAAGTGCTTGTCTACTTTGTGGGCATGATACCAAGTCAATTTTACTCTATTTTGACCAGCAGAGATGCGATTGGATTCTCAAAGTACATTCTACCCTGTCTTTTGCTTGTTTTCAGCACTGCTACCGTAAGTTGTTGACCAGAATTCGATCTCGCACCCTGTTTTATTTAGATCCAATTTTAGTGCAAAAGTTTACTCAACTTTATGGGCGGTCTCTTTGCATTGAAGGCAAGAAAATTGCTGACAATTCACTTGCAAAACAAGTACATCAAGCCAAAATCCATGTATACCCTTGTGATGAATCATGAAAAAGTGGATAACCCGTAATATCAACATTTACGTTGTGATCACATCTCTGTGTAACTTACCACACAATCTTATTTTGTTTACAGAGATCAACGTATTACTCAAGATGTCGATAAGTTTGCAGAGACGTTGCGTCAAATTGTCACGAACCTCATTATTGCACCTGTCATGGTTGTCTACTACACATACAAATGCTGGATCGTCACTGGATTTGCTGGACCTTTGTTGATCTACGTCTACTTTTTGCTGGGCTCATTCATTAGTCGCAAGTTTATTCAACCCATTGTCAATGCTGTGTTTTTCAAGGAGCTGCAGGAAGGAAACTTTCGCTATCTTCATGTCAGGCTGAGACAGTATGCTGAATCCATTGCTTTCTGCGATGGTGAAGAGGAAGAGAATGGCAGAGCACAGCACAGCTTGGAGACACTGTTGACATATCAACGTACCATTGTAAACAAAGAGCTTCCCCTGAAAAGTAAGTTGGAACCTGTCAACAAGTGTGTCCCCCCCCTCCCCCTGAAACGCTCAACATTCTTGATTTAGTGGCAAATGAGAGCTTCTCTTACTTGGGGTCAATCCTCAGCTATTTAATTATTGCTATCCCTATCTTTGCTGGCGTGTTCGATGGAAAGGATGCTTCTGAGCTGAGTGCTATTATCAGTGCAGTATGTGGAGTTGAGAACACAATGTAAGAAACAATATTAATATGAGATTGCTGTAGAACTCCTTTGTCGCCATGTATTTGATCTATTTGTTTTCAACCATCATTGAACAGTCCACCAAATTGTCGGATCTCGCAGGCTTTACTGCTCGTGTGGGTGAGCTGTTGGAAGCATTGGATCAAGTTGCTGTCGAGATTGAGAAAATGGAAACCGAGCATCCCGTTAGAAAGGAAGAGCAAAGCGATACCATTGAATTCGAGAATGTGTCCTTGTTCTCTCCTCGATCAAAGCTCATTGTGCACGATTTGAATCTCAAGATTTACCAAGGTGATCATGTCGCCTTTGTTGGCCCCAATGGATCTGGTAAGACTTCCATTTTGCGCGCGTTGGCTTGTCTATGGCCCTGTAGCGAAGGCAGAGTACATGTCCCCAAGGTCATCATGGGGAAAGATATTATTTTCCTTCCTCAAATGCCATACCTCATTGAGGGGTCGCTGAGGGATCAGATTGTATATCCAAATACAACACCAGCTGCTAAAAGTAAGTGCTTGGTGTTGGGCTGGTGATGTGATTATACTAATCCAAGCGTGCACAGTTACAGATCAAGAGATTGTCCAGCTACTACAAAAGGTGCGTCTTAGTCACCTGTCAGGCTTGGTGAAATCATATGATACTGTGTATGGTCAGGAGTGGTCCAAGATGTTATCTCCTGGTGAGCAACAGCGATTAGTGTTTGCTCGTATCTTTTATTGGAAGCCGCGATTTGCAGGTATGCTTGGTATAGATTGCTGACTATGGAAATGTCACTCAATGCTCGGTATCGTAGTTCTTGATGAAGCAACTAGCGCAATGGATAAGGACACGGAGGACTATTTATATGAAGCACTGATTAATATGGGAACCAGTGTTATTAGCGTGAGCCATCATCCAAATGTGATTGACTACCATAGCACTATTGTTATTTTAGACGGGCAAGGCGGATACACCATTGAGACCAAGGAATCAAGCTCATCGCTGGTTGCTGTGTAGAATTGTACATATAAGAGTCAGAACCCCTTTCAATTTTATTGTAGGAAAATCAAATCAAATCTCAAATAAATACATTATGAAAGAGCTCATCGTAATGTGAGAGCACATAACTACAAAACTGAAACAATCCTATAGTGAAAAAGTACCTTTGAAAGTCTATTCGTCAATATCGCCAAAAGTCTATTCATGAGGTTGCTCAATCATGGACAGTATTACGAGACTCTGTTGCCAAACTAGTCCTACAGGAAATTAGTCTAAAGTCTCCACTACCAAAATTCATTGTCGACAGCTACTATACATCCCCTTTCAGCATATTCGATATTCAATAAGCAGCAATGCTGCTCGAATCCAAAGACAGCAATAAACGTTTTGAGATTGAATTGGTTGAAATATCCACACTCAATCTAATTCACAATTCCTGTATCTTTTTGCTTTTGTATTCACTACTGCATTTCGAAAAAAAAAGGTGAGCGTGTAGACCACAAGTAGATGTTTATCCATAGACTGACAGGCAACTACATGTGTTAGCGATGATTACAGATACCCAACTTACACTGATTGCCAACTCTCTTGGTGTCATTACTATGGTTTTGATTGTCGCGTACCATTATATATCAGTCAATGGCAAAAGCAAATCTTCATAAACACTCATTAGCAACAACAACAACAACAACAACAGCAGCTACAGTCTATCAAGCCTTGTTAACATCAACATTTTATTAATAATAGTACAAATAAAAATCTACATATGTAACTCTCGTTTCAACTCCAAAAACCAGCCAACAGCTTCAGTTCTTCTCATATCAGAAATGCCAGACCCGCTAACAGTTTCAAACAGAATCTTCATTGTAGCCTTCTGCATGACACGAGTTTCTTGAGCCAAAATCAGCGTTCTAATTTCATCCAAAATAGATGGGAAGAAGGGACCCAGCGAGAGAGGTTTGAGTAGATCAATCAATGCCGTGGTATATTCGTTACGAAGTGGAATGTCCTTTTCCTCATTAAGGGAATGAATCTTGAGTATCAATTGATTGACTGTGAGCCAGGCTAATGCATCGTCCAGGCCACACAGTGCTTGTATTAAAGTGTTGAAGCCAAAGCGAAATTGGTCTAGATTCATTGGCTCGGGAAAGTTCTATCAGGTTACATGTTGGCTGTTTGAACTTGTATTACGCATCGAGAAAAAGAAACTTACATCGATCAGTATCTTGGCATAGACTCCTGCCAATTCTCGAGAAACGGGTTTTTCAGCTATAAAGGCAGTGATGACAGCCGTATGAGCACTTTCATACAGATCCTTGTTTTCAATTCGCTTCCACTTGAGAACGGGATAAATAACAGGCAAGATGTCATTTTCCAGCACTTGATCATCCACATTGGTCATCACTTGCTCGATCAAGTCAGTAAAGAAGGTCAGACGAGATTGCTTTACCATGGACAACAACTCTACAGTGGGCTTGTCGTCATGCACAAACTTGGAGGGAGCTATGATAGAGTGTTAGTATCATGTCCCCCCCTAATCACACATTGACATACCATATTCCTTGAAAGCCAATGACAACAGTCTGTTCAACTCGCATTGATTGTCATCATGCAACAAATAAGCAACAGCATTTGTCAACGTATCTTGATAGGCTTGACGACCTGCACCTTCTCCCAGATGCTCAGTGATAAAGTTAAAGTTGGCATACACCGAGATGGTGTCTTGAGCAGCGTGAGGAACCTGAATGAGGCCCTTTCCATCGGGTATATCGACAGCCACAGCCTTTAAAATGACAGTAAAGGCAAATGTCATGCTCTTGAAGACGGTCCATACAGCGTTCTCCAATTCCTTGAAATTCTTAGCTTCATCAGGGGTCATTGATTTGTCTGCTGTGTCCATAATGTATTGATCCCAGTCAAAGAACACATTGTAAGAGAATCCAACCAGGCGATCCAAGAGGGCTTGCACTACATCAGCAGATTGCTCATTGAGCAAAAGAATTTCTATTATTTTGGCCATGGCTCTGGAAATACGGCCAATGTCTTTAAAGAGAGGCTGGTTGACCAATTGAGTCATTTCTTTTGTGATCTCTGGCTTATTTTGTAGTCTGTGAATAACATCGCTGTTGTTGAAGGTGTAGGGACTGGTCAATAAGCTTGCGCCAAGTAACTTGAGGAGCGTAGAAAGGTTCTTCATGGCAAGTGTCAATTCAGATGGAATTTGTATGATGCATCTGCAAGCAAAGAAAGCAATCATGTCTAGTAAATGAAAGATAAGTCGATTGTGCTTGCTTGATCTAATCCGTCCTTTACCTTGGTTGATGGCAACATCATGAACATGCTCTGGGGAAGTAACCTTGTCAACAGCCATATCCAACTGAGTGATGAATGCCTTTTCAGCATCTTGTCTTAGGCCAAGCACCTTTTTTGTCTTCTTTCCTTGATTAAACTGCAACATGCGTCTGTGTATTCTGATCAGAACAATGACACACATACACACACTCAAGCATACAGCCACTACTTACACTACACCGGCCAACACGGCTAAACATGTGAAATTGATAGCTAATGTCTCTGGTTGATCCTTTACAACATCCTTGGCCATATTGACAAGCGTCGCTAAGTCAGCTTCAGCTCTACTCTGGGGCTTCTCCTGCGATCTGATATCTACCACATGCTCAATAGCCGTCATAATCGCACGGGGACCATCTGCTCTCTTTGCGCAATACTGGATGTGAGCATGTAATAGGTTTCGGCAAGACTCCACTTCAAAATCATTGAGGGCGTTTGTTTGAGCCAATGCGTGCGCTACACCTGCATCCAACGCTTCTGACAAGGCGTGTATCCTCTGGTCGTCGTGGCCCAAGGTGTACAGTTCCAATACTTTTGTCATGCCTTCCAATAAAGTGATATCCTGACTCTTTCCCATCAATGATACCCAGCCAATCCATGCGTCTTTCTGAATCGCCAAATAACGGTTGTCTGTTGACAAGAGCAGTTCCAACAAGGTGTCCATGACAAGCTTCAATCTCGAATCATCCACTGCGTTCAAGCGACGGAGCCAACTGGAGAATAAAGTAATGATGGAGGCAAGGCCTTCCAATTGTCCATCCAGCATGAATCTACTCTTGAATGCAATCAAGGTATCTAGGAATTGTGGCGTGAACCATGAAGTGGGTAGATCGCTGCTATACTGTGCCAGTTGCTTTAAACTGTTGATCATCTATATTGGAGTTATTTCAGCTGAGTCATAGTATTTTGTTAGCAAAGCATGCATACCTGGGCTGGCGTTAGGGTTGAATGCTGCAAGATGTTGTAGTAGGCATCCGACAGCATCTTTGCCAATTCCTTAAGATCAGGCTTGTTGTTGTTGTTGTTGTTGCTGCTGCTGCTGGCTTCTGGCTGTGGCATGATGTGATCTGAAAAGAAGAGGAAAAAGAGTATGAGAAAAAAAGAGTTGCGTGTGGAGTTTTGTATCAAAAACAGTGTGCTGTCATTGGTCCTCCGTGAGTAACTTGACATGGCATCAGAGGTATAAAATTGGACGCTACGAGCATTGCAAACTGATGGATGAAGCCAGGCAGCATTAGCACTTCTCATTGGCAGTACATGGACGTGTTTGATAGAGTGCCATTTGCATTTCATCTTGCTAAAATTCAGCGCTGATTGATGGATACTATATCAAAACTTGTGCCTGATTTTTAAAGCATACATTGATCATTTGGATTTGAACTCTAAACAATACATTTAAGCTGTTTGAAGATACCACATATCCTATAGACCAAAGTAGGCATGGAAAGTATGAACGCATCACCTGTATTCAGCGAGCAACCCAAAATCCCGGAGCGGTGGCACAGATTTGTAACCGTGGATACACTCACACTCCTCTGGCTATACATTTCATGCGATTCTTGTCTTGGATCTTCGGTAAAACAAAAGTTGCACCTGTCATTCAAAAGCAGGATGTTACAAGAAACCGACGAAAAAGATGCCTCTTCTGACAGCCCAAACAGGAATTTGAGCTAGATAATGAGAGCAGAGCATGTATGTCCTTTGGTGCTTGTTAGGGTGGTTTGTACGAGTTCAAAGTGCTTTGCCATGATGATACATTGCGAAGTAAGTGTAGGGGTTTCAAAGACATTTGATATAAATATCATGCCCAGCAGGCTAGGTGATTTCCCACTCCCTTTCTTTCTCTCTCTCTCTCTCTCTCTCTCTCTCTCTCTCCCTTTATTTTCTCGTTTATTAACTAAAAGTTAAGCTTGATATAGCACTACATGCAACTTCCAGTAGATAATCCACAGTCAACGCTGTTGACTCTACATGATGCCATCACTGATTCTCCAGTTTACCGGTCCACAACCCTTCATTTCGACGACCAATTGGATTTGCTGGAAAAATGGTTAGAGTCGTTGTCAAAGTATATGAAACTCTATGTGGGTCAACTGAATAGTAAGTTGGGGAAAGAGGGAGCGTTTGATACGATATGGACTATGTAATAATCATAAATCCCCTCAGAATTCAACTTGGAAACCAACACATTATGTAAAAAAGTTATTCCGGTCGGTATTGATGACTCCATGATAGGTATAAACTTGATAGAGGCTTGCGCGCTTGCCACTCATTCACTCACATACTCAATCTAGACCCTAACTTTACTGGCGCTGTAATCAAGAGCTTTTCAGATGCTTTGCAAACGGGTTTAGCTTTCAAAACAAAATTGGTATAGTATAAATATTTGCATGGCGCATAATGAATGGGAGGAGATGGGGCTAAGCTTCTTTGTATTCGTATAGGTGTCTGACCTCGAGGACAGCTTTATTCAGCCCCTTCAGCTCTTTGTCAAGACACACTTGAAAGATTTTAAAGACTTTAGAAAGCAGCACGAAAAGACATTGGAACGATACGATGCACAACTGTACAAATACACAGCACAGAGCAAAACCAAAGAAGCCTCGGCAGTAAGAGAGGAAGCATTCAGGTTGTACGAAGCAAGAAAATCTTATGTGCGTATGTCTGGGCAGCATGTTGTACGTATTTTGCATTTCCGATCTCTGTTGGAGCATTTCCTTGTGGAGCGATTTGCGTTGGCGTCCTCGTTTCATCTCAAAGACTTTGAAGGAGGTTCTGATTCTTGGTCAAAGTTGCAATCCAAGTTGATTTCCTGGAAGCAGTGGCTGCTGGATGACAAAGATACGTGCAACTACCAACTGGATCAGCTGCAGTCGTCTCGCATTACGCTGGAAACAAAGTTCTTGAACGTCGTGCGTCCTGCCCGAGACTTGGAAAAGTACAACATCAATGCAAACCAGCAAGCCAACAGCAGACACTCGCTGGATTACTCGTCCGTCATCAACAGCGCCAATCAGCCGAGCCATAAATGGGGCTATTTATTCGCAAGAGGCGCACGAAATTATTGGAATCGAAAGTGGTTCTTTTTGTATGATGGATGCTTTGGCTCGTGCAATGTGAATGCCTCCAACAGACTGAAGGGAACAATCACCATGGGGGAGCGTGTTTCGGTCTTGCTGTGTGACATCAAGCCTTTGAATGATGTGGATCGACGATACTGCTTTGAGGTCATGTGTGCTCACCAGTAAGTAGCATGTGCATCTATATATAGGATATGCCTCATTCATACGTTGATAGGCCGCCCTTCATTCTGCAGGCTGAGACGGAAGAGGACATGCGTGAGTGGATGGGCGCATTTGAAAAATCAAAGCGACTCATGCTGCAAACTGAACAACTGGATTATAAAAGCGGAACTTCTACTACAACTACTGCCATCAATGCTTCGTCGGCCACGGATACAGATGCAACACTATTGAACAACTCACCTCCCAAGGCCAATTCAGCTGCCTTGACTGCCAAAGCAAAGCCTACCACCATGCTAAACGAATTGCCTGCCGTCTCGACCCATAGTTCCTTGATCGACACTGGATTGGAAGGTTCATCAGAACAGCAACAGGCATTTCAAAAGCCTTCCATTGTCATGCTGTCTACTACTCCGGAGAACGACCAACAATCATTAAGTCAGTCTACCTCTCTCACTCCTTTGTTGGTATGGGAAGCCTCGCGTGCCTCACTGAACACCTCACCGACTTTGCCCACATCAACTCCTTCATCTCCTGCCACACAATCTTTTTCTGCAGCCGCTTTATCCTTGGATGCAGCGTTGACTGAGTCAGATGAGGCGAATCAGAATACGAATGGAACGAACGGCAACAGTGCAGTGAACACCGGTGCAACTGGTACAAGCTCGTCATGGGGTATTCCATGGGCTTTGGTGCCTAGCATGTTCCAAGGTGGCAGCACAGATGATATTACCAGCGAATTACCGCCTACTCCTGGTTCGCCTAATGTACCAGCAGTAACAGATGCAGAGGGACATCAGATCATTTGGCCCACACGAGTAGATGATTCCAACGTCCCCAAGGTGGAGTTATCAGGCTATCCGTCTGATTTAGATGCTCGCAACAGAGAACTGAGACATTTGTTTGGTGGTGTTGGTCCGTCTGAAGTTGTGTTGACCAGTAAGTACACCTAGTATCAAGTCTGCCAACGTAGCTAATGAGTGTTATTTGATAGCCTTCATTGGTTTATTGAAAAAGAAGCCTTTGCATGACACCAACGAGTCCAAGGATGTGGAAACACCCGCCTCACCAACAGTTGCCAACAATCCCGTCGATTCATTGGAACAAGAATTCAACAGTCAGCTTCCTAGCACCATCAAAGAGCCCTCGTCTTCGTATGGTTATTCTTACACTGGCCGTGGTTTCATCACCCAAGAAACATTTTGGTTCTACAGCTGTGTGCTTATGAACTGCGTGAATACAGTGGCTATTCGATTATGTGATATCAAGACGATTCGTTTGATTCGTGATCCTTCTGTTGCTAATATTGGCACCAGCTCAAATCTAGCACTAGCAATTGATTTAGTCAGTAGTTCAGGCACAAACGATGCTCAAAGCCCCTTGATATTCACGACATTGATGGATGATATTGAAGTGGTTGCAGAAAAGCTCAAGTTTGCAGTGTCAAATTCTAAAAGCGCAGAGGTAAGCTGACTATTGCGTACGGTACTAGGTATGGTATTCACCCCCTATGCACACAGCCTGAACCTCTTCAAACAATCTACGATGTCATCCATAGTCTGTCAGCAGTAGTCAACAAGAGCAAAGGCACAAATCAAGTCAGAACCATCATCAAATCAGCCACTGATCCAATTCGTTCTACATCTGACATCACTAGCAACAACTCGTCTACTGTATCGCTCAACTCCCTCTCCTCTGCTAGCAGCACACTCCTGGATCCCAATGTCTCACCTCTACCCAGTCGATCCAGTGACCCTAAAAAGAAGACACCAAAGACACCTCGCAAGTACTCTGCTCCCGTCCAGCCTAAATCTGGAGCATTAGCAGCAGCCATGATGGCCGCCACTGTCGCTGGTGGAAGTGGTTTCCTGGATGCCAGAAAGGGAATTCAAGAAGAATCACGCGGTCTACTTAGAAACAAGCGATCCAAAGCTACCCTACAATCAGAAGAGAGCGACATTCCTCCTGTGCCCGTACCAAGCTCTAGCTTGGCTTCCTCTGCTTCATCCATGGTGAACGTTCCCTCCAAGCTAGCAGACAGCACCACTCTGAAGGACGTTACTGCAACAGAGGTACCTGAGGCTCCCAAAGTCAACGATCGTAAGTACATGTGCTGTTTATCAGATTCCAGGCAAAAGTCTAACATAAGTATAATAGCTCATGCTGTGCCAAATGATTTCAGCCACCCATCTGGACCTGTGAGCTGTGGATGTGATAACCACCTGGATAAACTGGAAGCAGAAATTGAAGTACCCATATCAGCAAAGCATTTGTTTTACATCATGTTCGCAGAGGAGAACCCTCATGCTATTGATATCTGGGAGAAGAAGACGGTGGAGAACAAGAGCAAAGGTAACAAAAAGTGCCCAGCTTGAAAATACACACATGGCTCATGCCTGTAGAATAGATCTTACCATGACACCATGGCAAACTGTCGACGATAAAAAGGAGCGTACACTCAAGTACATTATACCTGTCAATAATGCCATGGTCAAGTTAAAGGAAGCTGAGGTCGTGGAAAAGCAAGTGATCGAAAAGAAGGATGATTATTTGTGAGTATTGCAGTGGTCTCCCAAAGAAAACGTATTGACATAACCATACATCCAGACGCTACGTCGTTTTGACATCTACAAAGACTGCTCAACTGCCTTATGCCGACGCATTTGTGCCCTATGTCAAATACTGTATCACTTGGGTGACCCACGATCATTGTAAACTCGCTTGCCACACTGGCGTCAAATTCTTAAAGAACATTCTAGTCAAGGGCATGGTCAGTAAGGCTGCCTCAAAGGGCATGGCTGAAAACCTGAGCGTGTTTATGCCGATTGTCAAGCAAGAGGCTAGCAAGCATACGCATAGAAAGAGAAGCGGTAGTAAGGAAAAGGCGGATCAAGTGTCACTGAAGCGTATGGGCACCATCAAACGACTCACTGCCAAGGACGCATCCGAGTTGACAGAAAAGGTCAACAAGGAAGAGCCCTCTGCTGGTGGATGGTACGGTGAACTGAAGAAATGGGTGACCATGATTCAAGATTTGGCTGAAGTTGTGCCATTTGCTGTCAAGGTGGGCATTGCCGTTGTCATCTTGCTATGGTTTATGTTTAGTTGGCTTCGTGCTGGTTCACGGCAGCAGTCGGTAGTGCCCAAGTCATCATCGGAACAAAGCCCACAAGTTGTATCTCGCGCCGTGTATCTGCGCGACATCAATGAAGGATTGTTGAATGTTGAATATGAGCCTGCTTACGGGCATTCAGAAAGGTAATGAGTAGTAGAATGGAAGCAGCAACGAACATCTGACTAACTTGCATGGTAGCTTCCGATCATTCCTTGAATCTAAATCAGGCAACCGTACATTAGGGGCACATCCTCACCGCTGGTACAGCTCTCATCACCATCAATTTGCTATCGAGCTTTTATTCAGCAGAGAGCGCTTGGCCATGCTTCGTCATGATACCTTAGTTTTGTTCCAACTTGTCAATGAAGTGGATGCCCAGCTATTGGAAAACGAATATACAAACTGGCTGATGGATACAAGACTTCAGTGCCGTGCACCAGATGCTGATTACGATGGGCTTCATTGCGATGATGTGAAACGTCAATTGAGATCATTTCCCATAGGCACTTATCAGAAAAAGTCTAAATAAATAAAATGGATCAGTGTGCAGAACAGTAACCTGTCCAATACTCGATCCGACTGATTGGATTGACAGGTCCCGTTGGATTGTGACCTTGGGGATGTGACCTTTTTGCGTGACATTTCTATTTTTTTCAGTGTTGGAATTTTTCTAGCATCTGCTTTTTTCTTCTCCATTTCACACTACAGTTTGACATTCATGGCAGCCGTACCCAGTAGAACACTTAGCAGAGTGGCTGCATCACAAAAGAAGGCAACTGAAAAGAAGAAGCAGACAGTTGCGCCCGAAGGATCCAGTTTCATCGACATTGGTGTTGAAGCATGGCTCAGCGACACATTGAAATCCATGTCCATCAAGGAACCCACAGAGATCCAAAGAGCTTGTATACCTCCCATTCTAGCTGGAAAGGATGTCATTGGTGGTGCCAAGACAGGTTCTGGTAAGACAGCTGCCTTTGCTCTCCCCATCTTGCAAAAGCTATCTGAAGATCCTTACGGTGTCTTTGCGTTGGTACTGACTCCTACCAGAGAACTTGCATTTCAGATTGCTGAGCAATTTCGAGTGCTTGGTAAAGGAATGGGTGTCAAGGAGTGCGTCGTAGTAGGAGGAATGGGTATGTTGGATAGTGCTATAGGCATACAGTGTAGTCTAACTTGGTTTCTGTAATGATGCTAGATATGATGACACAAGCATTGGAACTTGCAAAGCGGCCTCATGTTATCATTGCGACACCAGGCCGTCTTCGTGATCACATTAGAAGTAGCTCAGGTGCTGTCGATTTGAGGCGTTGTAAATTTTTGGTGATGGATGAAGCAGATCGTATGTTTACACCAACATTTGTGCCTGAATTGGAGGTGATCTTGCCCTTATTGCCTAAACAAAGACAAACACTGCTCTTCACAGCCACCATGACTGAATCCATCTTGGCATTGCGTGACGCAGAGGAAGATCCCAAGAAGCAACCCTTTGTTCACATGTGTGATATGTCGACATCCACCGTTAACACGTTGGACCAATACTACGTCTTTGTGCCATCTCAGGTCAGAATGGTCTACTTGGCTCATTTACTGCGTACGGACGATTTGAAGGAAAAATCGATTATTATCTTTTGCGGACGATGTTCAACTGCTGAACTGATGACCATCATGCTGAAGGAATTGGGTATTCGCTGTACAGCTCTTCACTCTGAAATGTCGCAGCAGCAGCGTTTGGATTCTCTTGGTAAATTCAGAGCAGAAGTGATCAAGATCCTTATTTCTACTGATGTTGGCTCTCGTGGTTTGGATATTCCTTCCGTGGAGTGTGTCTTGAATTACGATATCCCTCGTGATCCTACGGATTACATTCATCGTGTAGGTCGTACTGCTCGTGCTGGCAGAGATGGTAAAGCTATTTCAATTGTAGCTGAAAAGGACATTCAGCTGATTCAAAATATCGAGGAGCGCATCAGTAAGTTGAACGTGATGTGATCGAACCTTGAAGCGCGGTTCTGACGGATATTGTTTAGACAAAAAGATGGAGAAATATGAAGTGAATGAAAACGAAATCTTGGAAGAGTTATCCAAAGTGACGGCAGCCAAGCGAGAAGCCAGCATGGTATGTTGAAAGGGACATTTTTATTGAACACTGTTGCTAATGTCATTTGGACAGCAATTGCACGATAGACAGTTTGGAGCAAAGACACATATCAGAAAAAAGAAGAAGATGGCAAATCAGGAGGATTGAAGCAATACATACATGAAGCATTTAGAAATACAATAGACATTTTACCCTTTTTCTTTCAAAAACCATACTTGTAAATAAATAAATTAATATGACAAATACGCAGCTCTTTTTCGCTCACTAGCGGATACAGCCAACGTAGCTGCAAACAAGCCGACTGCAATACCCAGGGAAGCCACTACCATTTGTGTAGCAAACGAGATTCCTTGATCATCTTGGCGGATCAAGAAATAAGCGCCCTGAATTCCAATACTTCCTGGTACTAGCGATGCAATACCACATGATAGAGGCACTAGCGCAAGATCACCTGTCAATTTAAAGTAAAAGTTTCCAAATAAACCAACCGAGAAAGCACTTATGGTGCCCACAATCTGAAAATTGGCGATGACTTTACTCGATAGCACAGATACACCAAATCCAATCGCAGAGCAGCATACCATGGAAGGCCATTGTCGCATGGTCGCCCCTAGATTGATAGACATGCTGATTGCCATCAAAGGAAATAAGCAGATATGAAGCCAGGATGGTGCATGGCCCTTGCATACATCAAACACAGATGGCGAAGAATGTGCATCTACTGCTTCGTACAAACTGGTTCCAATCTCCAACCCGTAGCCTATAAACAGTGCATAGATCATGGCATATACAAATCGGACAGTGCCAGTAATGACATGGCGTGCGGATAGCTCCATCTATTCATTAGTGTCAGATAATTAGAGGGTCAAGGTTTGATGAGACACGTACGATGGACATGGTTAACGTATATCCTGGTATCAAAATGGAAGTAGCTGACAACACAACACCCGTAAAGCATATCCATTGATCCAATGCCTTTGCGATAAACGCAATCAATACTGTTGTCGAGATCTCAAATATATTGCAGTACGCTGTGTATCGTTCGGATAGTAGAATCAATAAACCGACGAGCAGCCCAAGAGCACCACTGAGTGCCGTATCTATGAGTGTCCCATGAAACATGATGAGCGATGTAAATAAGCTGCTGAGTGTGTATGATAGCAGGGTTATCCAGGCATTCCAGGTTGGTTTAGCTTGAAAGATTTCTTGTAATGACTGGATGCTCTGTACCACAGACATATGATGTTCTTCCTCTTGCTTTAAACACATGCGTTGAATGATCCGATTGACTTTGGTCAGCTTTCCCATATCAAAGCCCTGAGGGCACTGCACAAGGATGGTTTGAGAGTGGCAGTAGCATTGTTGCCATGGAAACAATGGCGTTGTGGTGGTTGACTCATCGATGGGTGTGTTGTAAAATGTCATCATCATGATGCCGGGTATAAAGATGAAGGTGGCGTGCAGTGATAGTGCTTTTGATACATGCTCTAGTGCTTCTTCCTAGTGTGAAGACAAAGACGATGAGTGAAGCAAAGATAAAAGCAACGCGAATACACTTACTATGCGATGGCATGGGGCTCCATACAGCATCAGCGATTTGCACAATGAAATCAGTGCCTTTTTCTCAACTTCGTTCATGTGATGGTCATGATCCGTATCCCCGATTGTCTTTTCCTCATCATGTTCATCATCCCATTCACAATGCTTGTCTTGCTGGGAAACAACGGATGCAGTTGCCGTGGTAGATACGATTGAGGATAGTTCAGGGCTACTCCAACGGGGCACTAAATATTGCCATTTTTCCCAATGTTGCATAGTGTCCTCATGATGATGGATTGGGGTATTGCTGCCGATGGGCAATTCAAGGGAGTGCCTCTCTCTTGATTTCATGTCGAGTAAGAAAGGATTAAAATTGAAAGCGATCTCTTGGAGCATGCCTAATATATGACTGAATACACTTAATATCTTTGCTGGTCATTGTTTCAACAAAATGTTAATGTATAGAAGCTTTTGAAATGGAATTTCTTTTATCCTCACTCGTGCCAACATTTACTTATTGTCAGCGTGTACGTGCTTGCTAGGGGCCTCTCATTACGATGCTTGTGCTTTTGATTAGTTTCTTGTGCAGGGATATCTCTCTCAAGTATGTTTTTGTTTACTATCAATGCCAATCGATAGATCATCTATTCTCCCCTCCCGTTACCACGGTAATTTAGTTCCCGGATGCTTTTCTCTCTCTCTCTCTCTCTCTCTCTCTCTCTCTCTCTCTCTCTTTCTCTCTTTCTGTCCTTGCTGAATAACAATACAAATGACAACGTGGACCATAGAAAATCGCTTATAAGCTGCCATTTGTTCTTTGCAGTGACACATAAGATGAATGATTTACTGGTGCAACATTGTACCATAACTTTATTATTGCTTAATTTGGGTCATTTTTTCTGTTCGTATGGATGGCAATGGTAGATTTGGTATATAAAAGTCAACAGAGAAGGTGTTAAGTAGAAATACTTGGTCAGTAAAGTGATCAACCAGAAAGTGAAAAAAAAAAGAGCTTGGATCACCCTTCTTTTTCTTCCAGAATACGGATTGCATTACAAGCTGTGTTACCTGCAAGCCTACATGCGATGAAATGGAATGGATAATACAGCTTTTTTTATTTCAACAATCATGGGTATAGTTAGATAAGATGGCATCTAAATGATAGTGATTTATCTTGCTTTGAAACTTTTTATACATGTTGGATGGTACAATGGCTTGATCTAATAAACACTCAGATCGTTTCATTCGCTCTTTATCGCCATGATCCTCATCCGTATCATCGTGATCTCTCTTTCTTTTTAGAGTGGGTGATGGAGCAGGCGAATCAGTATTTGGTGGCGATAACGGTGGTGATGCTACGGATAGTGATGTAATTGACGACAACGTGCATTGGTTGTGGTTCATGAGCGCGTGTCTTAATAGCTGATCTCCATAGGCCTGCATGTCCTCCAGCTTGACATGCAAGTCAAAGTTGCATAAGAACAAAAACTCTAGCTCTAGTTGATTTAGTTCGCATAACGGAATACCGCCGACCTAGAGTATTGCTATTGAGTCAAATGTGCTATTACAGCAGTAAAAAAAAAACAACAACTCACTTTGGCATATCTAGAATTTGGATAAAACACATCAGATGTAAACTTGGATGCTACGACAATGCTTGTAATCAATAATCTATGGACAGTAAACGAATTCACTGCGTATCTCGTCTTCTTCAGCTTGGCGATTCTATCAAAATACACAAGCAGACACAGCAACACTTCATTCGAGAATGGAGCAAACTTGAGAATGCGAGCAAGATATGGATAGACAGCAATGTTGGGTATTGTCCGTGAATGAAAATGCGTCACTGTGGTTGTTGAGTTGTTGCTGATGAGCTTGTCGTTTGTCTCAATGATGGAATCGAGCAAGTTTGCCACGATATCAACGAGTGAGTCGACTGGATAGTTTGCAATGTCTAAAGTTGTTGTTGTTTCTGTAGTTGTTGCAATGGTTGGTTTAGGCGGCATTCAATTCGATAAATGTATAAATATGGAAAATAGAGCCTTTCTTGAGGATGTTGGAAGAGTGAAAAAGAGGTAGAAAGAGTGAAAGAAAGAGAGAATGCTAAGGGATGTACAGATGCTACGAGAAATGTTGCGACGCTATGATGTGAGTATATATGTTTTGTATTCTGTGTGTGTGCGTGTGTCCACATTCTTTTTCCCTTGAAATCATTTGAAATTTTAATTACTTCTTAAAGGCTTAGCTAAACAATCAAAAAAAAAAAAGCATCAGGCACCCAATCTAAAGGCCCAAATTAAGCATATGTCGATCTGATATTTTTTGCGCGTGTTCATACTAAGGATTCTGGTTGGGTCACTGGTTTATTTTTTCCATCCACGTCTTGCTCTAGTTTCAAGTCCTAATGCACATCTCAAGGGACTTTCCAACACAAGTCTGGCTTTCTCTCGGCTTCTTGATGGGCCATGTAGTAGTGCTGAGTGAGGTTATACTAGAAACCGGCGCTCCATAAAGAATCCGATCTACTTGTGTTTATTGATTGTAAAAATCCGTACATAGTATCATTTACGAATTACAGCATTGGTTTGAATTGCATTCTCCAAAAATGTGGTATCATCTGCCAGATCATCGTGTGTTGAGATATGCTTACATAATGACCTGACCATTTGATTGGCATTAACATTACATCCACAGCAATTCAATCAGTGTACTTGTTATCGCAAGCTATATAATGAATATTTATTTGAAATCTACCTAGAAAGAAGAGGTTGTATTTGTAGTGCTGGTGGAGGTGGAGGAGGAATGGAGAGAAGAGCTGGCGGTGGCGGGTCTTCTTCTGCCAGGTGCAACGGGTCTCTTGAAGCCTTGCTTTGTACCGCCCAACATTTGAATACGATCACCCACCATACTACCAGTAGGAGAACTCACATTAGAGTTGCCGGCGCTTTGTAGTTGTTGATGTTGTTGTTGCTGAGCAAGTTCTTCATCAAAATACTCGCCAGTTAAATCAGACAAGTCGCTGGTTTCAAACTACAACTACTGATTAGAGAACGACATGCTGTATCTAATCGGCCCACTTACCTTCTTGGCTATTTCGATAGAAGCCTCATGTTCAGCAGCTGTAATGACATTGGCTTTGGAAGATGAATACAGCATGCGCTCCCTGATCTTGGAGCTTGAAGGGCATGTATAAATGAAAACTAATCATGTACATGTGAGCAACCAAGACTCAAATGTAACAGCTTTTGTCTTACCGAGTGATTCACTAGATCCATGTTGATAGATATAAAAAGTAAATCTTGGGGCAGTTGCACTAATTGTCTTGCTCAGCTCGTCAATGGAAACTTGTGTTGCACTATCCAAGTCAATCTTTTCATTATCCAAATGCTGATCAAGTATAAATTAGCAATCTACGCACCATTTACACATTCCAAATAAGGCTTACCAAAGAAACAAAATTGTATGATCTATCGTCAGTCTTTTTCAACTCTGAAAGTGCTTGAACGGCCTTTTCTGTCAGAGGAAATGCAACTCCAGGCGCATAGCTCTTTCGAGTGGCAGTACCTTGATAATCAGACACTGTGGCAGCCTGATTTGCTATCCTTCAGTGATGTGCTCATAGCCCCCCTTTTTTTTCCCCTTGAAGACTTACCTCAGCAGCTTTGATTTCCACTAGCTCTTGCTCACGTCTTGTCAGTGGAGCCTCTGCATTCTTGTGAGCAAGATGCTTCTTGTATCCATCCCAGGTAAACTCCGCCTAACACAAAAGAAAGCATGTTAGCATGCTGCATTGCATTGACTCAATAACTCACCTTATCGGTACCATAGATGCTATCTGAAAATCTGTAATCCCCAAGCTCCTTGGTCAATGTAGCTCTAGTTGAAGCATACAACATCTTATCACGGACTTTGGCATTATCGGGAACGTAACAGAGGAACAGCCATTTGTATTCTCCAGAAGCATTCTTTTCGTCAAAGCGAACAAAGATGTAGGATGGTGTAGTAGACTCGAGATATTCTTCGATATGCTGCTTGTAATCTGGGTGAATGACGCTGTTGAGTGATCGTTTTGGAAATATAAGAGTGATATCATTTTACCAGACTCGAAATCACCTTGGACAGGAGAAGTGCCGTTTGGAATCAAAGATTCTACATGGTTTTATCTAGCATTTAGCAGCCTGCAATAGCTAGGCCTGACAGGAACTTACCATGCTCAATAGATACACGGAGAATACGGACGTTTCCGTTAGAGACAGCATCAGCAAACACCTTGGAGAGGTCCTCAGACACTATGTTGATGTACATTTAGACAGGACATTCGGGAGGACAGACAAGTTCATATCAAGTACCTTGGATACCACTTTGATGAGACATAACGCGTTTTGTGTTTTGTAATAGATTACGAAAGAAAACAGTATTCTTCTCTTCAAGTTGCAAGTTACTCTCACGGGATTTGAATAACTTCTCTGTAAACAGCATGTAATTCGCTTTACATGACGTAGAGAGCTCGAATGACATGTATTCAGCCAAAGAAAAGAACATGCAGATGGCATTGCAATATCCACAAGTTTTGCTATGAGCGAGCATCGTATGAGCTCTGTAGAGTGAGTGTCAAATGTTGCAAATGATCCATGATTGAACTGAATCAAGCACATCGATGTGGGGATGATGATTGGATAGGTAAAGTGTATTGTCTCAACTGCGAAAAAGGGTCATAAAACTTTTTTTTCAAGGAACATTTCAAACGCTTTTTTTTTTTTTTTTTTTTTTTTTTTTTTTGATCATCTCTGTCTTGAACATCATGGTCAATACCAGAAGGACTAATGATCCCCACTTTCTCTTGAGTCACATCGAGTTTCCACAAGGCCGTGTGGATTACAGAGGTAAAATTTGCTTTTAGATATTCAAGAATCAGGGTCCAGAAGTTGACAAGCTGTTTATTGTTTCTAGCTATCTTTGATGAGAACGACCCAGAAAAGTTTGCCTTTATTGTGAGTGGATGTAGATTCATATAGCACTCGATATTGACTGATGCGATCTCGATAGAAACTGTTAGAAGCCATCAATTTGAGAGCAAGCGAAATGTCAGCTTTACAGCCTACTTTCCCAAAAATGGATTTATCAGCCCTCTACTGCTTGGGCATCACTATTCAAGAGTATGTAAGACACTTGAGCACAGATGTGCTGGCGCAGAAGAGAGCAGCTGAAAACAAGTCGCCTATCAATAACTCTTACACGCCACAAGAGATCAAAGCAAGAACATTGGAAGCTGTCATCCAGAAGTATAAGCCTCAAACAAGCACAATAGCAAATGCGCAACATGCTCCTCCCGTCACAGCACGCCCTAATATAGATCAGGAGCTCCATCATTCAGCCAAGCATCCCCATCATCAAGTCGAGATCAAGACATCTGAGAAAGCAGGTCGTTATGATAAGATTGCGTCCGATCCTAAATGGACAGGAACACTTGTCAAAAGCCCTCGAGATTTGAAAGCCAATTCGGAACAAGCGGCTGCCAGAAGAGCCAAAGCAGAAGCAAATCAGAAAAAGAGATTAGAAGCCCAACAAGCAATGATAGAGAGGGAAGGGCGGCAGCAAGAAAAAATAGAGTTACTGCTGCCTCGCAAGAGAGTGAGATCTGCGGATGATGATACCAATTACGACATATTCGATAAAGCAAATCATAGTAAACCGAAAAAAGCCAAGGGTTCTTCCCGCAAGAAGAAAAAGACAGCACCATCAAGTCAGAAAGGCTTTTAGAAAGCAAGGTGTATTCAAACAAACAAATCCTTACAGTACATATAAATTACTCGAACAGCAAAGGTTGTGCATCATACTCTTGTCTGTCAATTAGTATATAATTCCCTCTTATTCTTATTCTATGCCGCAAAGCTTGCTTAATAATAAACTATGCATACAAGACTTGTCCTTGACCGGCAAAAAAGTGCTATTGAGGCAAGCATGTTAGGTTTAGAGAATCAAACATGCGTGACTAAAACTAACCGTTCAGGGTTGATTTCAATGTGCTTATCAAAGATGGCATTGTAACGGACACAGCGCGCATTCGAAGGATACTACCGACCATCGACTATATATTTCAGCAGAAAGCGCATGCCGTCATTATCATCTCACATCTCAAGCGACTTTACGGCAAAGTCGAGTCAAAATACTCGTTAGCACCGGTTGCTGCTGAACTGCAGACGCTAATTCCAAATCGTAGAGTACGCTTCCTCAACGACTGTGTAGGTCCAGATATTGAAGAAGCCTGTCGATCCTGCGATGAAGGCGATGTCATTCTCTTGGAGAATTTGCGATTTCATTCAGAGGAAGAGGGTCTTCTGCCTAAAGATGAACAGGGTCAGCGCAAGAGCACAAGCAAGAACGCCAGCAAGAAATTTCGAGCAAGTCTCTCTCGACTGGCAGATTTCTACGTCAACGATGCACTGAGCACCAATGCATCGCTCTCACGCCTCTATCACAGGTGTCAATTTACCCTATAAGGCAGCAGGATTGCTGCTACAACAAGAACTCGAGGTATTTGCCAAGCTTTTGGATCAGAATTGCAGCAACAGCAGCAACAAGTCCTTTTTAGCCATCTTGGGTGGCGCAAAGCTCTTGACAAAGTACAAGCTGATATTGCATTTACTGAGCAAGGTAAACACAATGATCATCTGCGGTGCTTTGTCATGGCCTTCCTTGAACATAGGGGACGAAAAAGAGCAAGATGTGGTACGTCAAATTATGGATATGGCCTCAGAGAAGCATGTCGAGATGGGGTTTCCTGTTGATTTTGTTACTGCTTCGGATTTTAACCCTGCGCCTGCATAGATTGCTTTGGCCACTGTTGATGCACAGCAGCAAGGAGATCAAGATCCACTGGATGGGATGCTGGGTTTGGACTGTGGACCAGCATCATCAGCATTGTCTGAGCAAAAGATCATGGAGCATCAAACTATCCTTTGGAATGGTACTCCAGGTGTATATGAATACCAAGAAAACTTCTCGACTGGTACAAAACATCTATTAGAGGCTATTGGCAAAGCTACTACAGAAAATGGCGCAATGAGTGTGGTGTGCGGCAAAGGTACATTGTGTTGACTGTTGTGTCACATATATTTCATGCATGTTCTAAATGTCGATTAGATACCACCGCTTTGGTTGCAAAATGGTCTTATCAAGGTAAATTATCGCATGTTTCTACTGAAGGAAACGCTTTTCTGGAATCGCTGGAAGGCAAATCGCTTCCTGGACTAGCAGCACTATCACCAAGGCAATGAATGCTGATATATTCGAGTGCATCGGAAAATGAATGCAGCATGTAATTTTGTCATTTCGAGGCTATTTATAAATTTTTTTCGTTGTTGGGATGTCTCTTTCTCTTTCTTTCGTCAATCTCCACAAATCACTTGCCCTAAAATGTCCTCCAATCTTGTGCAATGCATACAAGATCAGGCTTCGTATTACAGAAAGTTAAAGGCAGAACTGGATAGCGAATCTAATATACAAAATGCATTGGATGATGCCAAGCTGATCAGACAAGATTTTGAGAGAGCCATTCAGTCGAAAAAGGCAGAGATAAACTCTTTGGAAGAATACTCGTAAGTTTGTTTGGCTATGCCACGCGGGAATTGATCACTCAACATGGCTTGTAGTAAAAAAGAGTACCGAGATGTGCGTAGGATGCGGCATTTGTCGTTTCGATCAGCAGCTGCAACTTTATCTGGCAAAAAGAAAGAACGTACAGCCAAGGAAGAGGCTAAATATCAGCTTGCATTCGAGAACGAACAACGGTCCAAACGAGAATTAGATGAACTACAAACAAGCTATGAAGGTGCTCTCACAAGAGTAGGTTGAACACTGTTGGGCCGCATTGTTTGTTTGCTCATTCTTACATCTTAGGAAGAAGAGCTTGTGCAACAAAAGAGCCATTTTGAGGATACAAGGCATCAGTTTGATTCATTGCTGGAGCAGGTACGAGTACAGTACCATGATTTACTGCTTGGCTTGATTGACTAAATGCTCTACAGATTTTTATGTTGGAGGACCCGAATTTTCCATTGGAGCCACAATTGAAAGCAGAGCTAGTCAACTACAGGGAGCAAAAGCGCTTGGTAAGTACAACACAGACAAGAGCGTGGATGAAACATCTAACCGCTCTGCATTATAGGCAAAACGGGATAAAAATAGATTTAGTGAAGCTGAGCAATCTCTCTCAACAGCGTTAGTCGACATCAAGAAGGTGATTAGGTTATTGGACACAGTCATCAATTATGTGCCGTTTGAGATATTTGGAGGACCCATCATTGATGAGGAACAGGTCGCTTATTTGGAGGCAGCCAAGAGGAGAATTTGGGAGATTCAGAGACTGATGAATATCGCTCGCACAGTACTGCCTGAAATTCCTTACCCTCAGACACTGGATGTGGTTACCAACAATACGCTATTGCAAATGCAGCTCAATCTGAACTACATCGATATTGCATGGAAAGGTAAGCATAGAAGATTACGTGTTAAATGCTCGACAAGGATTCTCATTTTGGCGATAATATAAGCAAAAACCTCGCAGTGTTTTGGTATGTTGGCAACAGCGTATCGTAATACCCAGAATTCGTTGACTTGGGTGAAGCAATACAAGAATTATGCAGCTGGTGCATTAGTTCGACTGGATGAAGCGGTGAATGTGATTAAGGAATCTTTAAAGACTGAGCGCAAGCGTATTATGGACACAGTACTAGCTGGACACACTGGTGGTAGTGGAACATCCTCTTCTGCTGCAGCTGATCATCCTCCCTTGTTCTCAACCAGCTATCATAACGCCAATGATCCTCCTCCTCCTGTCTATGAAGCACCGCCAGTAGCTGAACAGTACAATAATCAAGGTCAGGGAGCGACGCCCTCAGATCAGCATTTACCGGCTATTCCAGCCAATTTAACGCCTGCCACTTCATTTCTCAACTTACCAATGAATGAGGACAGTAACACCGCCATTACAAACTCACCGTTAATGCCGCCCATCACACCACACGATAATAACAATAGCAACACTCCACCTCATCCTATCACGCCCGTCTTTGAAAATACGAACATGTCATCGCCCTCACCACCGCAATCAAACGTTAATAATAATACTAATACTCATCATTCTGCAGCTAGTAACACTAATCAGTCGTCAACCTATATATCACATAATGTAAATAATCCCTTCCAATAAAAGAAAAAGCATGTAGTTACGGTGAATTTCGTACTCTATGAGCGAAGATGTCATTGCTAGCAAGATAAATTATGTACCGCATGTTATTCTTTACGGCAATACCGTATATTATAATATCATAATATTTGTTATTTTTTTAACTATGATGATGGCATGCTGAATCCGGCCATCATGAGAGCAATGCCAATGAATTATCTCCACAAAAAACGATCGAAACTGCTCGATTTTCAATGACTATGCATCTCTGTACTTTAGCCAATGATTCAATAATGTTCTATATTGTTTTTCGCTTCTATTTTTCCGTTAAATTTGCACATATAAATCAAGTTGATATTGAACCAACAACCTTTATTACTCTTTGCTGCTTCTAAATTTCAGCCAATCAAATCGCTTGAAAACTCCGCTGATCTAGAAAAAATTTTGCGAGGGTTTCCCTCTGTTTTGATGTGAGGCAAAATTTTAAGCGCCGCTATAATAGCAATATAGCCGCTGCTATCATCAAACTTCCCTCAGGTGCTAGAGCATGCCTTACTTACACCACCTAGCTCTAAATTCTGGCATTGAGACCCTCAATCATCACTAAAGTAAGTAGTGATAACCAAGTGAAGGCAGCCTATCTACCTCCTAGTCTCGGATAAAGTCTTGTTGAGCTTCAGGGATAGGCACATCCACACAACGTAAAAAAAGGTATGCTTCAAAGAAACATAATAATAATAATAAAAGAAAGAAAAAAAAACATATTACTATTATACGAGGAGTATAGCAGTATATACGAAGAAAAAAAAAAAGATACTCACACAGAGTGGGTCAAAGAAAAGTATATTATAAATACAACATCAAAGATGTTCAGAACAGCTCGTTATTGTTGCAATAAAAATGCACACATGAGCAACATGCATGGTAACGATAGTCGAATGTAAAGCAACACAAACACGCACAGCTGCAAAAGCAACAGTGGTATTATCAGTATGCAATGCAACATAATGACTAATGTTGTTTTATGTGAAGCCACAGAGGCAACACAACCAGCAGCGAAAGAAGAAGAAAGTGCCACAAAGGAAACATCATGAATGCATTATCATGAGAAAGGAAGCAATAATACAAACGTTCAAAGAAGTTATATATCATTGCGACCAGAAGAAAGAAGATACTTACCACTTACCACAGACACAGATAGACAAGAGAAAAATATGCAATTACCAGAGGCAGGCCAGGGAACGATCATGCACCAAATACAGTAGACCAAAAAAGACCAGATTAGCAGCAGCAGCCACGCCAGCATCATAGAAAAGCCACAGAATGAACGACACCAGAGACCAGACAAAGACCAAAGAAGCAATCACCAGACATGATAAACCAAAGAAGCAGACAGCAGAGGTAGCAGAGAAGTAATGGCAGCAGCACCTATGTCAATCAGGCAAAGCAATTGTCGAAACCTAATAATAAACAAATTCGATTAATGCTTGTTCTACATCTTTCTCTGCTCGTTATCGAATGGTACCTATATATTCCACTTTGAAGAAGCAACATCAAGTCATTTAACAGTACAAGGCAGTCTTATCAGAAGCTAGAGTGTTATTCTCAATCAAGCAGTTTCCAAAACAGCCATGGTTTCATACTAAACGCGCTTTGCAAAAAAAGGTGAAAAAGGTAAAAAAAAACGATGATATAGAAGAATGAGAGGACGTACTATCCGACGTCACGGCCAGTAGATTTAGTCTCAGTATTGTACCGTAGCAGCCGTAATTGCGGCAATTTAATTTGAATTTGTGCAGTGGGTGTTTTCATGTTCAAACTTGACTTGATTTGACATCCTTTGAACGTTTTTGTCAAACTTGACTATGAAAACTCTCGTTATCATACCCAACTTCCTAATATACCTTTAAAGGACTAAAAAGGCCGCATCGAATGGTGTTAATTACATTCAGTTTTCAGACCGAAAGTAATGAGCAATTTGAAAAAATATGAGAATAGGTTTTCCGTGGATATGTCAAGATTTAGCATTGTGGAATTTAAGGCTTGATAGACTAAAATTCACGGAAAAAAAAGAATAAAAAAACAGTAAAGTCAACTTGATAAAGGTATATTTTATTATCAAACTGACAGGTGTAAAGTAAACTGAAGTCTCTCTACTGGCCAGGTAGATGATCCTTCTTATATACTATAACAATGGATAAAAGTTCTATTAATTAGATTGACAAATAAGTCAACTCAGATCAACTAATGTCTAATCATGCTAAAAGACAACTCCAGCAAGCTAATCATGATTTAGCTCTGTCTGGATGAATAATTAGACTCTCATCCGAAGTACCCTGATCTATCCTTTCCATAAGGATAATTAATATCGATCTAGTAGCATGTATCCGATAGGTACAGTCTTCTTAGTCTATATTAATAGTACATATCTGAGTGTATATCGCTAAGCATACATCTTTAGCATGTATCTGGATATATGGCATGTCTATAGCATATCGTATGCATGTCTATAGCATGTCTCATATATAGTACAAGTCTGTAGTACATAAAGTATCTGTAGCTAGTATCACGGATATAAGCATGTGTCTTATAGCGTGGATCATGAAGTGCACATCTGAAGCAACAAGCTCATATTGCATTAATCTTGGTGCCTATCCAGATATGGTAAACATCCGTAGTCAATGTCGGAATACAAGTATAAGTCTATAGTGCCATCCATGTCCGTGGTGCCATCTATAGCCTATATCTTATATAGTATGAATCTTATAGTACTAGCGTATCTGAAGTCCATATCTTCTCATGATCATAGTATAAATCGATATCGTACATCTAATCCAGTGTACATACAGTTTATATCTAAATCTGGTAACTGGATGAACTGTCGGAATGCAGATCATAGTGGATGTATTCCACAAGCATATCAAACCTCATAGAAAGTATTTCCAGTGTTGCGTTCCATCTTTGCGATCAATTTGATCTAATATGTGTTATAGGAAAAGTCTTCATTTTTGGGGTAAAAAACACGATCGTTTGATTTTTAAGATTTTTCCTTTACCAATACACATGAAAAAATGAGGATTTTCATCGATTTGCAATGACCCAAAAAATTTTGAGATAAAGCATCAGTAAGTAAATCGTGGCCAAGATGAATCGTTAGGTGCTAAACTAAGCGCTTAAAACGCATTGTGGCATAAGTTATTCCAGCTTGAAAATGGCTATATTTGGACAGAATTTGACTTGAAAATAAGGCGTATTTGGTTCTGTTAACGAAATAGTGAAGAAACTAAAGCATGGTTTGATGTCTCTGATGTTCTGCACTGTACAAAACTCAGCGTCTACGCGATTGACGCTTTTATTCTAATTCTAAGGCTCAGGAGGTATCTCTTTTTGAAATGCGCGAGTACAGTAATTTTATAGCTTGAGCGTCAATGGTATTGTTATGCAAACCTGAATCCAACAAATTGATCGAATTGAAAGAGATGCGCATCAAGTCAGCAGGACACTTTTGATGGTAGTCTACAATAAGTATATTATGCTTAGCCGTACAACTAAACTTAAAGCCTATTCTCAACAACGTTGGACCATTATAATTAAAGAAAAATGACTAATACGAGACAGGTTGAATCGTTGTCAGAACGATTGGGGGATCAGACAACGAAATCTTGTATCAAAATTGAGCGAACAGAGATTCATGATACCTGCATATTCTGCGATACAAAAATCGACAAAAACAAACCTGTTAAGCACAAGGAATAAAAAGATTATTATTTGTAGCTTATAAAAAATGTTCAATATTGTTGTGCCAGAAGGGCTACAACTGTCTATAGAGATTAAGGTCGCGGTATTATTGATGGGTAGATATGTCTGTGTTGTGCAACAACATTGACAAGCTATGATAATTGAAGTGCATCTCAACTATCTAAATACTGAGGTTCACCAGATGTGATAAGCGTTGTACAAGATAAATTGCTACTTTGGCATTCAAAACTTATGATGAATTCGTAATAATAAGTCGATGATAATAATCAGTTGTCAACTGTATCTAAAACGAAAGCAAAGAGCTTCTTTATTACAGGGCATCTAGCTTGCTTAAATATGGTAGATCCCTGGTCAATGACTACTACGTTGAGATGGTATATAAATAGCAGGCCACTGGGACCTTATGGATTGTTGGTATAGCTTGTTGAGAGGCCACCTAAGTCGATATGTTTCATGTAGTGTAGGTGGATCTCGATATCTTGACATTGGGGAGATTGAATGTATTGTAGTTCCTGAGGCACCTGTGCACACACAATTGACTGGACTTGTAAACATAGATGTGATGTGACACGATAAACATCATCTATGCTGCTACACTGTAAAAGGTGGCTTGAGGAGAAAGTGAATGTAGCCTAAGATGCATGCTTGTATGCAACAACTTAGTATAAATAGAATAACTCTTGTCTTCATCAATAAATCTTTAGTTTTTGTGTCTGATCTTATTCAAATAAGTCTTTTCTTGTTTTTATAATATCGAACATTTTTTATAAGCTACAAATAATAATCCTTTTATTCTTTGTGCTTAACAGTAGACTTGAAGTCTAGTTTTATGTCCAAGTATGGTATCTCTTCTGTAATGGGCGATCATCGAAGGCGTCCTGCTGATCGCATAAGCATCACTTTCAATCCCAAAAATATGTTGGATTCAAATTTGCATGATATCATTAACGCCCAAGTCTTAAATTTACTATTTTAATCACGCATTATAAATAGAAAGAGCGACTTAAGCCTTAGAATAAAAGCTTCTATTACTTAGTGATTGAGTTCTATACAACGCAAAACATCAAGAGCATTAAACAGAACTTTAATATACTTACTTCTTTGGCAGCACGACATAGTATGTGTGGAATACATCCACTATGATCTGCATTCCGACAGTTCATCCAGTTACCAGATTTAGATATAAACTGTATGTACACTGGATTAGATGTACGATATCGATTTATACTATGATCATGAGAAGATATGGACTTCAGATACGCTAGTACTATAAGATTCATACTATATAAGATATAGGCTATAGATGGCACCACGGACATGGATGGCACTATAGACTTATACTTGTATTCCGACATTGACTACGGATGTTTACCATATCTGGATAGGCACCAAGATTAATGCAATATGAGCTTGTTGCTTCAGATGTGCACTTCATGATCCACGCTATAAGACACATGCTTATATCCGTGATACTAGCTACAGATACTTTATGTACTACAGACTTGTACTATATATGAGACATGCTATAGACATGCATACGATATGCTATAGACATGCCATATATCCAGATACATGCTAAAGATGTATGCTTAGCGATATACACTCAGATATGTACTATTAATATAGACTAAGAAGACTGTACCTATCGGATACATGCTACTAGATCGATATTAATTATCCTTATGGAAAGGATAGATCAGGGTACTTCGGATGAGAGTCTAATTATTCATCCAGACAGAGCTAAATCATGATTAGCTTGCTGGAGTTGTCTTTTAGCATGATTAGACATTAGTTGACCTGAGTTGACTTATTTGTTAATCTAATTAATAGAACTTTTATCCATTGTTATAGTATATAAGAAGGATCATCTACCTGGCCAGTAGAGAGACTTCAGTTTACTTTACACCTGTCAGTTTGATAATAAAACATACCTTTGTCAAGTTGACTTCATTGTTTTTTTATTCTTTTTTTTTCCGTGAATTTTAGTCTATCAAGCCTCAAATTCCACAGTATGCATTATTTTTAGACCAAATTCTGTCCAAACTTAGTCATTTTGAAGCACAAATAATTCATGTTACAAAGCGTTGTGGACGCTTGGAATAGGGCCAAACGGCTCCTCCTGGCCACGCTTTACTTACTGATGCTTTATCTCAATTTTTTTGGGTCGTTGCAAATCCATCGAAATTCTCATTTTTTTCATGTGTACTAGTAAGGGGAATTTTTTGAAAATCAAATAATCGCGTTTTCACCCCAAAAATGAAGACTTTTCCTATGATACATATTAGATCAAAATGATCGTAAAGATGTAATGCAACACAGGAAACTATTTATATGAGATTTGTATATGCTAAATTTTGATTTATTCACAGAAAACCTGTTTTCATATTTTTGCGAATTGCTCATTACTTTCAGTCTGAAAACTTAATGTAATTGGCACCATTAGATGCGGCTTCTTTAGTCGTCTAAAGATGTATTAGGAATTTGGGTGTGGCAACGACAGTTCTCATAGTCAGATTTGGCAAAAACGTTCAAAGGATGTCAACTCAAGTCAAATTTGAACACGAAAACACCCACTACACAAAATCAAATTAAATTGCCGCAATCACGACTGCCACGGCAAAAGACTGAGACCAAATCTACTGGCCGTGACGTCGTATAGGGCGCCTTCTCATTTTCCCATACCACCGTCTTTTTTTTCCTTTTGCAAAACGCGTGTAGTATCAAACCATGGTGGTTTTGGAAACCGTTTGATTGATAAAAACACTCTAGCTTCTGATAACGCTGTATTGTACTGTCAGAAAGGCTTGATGCTGCTTTTTTAAAGTGGAATATAATAGGTACTATTCGATAACGAGCACAGAAAGGCGTATAATTAACACTAATTGAATTTGTTTATTGGGTTTTGATGATTGCTTTGCCTGATTGACATAGGTGCTGCTGCCATTACTTCTCTGCTACCTCTGCTGTCTGCTTCTTTGGTTTATCATGTCTGGTGATTGCTTTTTTGGTCTTTGTCTGGTCTCTGGTGTCGTTCATTCTGTGGCTTTTCTATGATGCTGGCGTGGCTGCTGCTGCTAATCTGGTCTTTTTTGGTCTACTATATTTGGTGCATGATCGTTCCCTGGCCTGCCTCTGGTAATTGCATATTTTTCTCTTGTCTATCTGTGTCTGTGGTAAGTGGTAAGTATCTTCTTTCTTCTGGTCGCAATGATATATAACTTCTTTGAACGTTTGTATTATTGCTTCCTTTCTCATGATAATGCATTCATGATGTTTCCTTTGTGGCACTTTCTTCTTCTTTCGCTGCTGGTTGTGTTGCCTCTGTGGCTTCACATAAAACAACATTAGTCATTATGTTGCATTGCATACTGATAATACCACTGTTGCTTTTGCAGCTGTGCGTGTTTGTGTTGCTTTACATTCGACTATCGTTACCATGCATGTTGCTCATGTGTGCATTTTTATTGCAACAATAACGAGCTGTTCTGAACATCTTTGATGTTGTATTTATAATATACTTTTCTTTGACCCACTCTGTGTGAGTATCTTTTTTTTTTTCTTCGTATATACTGCTATACTCCTCGTATAATAGTAATATGTTTTTTTTTCTTTCTTTTATTATTATTATTATGTTTCTTTGAAGCATACCTTTTTTTACGTTGTGTGGATGTGCCTATCCCTGAAGCTCAACAAGACTTTATCCGAGACTAGGAGGTAGATAGGCTGCCTTCACTTGGTTATCACTACTTACTTTAGTGATGATTGAGGGTCTCAATGCCAGAATTTAGAGCTAGGTGGTGTAAGTAAGGCATGCTCTAGCACCTGAGGGAAGTTTGATGATAGCAGCGGCTATATTGCTATTATAGCGGCGCTTAAAATTTTGCCTTACATCAAAACAGAGGGAAACCCTCGCAAAATTTTTTTTAGGTCAGCGGAGTTTTCAAGCGATTTGATTGGCTGAAATTTAGAAGCAGCAAAGAGTAATAAAGGTCGTTAGTTCAATATCAACTTGATTTATATGTGCAAATTTAACGGAAAAATAGAAGCGAAAAACAATATAGAACATTATTGAATCATTGGCTAAAGTACAGAGATGCATAGTCATTGAAAATCGAGCAGTTTCGATCATTTTTTGTGGAGATAATTCATTGGCATTGCTCTCATGATGGCCAGATTCAGCATGCCATCATACTAGTTAAAAAGTAAAGGACATGTACATGACAGTAGTATGATGTATTTTGCTAGTAGCAGCAGCTAATACTTGTACATTAATCCTGTGAATTTCATGAAGGATAGTATCTGCTCGAAGCTTTGTGTTTCTCAAATTTATCGCTGTATGATGGCTGGTTGTGGGTATGTCTAACATAATTTAGCTTGATGCGTCATTTCTAAACAGGATCTCCAAGTGGGAAGAAACATCGGACTCAAGCACATATTACAGCAGGTCATAAACCATGACATGAAACTGGATTCATTTACGGATTCAGTCATGGCATGCTCAAGATTATATGTAGATTGGATTTATTATCCCTGTCACCAAATTACCCAATTAATACCTTATCCTTACACAGGTTTAATCAGTTCAGGTAGTATTGAATCCCTCTAATTTTACAATGCAATAAGCAATGTTCTCTATCCGCCTAATGTTTATACTGTTTTTTTTTACAATAGGTTACGCCTGATAAATCAACACTTTATTACTACTACCTATTGTGAATACATTATTTATTCAGGGATATACAACAATGTTTGATATAATGGATGATCAGTCCAATTGTTGATACGCATATTCGGGAGGACTCAGTATGGCAATCAGAGAGAGAACGACGGACAGCATGATACTCAAAATCCAACTGATGATACAGAATATGAATGAAAAATTGTAGCGAGTCCCCATATAAAATGTTGCGCTCGAGTTGTATAAGTAAGCGATGGTTCCCATCGAAAACGCTTGAGGAAGAGCTAAACATAACATGGTGGTCATTTGATGTCCTTCATAGTAATACATTTATCTATTCTTTGCCTTACCATAGATCAGAAACATTCTAAAAAAAAAAAAAATCATGAAAATTAATTCATCTTTTCACTCGTATAGGGTACATATTCTTGTAGCTTACAATGAGATGGGTGCCCATGCTTTGCTTCTCTTGCGTCTTTGACTACACATGGTAGCCAATAAAGCAAAGATGGTCAGTCCACCGATAACTGCTGCAATCACCATTCCTGCTGCTGCTGCTCGCCTATTTGTCTGTAGTTAACACACTTGATTTGACTCCTCACCAAGGCACTTTTGGTTACCATAATTCGCAAAATCCCTCTAAAGTATGCCACGCAAACTATACTTAGAACCGCTTGACTCTTGTACTCAGACTTCAAGATGATACAAACCTTCTTCGCAATCGCCGTGTTCATAGGAAGGAAAGGGTCTACAGTCTCTTGTCATACTAATCATTCGATCGTCAGTCATTCTGTTGCTGTGATAGCGCCTACAAGGGCATACCTTCTGCAGAGCCTGAACAAGCCATAGTTTGTTTCAATGTAAAATGGCACTGGCGTTACAAAGGTGAGCCTATATACAGATGGCCGTAAATCAGCTGTTATCTAGCTTTCTTTCTCTCCCTTTTTTTCTACCATTTGGGAAACACGATGGAGCATATCGTCAATGTGTAGTTGCAGATGAATATAAAAAACGTTACGACGTATGCAAATAAAGAGACACTCATCGTCAAGTAAAATGAATCAAGTTTAAAAAAGAAGAGAAACGAATGAAAACGAAAAGAAAATTGCCATTTTTGCTGCATGTCCTGCGTGGAGCTTGTTTTATGATGTCATTTGAAGCTTCGATGTGTATAAATACCCCCCCTTTTTATCTGGAAAATTTATTCAGGAACCAAATACCTTTTTTTTTTTTCTCTCTATCTTTTGCACTCAAAACAATGTTTGGATTGTTTCATAAATCAAGCGACAGGCCACTGTCTGAAAAGGGCCTGCTGGGTGTTCTCGAGTACTCTCAAAAGTCAAGCCGTTGTATCGGTCAACTGGCTGACGATAATCGTGTTTCAGCAAACAACCTCATGACATACGGATCTGTATTAGGCGATGATTTGACAGTAAGTAATGCTACGCCTCATGTCTTGATGCATATACTCATTCGCATACATCCTAGGACGTTACCAACAAGTTGGGGCATCTTCTTATACAATGGTCCAATGTCCTGATGGAATTCCAAGATTCAGTGGATCAATACCGTGACACTTTGAAATCCATCATTGTCAAGGAATCCAGCTTGCAGCCAGGTCGTGACCAGAAGAGGAAACTTAGGGATCAAATTGAACGTTTGCAAAACTCGTTGTCTTCCATGGACAAGATGAGCAATCTCAAGGAACAACTCGCTCAACTGGAAGAATTCACTGCGCCTGACGAAGCGGAAATGAGCAACTATAAGCGTATTGCTACACGCGAGGGCCTCTATCTATTGCTGAACGGTATGCATGCCATGGCAAGCAAATCTGACATTATCTCAACATTTGGTAAATACATTGTCGACGAGCTGGATGTGGATCCGATCAAAGCAGGCGAGGAAAGAAGACCTTATGTAGGTGCTGAAAAGACAAAGCGTATTCAGGATGATGCACAAAGAGCTATTGAGCAATGGAATCCAGACAAGACCAAAGTACGCAGAACACTAACAGCTCACCATGGCCACAATCCTCTCATTGTAAAGCAATTGCCACCTGTTCCTCCCAAAGATGATGCGGTTGTCTCTCCAACTCCTTCTGCTACAACATCCACCAAGAGCAGCAGTACAGATGAAGCCAATGTGCCTCCACGCCATGTATCCTTGGAAGAACAAAATAAGCAATATTCATTCTACAAGCCTGATGAAGTTGTTGAGGACGAAGACGAACCTCGCCCAAGTGAATCCACCAGTACAACGACGACGACGACGACTACTAATATAACCAACACAACACATGGTGGAGGTGGTGGCTTCTCTAGTGTCTATTTGCACCATTCTTCGCCCTTTCAAAGCCAGCAACAGCCATTTCAACAGCATCAGCAACTGAATCAGCAAAACCTGTATCAGTTTTATCAACACTATCTACCTCCTCGACCTTATGATGAGATGAAGAGCATCTTTAGTCCAGGTGCTGTATTCAGAGGAGAAGAAACAAAGAGGCATGATGCTGGAGGATTCGTTTTACCTTCCACAAACCCCAACTATCGACCCAATCCGTCGACCTCATCAAGATCTGTGTCTTCCTCCAAGAGCATCCCATCAGATGGCGATAAAGACGACGAGCAATGATAGACCCACCAATACACATAGATACACACACACACACACACACACCCAATAGATATATCCAACCACATTCACGTTCACCCCACATTATACACTGCAAAATAAAGCTCTGATTTATATCAAGTATACCTAATTCTGTCAATGCCCCGACTTCTTCTTACTTGCATAATGGCCACTAGTTCTTTGATGGCTTCTTCTAGAATGACTACGTTGTTTAGCAACATGGAGAGTGAGATCTCGGTCGACTTGTTCTTTCTACGCTGTGATGGGTGCTGGGTCGGTGCAAATACATCCTCGTCATCTGCATCCAGACTCAAGATGGGATCCCTATCAAACTCAAAGTTGGAGGGAAATAAGGGTTGAATGTGAACCTGCAGCGTCCTTTTAGCGTGCAATGCAAGTGGAGACATGGGATGAACAGCCGGTGGATGTGGAGCAAGCGATGCTGCTGCTCCTACAGTTGATGGCGTGGACAGCGTGGGTGCAATCGTGGTGGTGGACAAGGACTTTGACAAGTTGGCAGTAGTGGCTGATGTAGAAGGCTTCAGACTAGCCACCGAATTTCGACGCTTGCTTGTTTGTTGTGATGCATTGTTGCCAGCAGTACTGCTACCACCATTAGCATGCGACGTGCTTGAATTGTGGGTCGCCGAGCTCGAGCTCCCGCCTAAACCAAACAGCTTGCCGACCATGGATGCAGCACTGGTCGTTGCTGTGCTAGTCGATGCAGAAGGCTGTGAATCTAGTGTAGATCCTCGACGAATGGAACTCGACAAGGAAGGCACAGGAGCAGCAGCAGCAGCCATCGTAGTCTGGCCAAATAAAAGGCCACCCCATCGTTCATCCAGCAAGGCATCAAAGCCATCGACTTCTGATCTATAATAGTCCACCTGCTGTGTCAAGGTACGGAACAGCGTATAAAATGGAGGAAATGATTTGAACTGTGTTGGCGTTGTCATGTGAACTGAATTGCGCTCTGCACCAAAATCCAACGATTTGTCATCATCATCATCGTCATCCGTAGTCTTTGAATTGCTAGCTTGGGTCTGGTGCATTTCATGGAAGGCAGGCATGTCCATAAGACCACTGTTTCTGGCACCACCCTTGCTGCCCAAATGCAGTATGTCGTTTGCATTGGTACGGTCTGACTCGCAAAACGAGATCCATCCCTCCAAGCTTCGGTATGGACAAAGAGCCAGCGCAGAGATGACACTGGTCAATGCGAGATTGAGTTCAGAGGATTGTGCAAAAAAGTGCGACAATAAACCCAGTAAAAGCTGAAGCAGAGTGTCTGTGGATCGGATGCGCTGGCGCACTGGAGGCTGTCTCGTTGGCAGTATACTGTGCTGGTGTGGTTGGTGCACTTCTTCGTGTGATGCACCTGCCCGCTGGCCATACTTGAAGCTTCGACGTCGCTCACTTTTTGAAGGCGCAGGCTTCTTATGCAATTGCTGTTGTGTGGTGTAAGGTGATTCAAGCAGGCCCTGGTAGCATACATCTTGCTCTAGGGTTGTCTTTACATCCTCTAAATAGTCCTCGTATCCCATGGCCAGAATGTCATCTGCATGCACTTGATCGATGGCTGATATCAGTGAAAAGTAGAGCTGAATTTCGCGGATATGGTGCGAGACATTGGTAGAAGGCGGTGCTTGTTCATCGTTTCTGTCGGGTACTGTGGACAGTAGTCGGTCAGAGAACCTGCAGTGCTTGACAATCAAAGTCTTGAGTAGCTTCAGTGTTGCAATGACAGTGGGTTGTGAGCTTGATTTGAGTCTGGTAAAGATCAGGTCCTTGAGTGTGAACCGCTCTGCTGCCGTAAAGTAAGGTGTGCTCTTGAAATCAAGCTCTACGCCTCGAAAGCTCGTTGGTGTCGCCATCATCAACTTTTGCACTATCTGCTCTTCGTCGTCTGTCTCCTCCATAAGAAAGCCTACCATCACCGACGCTAAATCCTGCTGCTGTACAATCTGCAGTATCAAGTCGATATAGCTGATGACAGCTACTGACGATCCATCTGCATCAGAGCATTCTAAAATGGACGGATACAAGATATTCTCCATGAAAATGCCACGAATACACTGTAATAAGCGCTCAGAGATAGCATTGTTTGGACATCGAAGCAGCACATCCTGACAAAACTCGAGCAGCTTCAAAAAGGAATCTAGCTGGTACTTGAACTGAGCAGAGCTGGATTGCTCGACACCAAATTCGTCTGATGGGTAAGATCGAGGGTCCAAATCTTGACCCAACAAGTAAGATGCTGCTGTGCTATTGACTTCCTTTTCGTCTTTGATGATGAGCTTGCGAGGCAGTTGCGAGTACAGTGCGCCTAATCCAGCGGCCATGATGGTAGCAAAGTCTGATTCCAGTATAAAGTCGCCTAGTTGCTCTGTCGCCATCTCCATCAAAAACAACAATCCAGTGCGAGCGTAGTCTCCAGATCGTCCCTCACGATGGATATATCTCAGCAGGTATGTAAACAACAGGAATTCGTATTCAGGTGGGGCAACGGGTACCTCTACCATAGGCGTCATGATGGGCGTATCTGCTGCTGCTGTAGTAGCTGTTGCGGTTGCTGATGGCTTTTGTGGTGTTGTAAGCCATTGCTTGTCATGAAAGAAGATGTTCAGTAGTGCTGGAAATCCATGAATCTTGGAGCATATCGTGTACATGAGGTCCACCAAATCCTCGTGATCCAATTCACTTTGTCTCTCATCCAGGACACAAAATCGAAGCAGCTTGATGGTGGGTTTATGAACTGCATTATGGACGAGAAAGCGGTCATCCAGTAGATCCACCATGGATGCGATGGTGCGAATGCTTTCGCCACGGATGCCCTCTGGATAATCCATCTTTTCAGACACGTTGACCAAGTACTGTAGTATGCCATGCTTCAAAAAGTACTCCATGCACACGCCTGTTGTATTGTCCTCCTGTCGCGCCTCTTCATCTACCAGCATGTCTACCATTTGGCGCAATCTCTCTGGGATCTCTGTCTGTTTGACATGCAAATTGGCCCTGCGATCCTCTGCTATAAAGATGTTCTAGTGCATACGTTGTAAGCATGGCGAATGGATGGCGCATATGAGCAATGGGGATTCTTACATGAACATAGTCCCAGCATTTATGAAATTTGACTAACTGCAGTGCACTGGTCGGCTGTGCTTTGGGTGTTACAATACGTTTCTTGAATTTGGAAAAGTAATCCATATATACATGTAGTTTCAGGCACGCTTTTTATGAGGGAAAGACAAAAAAAAAAAAAAAAAAAAAAGAGACAGAGTTAGGATTCACTTGGATCTGTTTGTTATTTTGGGCTACTTGACCCCTTAAATCAGCTAGTGAATGTGAAACGCATTGTCTTTGTTTGCAGCAATGGAAACACTCGACTCTGTGACCTATCTTGTAGAGGTGCTACTGATGGTGTTGGAAGCATTGCCAATGTCCAATGGCTAATGATATATATATATACATCAAACATGGCATGCAGCCTCATTTGGCACTCTAGAGCAGCTCCATCTACTGTCAAATGAGAGTAACTACACATGACTTTTTTGGTCAGGAATCATTTCGGCACCTACACTGACGGCACACCATTTGCTGCGCTTCTGTTATCAGTTGGTGGTTGGAGTGGATCAAAGCAACATGCATATGATTAAAAAGGCTACATTCATTCGCCCCTTATCTTGCTGAAACCCCTCATACAAACATACGACTTGAAACGATTGAGCATCATGTCATATCCCAAAAAAAAAAATCTACTTTGTTCCATGTGTTCAATGCTACATGAATAAAGTGTTGATTGCTCTGGATGGAAAATTTTTCATAGATCGACAAGCGTCAGATCCAATGGTTTCATACACTCAGCGCAATAGAACATCCACATGACATGGTCATGATTGGAAAGATATAGAACAGAAAACACATGGTTCCATTGAAGAAAATGGATCTGATAAAATTTAAGCGTTGTACATGACCTTTTGTATTATTAATTGGATCCAAATAAACAAATGTTGTGCATGCCTGGGTTTCCAATGAACGCGGAAATGCGGTTTAGAGTGCTCGGCGCAATCACCGATACTGATCTTTTAATGTATTACCTTCTTACTGCTGAGGCGAAACGAGCTTGATTTGGAAGATTCTCCTCTGCATGCTGATGGTAAATTCCATGCTTCCATCCTGCTTTTTACTTTTATCAAACGACACACTGGGATGTGTAGATTGCAAGGCCTAGTTTAGAGTTTAAATGGCTGTAGTCTATCGCAGGTATCCAGTTAGATTGAATGGGTCATTGCTTACAAATGAATCAAACAGTCCACATGTTACACGATCAATACTCATTTCAAACAGATACATGAATAGATCAGAACAGGCAACCTAATTGTATGTGTTCTTCATCGATCTTCTGTGTGCACAATGGCCGTATAGCGTCAGGATGAGGCTTTGATAGAACTGTAGAACGTTTTAGGCATTGCCAATGTTTTAAAGTTTATCAAAATTACGTGGCTAAATCCTAAAATAGTAGTATTTGTATTTGTGGAATAGAGCAATCCCTCTAGGCCGCAACCCCGCACGTTTTGGCCAGAACCCGACGGTTATCAGCTTCATTTTATGAGTCAAAAATTTAAGGTATAAAAAGGCAGAAAATTTTTGTGTCAATGTATATAATCACTCTCTTCCCATTGACACTTTTCCATCTTCATCATACAGCATACAATGACTACATTTTTTGAAAACCCACACTACTACTCTAGCCAAATCAAATTGGAAGAGCCCAGTATACTGCCATCATCTTTACAACAACAACAGCAACAACAACAACAACCACAACAACCACAGCAGCAGCAGCCATCCCACCAAGATGATTTTCAAGATTTCTTTGTTGCCTACAGATCATCACCGACAGATTTGTGCAGAAACGTCGACTATTGGAAATTTGCAGTATCCCAGATGCAGCAGCACATTTTTAATACGAGCAGTGCAACCTACTCATCGCCCGAAGCCTACTTCTTGAAGAAAACTAAAAAGAACACATCGGTTGCCAAAGACTTGCTTGCAATGATCAATGACAATGGCACATTTCGATTCAATTGCGACCCAATGTGTGCTTCAGATCCACTTACATACCGCAGACACAGATCTGAGAATCTGCTGCTGCGTATGATTCATTGCAGAGACTTGGATATGAACCAAATCTCTCTGATGCGACTGTCCAAAGGCGTCTTTGTCCATCAAAAGTGGCAATCCAGCGTCCCTCAACCCTCTCCCACATTGTCTTGCATTGAAGAGGTGATGGCGAATGATTTCATTGATACACAAGGTATGTTATCACACACACTAAAAGAGCAATATAAAGCACATGAATTGAACATTTTTGCTATAGACGAAGCTCCCATTGATACATTTCAGTTTGGCAATGCATGTCATATGATTAATAACCTGACAAGCTCCTGCTACGACATGTTCATTCCCTACAGCTACACATTTGGCGCAAGATATACAAACCCATATAACAATGCGAGTGATCTCGTCATTCGTGGCAAATTACCCTTGTGGTGTCAAACGCTGTTCTTGTCAAACTGTATAAAGCAAACAGAGCCTGTTCAAGCACATGTCCCTCGATCGGGCCTCTTCCCATTTGCACCTCAAATCACTGTTACATTCAAGCCTTTAATACAAGATGAAACAGATGCCATCATGCCTGAATTGACCGTCTTATACGAGCGTTTCACTATGGAGGACATGGACGCATTTTCTTTCCCTGAGCTCACGGATGAAGAATTGGAACTGACATGGCCTGAAAGAAAGAAGCAAGTCTATCAAAGAATCCTTGTCTGCGATATTCCTGATGACTTGGCCAAGATATTGAGTGATATGGCTACCATTTGGGCCGCAAGCAAAGGATTAATGCTTTGAATACTGGCATACACGCTCTTTACTACACTGTACATAAACTCTATACCATCATTTTCTTGTAAAAAAAAACAATCCCCTACTCTTTTTCTCTGTCTAGTCCTCCCCCCCCCCTTTTATTCATCATTAATAAAATCCTGTGCTTTTTGACAATTTACATCAAAGGGACCTGTACTGTAGCACAACATGTTTTTACCACAAGAGAACTGGAAACCCACATTTTCACCTGAGCATTGAATGATGGTCTACCGTCATGTCAGCCATAAAGCTTTCTCTTTCTTTGAAATCAACTTACTGAACCCTGTCCATCTAGTCGAAGACAATAAAGGCCTTGAGACACATTTTTGCATGATGGCGTCCAGCTACCATTGGGAAGCTTGAGTTTGTTTGATGGATCAAACGTTGTATCACCCATAGGTGGTGGTTTGACTAAATCAACAGCCTCATTGACTGATAATGCTGAGCCTTTCTTGATCCTGGTCTGCTAGTAGTCCTCCTCATTTGTTTGTTTTTGTACCAGATTGTAGAAAGGCGTACTGTTGATTGCCGTACTAGGCACATTTTGCTCGGTCCTCGACTCCTGTTGATCAGTTTCTAAATCAGGCGTTTTCGTTGGAGGCAAGGATGGTAGTGAATGTGTCACGAATGTGCCAAGATCAGGCTGCGATTGCTGTTGTTGGGCGGTTACAGCACTGGGTGTTGGTTGAATATGCTTGTAGACATACATGGTTTTATCAGGACCTGACTCGACAACTTCCATACTGAATATGGGGCGAGACAATGATGTAGTAGTAGTAATAACAGTAGTTGAAAGATGATGTATTTTGCGCTTCAGATCGTCGATTTGCTGCTGATCTTGTATTAGTTCGTCGTGTTTTATTCTAATCTGTTCTTCTGCTGATTGAATTCGCTCTGCTATCAAACTCTTGTAATCAAATAGGTTGCCATGCGTTGCGACTTCCAATGGAGTGGTTTCAGCAATAGGCACTTTGTAGACTTTGCTGTTAAGATCAGAGTCAATACCAGAGATATAAGAGTCCAAAAGTGCCTAATCGAGCGCATCGAAAAAATCAAAGCGCGTGCTTTCTTCCTGCTCGTCGTGCCCCTTCTATCCCTGGTTTCCGTCGACCTGAATGGCAGGCGGCAACAGTACTTGTGCATCTTGTTGATTGCTAGCTATTGGCATACTGCTAGCATTCATCAAAAACCTCTCTATTTGCGTAGTCGGTTGTGTCACTAGCAAGTTCATTTTTAGAAAAAGCATTGCGTGTACCAGTGTCCATTAATGTTGTATCACGGTGAAGTTCTTGTGCTTCAGATCCACTAGGTTTCATGATGATGTCAAAAGCATATTCTGTATCACTAGAGATGCTATTCTTATCACTGGCCTCCTTGACTGTCGTCTGCGAGTCTAATTGGCCATGGTGAAGAGTTGTCTTGTTATCATCTGTATTATCCTCTCTGGTCGCCTCTTGGTTCACATCAAGATTGATATTTGGCTTGTTGTAGTTTGCACGACCTTTTTGTTCTTTCTGCCTGCGAATATCCTGATCTGCAGCATGTTCATATTCTTTGTAATTGCCTAGTCCAGTGTCCACTTTATCATTGCTGCTGCTGCTGGACATGAGGTCTGTCCACTGAATCTTTGGATCAGACTCTACCACTACGGCTTCATTCAATGGTCTTGCAGTAGCAAGGGCGCTAATAATGACTATTGCTATACAAAGTGAAATACGTATATGGAAGAGTGTAAAAGAACTGGAAAGAACATCTCTCCAGCTATTTATGCTTGGAATGGGCAATTGAAAATAGGGCTAAATGGCAGTAAAAAGAAAAACATTGCTCCAACGAAAGGAATTTGTGGCTCTATTAGACATTTTTCTGTCATATTTAACATTTGCATCTGAATTCTCTGGCTATGAGATGAGGTTGCGCAACATGTTAGAAATTCGAACCTTAATTGTTGCTTTTGATGTTAGCAAGCATCAGCTCATATGAGCTCATCATTAGATGATAGCAAAGAGAATGAGCTGAAGAACACTCTCCTTGTTTTTCCATCGCTCTAATGTGTTCTGGCTTCTCGTAAATATTCATTGTATGAGGCATGATTTGGCTGTACAAAGCCATGCTTGATATTTAATTGGCCAATATCGTGAATACAATAAGGTTTTGCGAATGCAGGGTCAAACAAAAAGCAGAGTGATTATACAAATTGACAGAGAGATAGAGAGCTCCATGAGTAGAGCATCTCTTTACAAAGATATATAATATGGCTTCTCAATTAAAGTATCTCTTTGTTCTGTATTCTCAACATGTCTCAATTAGTTTACTATCTGCTACAGAGCATTACTGCTGTGTATTCGGCTCGATCTATGGCTGTCATGCCTTTTATCATGGTCATGGCGTACATGGCCTACTACTACAACAAGCGATATAGATCACCGCTGGCTTCAGTACCACTTGCGCCAGCAGAACATTTTCTCGTCAAGTATTTTGGCCTGGCACCTCCTCCAAACGACGCTGAAAAAGTCGATACGTTGTCCAGATTTCTGATCCGTGTGGGTCAAGATGCTTCCCTGTCTCCCATCAGCGTCTGTTGGTCTGTTACTGGCACACCTCTTGTTATTGTCAGCTCACTAAAAGGCATCAAAGATGTATTGATTGATGGGCAAACCAAGAGCAAGATCAAAGATGAGCCTTCCAATGTGCAGCGTGGAAATTTGATCCGTTTGATTCAAAATCTAGTATTTGGGGGCAAAAGCTTGAACAATGCGGTTGGCGAAGTAAGCACATATATGCTTCATCAAATCGAGACTTGTTCAGCTAACAAACTATCAATAGGAATGGCGCTGGCGTCGACATGTTCTTTTGCCTCCATTTCAACCAAAGCAACTCGTACCCAAATTACTGCCGTATGTTGCCAGTCGAGCAGCAGCGCTGCTGAAAGTATTCCAGGAGCAATCAGAGACAGGCGAGGCAACTGAGCTGGACGGTTTGTTCATGGACATGACGATGGATGTTATCAATTACTACCTGTACGGTCGAAGCGATTTGAATTACGGCATGGTGGGTGGTAGACGCAATTTAAAGGTACAGAGCTATCCTACCAAGCAGAGTTACTGGGCTAACATTGGCGACTCATAGAATGAGCACCATCGACTAGGTTTAGGCTTCATGTCAGTTGAGGCGTGGCTTCCTTTTGGTATCAACAAGACAGACTGGGCTCAAAGAACATACAAACCTGCTCGTGATTTACTGAAAGCATTCATCAAAGACTCGTTGGTCTACGCTTTCGAGGACTACAAGAGAGATGTGAAAGAATACGAGGAGCAAGGTATTCCAGAAAAACAACGATCCTATCGCTCTGTCGCAGCCTGCGCTTTTGCTAGTGGACGCTACGCTGATGACCAAGTTGACTTGATCAATGATCTGCTTTCACTGACTTTTGCTGGCTATGATACCACTGCTCATACATTGGCCTTTGCCTTTTCTGAACTGGCTCGCAACCCTGCACTCCAAGATGAGCTGTTTGCGCAAGTGCGTCAAGTTCTTGGCCCTCCTCCTGTAGCTCCTGATAGTGTCACTGTGGAGAAGCTTGCTCGTATGCCTTTGGTGACCGCCATCTACCGTGAGACACTTCGCAAATACCCAGCTGTTGTCTTTATTCCTGTGCATGTCAATCGCGACACAGTGGTGGATGGTGCCATTGTCCCTGCAGGAGCAGAGATCTGGTGCAATGTGCGAGGCGTGCAAATGAATCCTGCCATCTTTCCCGATCCAGATAAGTTTGATCCTACTCGCTGGTTACGTCCTGAGGACAAGATGGCCGATGGCACATCAGACAATGCCTTTGACAATCTGACAACATCAAACAACAGCCATGTTACCATCACGCCGGAAACACAGTACAACTTTCCTGATTTATCATTTACCTTGGGCCAGCATGCTTGTATTGGAAAGAACTTGGCTATTCTAGAGCTGAGAACAGTGATTGCGTGTACCATGAATCAATTCTCTTGCAGTTTGAAAAAGGACTCGGTTATTGACACCAAGATTGTGCTTACAACAAAGCCTCGCCATGGGGTATGGGTTCATTTTAAAAAGCGTTAGTTTACAAATCACATTATAATAAATGTTCAGTTCCTAGACACTTTTACAACCATAATAATATGGAAATTGGGTTTCAAGACATTTGTTGTCAGGCCTAGCTCATATATGATTAACCAGCCCCACCAGCCAAAATTAATTCAAACCCAGAATCATAGTTTGTTTCCAGATTGGCCAAATCCTAATGATTTTCGACTCGATTGAACTATTTTTTTGCGGATTCAACCAAGTAAAACATGATCATCATCCTGAGCTTCTTTAAGCTTTCTTGGAGTGCTTTTCAAGGCGCATCCAATGGTACCAAGTAATATAGATGTTTTGAAGAAACTTATTGAGCAATTTATGAAAATATGAAAAGAGGTTTCTGGCCAAAATGTCGAAATTTTACATACCAAAGTCCCACAAAGATGATTTTAAGAGTTACGTTGGATCGAGAGAAACCTTTTGATTCAAGATATACCATAGCAAAAGTCTTCGCTATCAAGGTGAAAAATGCGACCGTTTGATTTTCAATGAAAACCATGAGGGATACCTCATGCTTTTTGGTCGATTATAGGTCATTTTTTTTTGGTTCCCAAAAAGTTGAGCAAAGATGTCAGAAAGTAAGTGCTATTCAAGAGCAATTGTTTGGTGCTATTCTGACCATCTAAAACGGCCTTGAACGCGAGAAAACGCAGTTCTTACGCACTCTGATTTTGCTGTATCAGGGACACTAAGGAATAAAAAGGGGAAATACCAGTATGCTGCTTGCCTGTATATGAAATACCTGCGTGTATATGGATGTAGCGCATCACATAAGAATCAGATTTACAGATAATATGAAGGGTTTTCATGCGTAAGTAGAGGATCAACATGGAAGCAGTAGTATTTTGATAAGATACGCAAGGGCAATCGATAGTGCGAGCTGCCGCTGTGCAGGTTGGTTTTCACCGAAGCGAAGCGAAGGTAGAGAACCATCCGAAGCATAAACACTCATATGATTAGTGATTATATATAAATCAACAATCAGGGTTCTTCTAACAGTTTAGCTATATTAATTGTGCGATATTAGCCAAAGGCTCGTATTCAACAAAGAATGGTTTATTTATTCTGATCATCACATCTACTATACTTGCTTCTTTTCTTTGAGAGACTCTCGCACTTGCGCAAAATATGCTTTCTGTTGTTTGCGAATTTTATGTGAGTCTTTTGCTACCAAGGCTGCCTCGTATATGTTGTAGAACGTATAGCAGGCAAACCCAACAAACAGCAATGCAAATGTCACCCAGAAGCCCCATAAATCAAGGTTATGTGCCTTTATAAAAGACATTTCGCGGCTTGCTGGATAGCGATGGGTCAACTTACCATTGTCACTAGCAAACAACACTTCTTCTACCAAGTCTGCAGCCCTTACCACACCGTGCTGAGCATGGAGCTGCACCATAGCTTGGAAGCGATTTACATGACGCTGGAAAGTACCATTGACATCTCTAGCAACACGATCGATTTCCTGGCTAAAGACGTCTTGAATCATGCCTTGGTTCAATTGAACACCGAGATGTTGAGTACGCATCATGTAAGCATTGCTCATCTGATCGCCGTAGAAAGGATACAAAGCAGTACGGACACCAGCGTAGGCAGCCTCATGCAAAGACCCCAAACCAGCATGAGACACGAATAGCTGTGTATGCGGGTGAGAGAGAATAGCCATTTGAGGTGCCCATTCGACAAACTGAGCGTGCGTGTAACGTCCCTGCAACATGTCTTGAACAAGATAGCTCTGGTTCGTACTGGATACAATGTTGTGGGGGAAACGATGAATGCTGTTGCGCATGGCCCAAATAAATCCATCCAAAGCGCCAGACTCGATAGCATCAATCAGGGATCTCAGTACAAGCTCAATCTCGATATCTTCAATCTCGACACTCTGACCAAATGCGACATATGCCACCTTGCTATGTGCATCGAGGAATTCTTTGTTGTCCTCTGTCAGATCAGGATAGGATTTAGACATGATGGGGCCCACCAATTCGACCAAGGGGCCAAGCGGACGCGCAGGTTCAAAGCCAAACAGATTATTGACAATCTTGAGAGAGTCTTTCCAGTTGTCCTCAAAGGCTGGCATGCCTGTTAAAGGCAACCAGCCCAGCTCTTGCTTCATTTTTTTGGTATCGTCTATCACAGGCTTGAGATCCAACACAAAGTTTACTGGTTCTACTACTTTGGCAATCATGCGTTGTATAAAGCTCATGTCTGCTGTTGTAGTATCGTTGCTCTCCAAAAAGTTGTTGATGTAGGATGCAGTCGCGTCTATAGATACATGCAAGTTTAGCCAAGTTCTCTAAATCAGTGAGCTTACTAGCAACCGTACCCTGGGAAATGGCTAGTGCAGTGGTGATGATGAGAGGAATATCCAAATTTTGCGAGATATCCACACATGGAATGGTGAAATGGTCGCATAGCGCGACATCGAATCGGGTGCTCTCCAAAATGCCCTTATATTTTCGCATCTCTATGAATTTCTCTTCAGTTTCTCAAGTTCAGGTTGATTCAAAAGCACAGCTATTTACTCATATCGTAGTTTGTATGCACCGCATTGTATACTTCAATCAGAAATAATGCATTGTCTGTGTGGCGCTTCCTGTTCCCGGGAATGCTCAAGTCGACATCATTGCTGCCAATGGATACTGTCTTGAGATTGGGATGCTTCAGGCCATACTTTACCTCATTGTCCTGTCTCTGGCACGTCAATACGAGTTGTTATTGGTGGCATTGTGCTGTAGCTTACGTGAGTAACAAATGTAATGTTGTGTCCTCGATCAGCAAGCTCGTCCAAAATAGATAGGACCCATTCAATGTGCGATGATCCACCACCAACACTACCAAAGAGAATATTCTTTGGCTGTCTAAATGATTCGCCAAGCTCAAAGGCACGAGCACAGAGTGCCATGGACATAAATGTTGCCCATGAAAACAGTTTCATCGTAGCGAAGAAAAAAAAAAGGTAAATGAGAAAAAAAAAAAAAGATCAAATGATCAAGGCTTAACATTTATGCTTCATTAGGTCTCAGTTCATGACTTGGATCCATTGTTGCTGATCTTTGGGTCGATCATCTTGACAGGATGTATGCAAACATTGACAATAGAGTATACATGAATATGAGGGAGGGGGGGGGGGCAAGTCTTTATCTTGTAGATGGCTGACGAGAAGAATGTCAATAATGGCCCTGTACTCTATTATCCTTATATGGTCAGCATCAGTCATCACTGAGACTGTAATGTTTCAAACGCTTGTAGCAAATCAAGATGCAAATGTCTTTGTTAGAAGCTGTGATTGACCGCTTCCTCTGTTTAACAACCTGATAATCCCATTTGAGGCTGCTTAGCACGACTCTGGGTAAGTCCAATAGCAACACAACGAGAGGCAACATGTGGATCACAAATATTAGGAGAGAAAGGCACTGTAAGAGGACAATAGCAAGCATTGCAATCTTGGTGGTCAATCAAGGTGTGATCCCAAACAACAATGGATCTAATACAAGCGGTTCTTCTATGACATTACCAATTTCGACTTTGAAGAAAGATCTCCCGTCTAATCAACCGGGAGAATTTAGTAACATTTCATGCTTTGCCCTTTTTTTTGCGTAATGCAAGCTCTATAAAATGTATTGCGGCTAAAGATATGTAACTATAGCATACGAGATGAGCCGAGAAGCATCAAATTGTTTTTTTAATTTTAAAATGAACAAAAACGGGGGCATGCTCAATCAGTGCTTTGTGATCAATACAAGCGGAGTGGCCAACCGACGGATAAATTCAAGCACGTTTTCCATCGTTGCACCATTGTGATACAGAATAAAATAAAATAAAATGTTGACAAGAAGATATTTATTAACAGAAATGAAAGAGAAAGAGAGCAGCTATGTCTTTTCAGCTGGTTCAAGTTAGAAATCCAAAATCTGATAGAGTAGTAATATTGTAAAATAATGATTTAGCTCGAGAGGGCAAAAAACGTGGAGAATGAGGATAAAGGGGGATATTATCTGATCCGAAAACTTTTTTATAGCTGTTGACGGAAAAAAGTATAACGATTTTGCCCTCTCAAGATTAAGTAATGTTGTGCAAATGGAAGAATCGTTTTTGCCGTGGATAAGAGTAATATATAAAGTAGGGATGGGTTCGTTTTCTGTGCTGATGCTGTTGGATTGAGTTGGGTGGACGTATTAGCAGTAAAATTAAATAATAAATAAGGGATGAAGTGTAACAAGAGTAATAGTAAGCGACGGTGTGCCAAGAGAGGAACAATACGAGGGCAGAGATGGTTATGTAAATGTAAAGGCAGATGAATATATATATATATAAAAAAAAAAAGCTCGAGTTATTTCGATTTCTTGTTCTTGAATGCACCTCTCTTTTCTGCTTCCTTTATCGACATCTCTGTGCCTAGCAATTTGTCCCAAAAGGTAAAGAAAGGTTGCGAAAAGTTCCTCTTGATGCCAAATGCTTGATGATGAATATCATGACTAGTTTGCAAGGTGTGTTAAGCACAGACGCACATACAATTGAAATCCATCCCTCCCCTTTTATACACACACACACACACACACACACACACACACACACACACACACACACACACACACACACATACACACATATATATATACACATATGAATGTCAACTTACTATTGCACATTGTTTCCAAATAAGAATTGCAATGGGTCCCATGGAAGTGCATAGCCACAATGATCATCGACTAAATAAATACAAATTAAAAAAAAAAAAGCATACTCTACGAGACATTCAAACATACCTGTCTTTAAAGTGGAAAAGGTGAAAAACACTACAGTCAACCTAGGAGTCATTCTTGTTAATTCCATAGCAATTGTTGCACCAACTGAATCCAACAAGAATCCTTCCACTGGGTGGTTGTAAAGTGCGCCGAAAGCATAGGGCACATACAAGCGATGGTGATGTGAATGTACATGCTTATACAGGAATTTGTTGACATGAAATAAACGATGAAAAAAGTATTGATGAGCGTCCATAATGATCCTATTCGGTATTAGTCATAGGTGAGCATACATACACATACACTTTTCCACATCCACACACACGCAACTTACATGCCACTCACAAACTGAATTGCAGGAATCACAATCCAATATACAACTCTGGCTAGATGATGAGATAAACCCAATCGATGAGTGCCGGATAAAAACAATCCGGTCCACCATCTCAAAGCGTTTTCTTGTTCGATAGCGTTTGACACAGGGTCAATGGGGTGTAGAACAAGCACACCAAGCACCACTTGGATGATTTGTTGGAGAGCCACCATACTCAGCACTCTTGGCAGACTTACTCTGTTTCTCTTTTCCATATCTCCTAATGTGTGGATTCTGTATTGTTCAAAGTATGGGATTTCAAACTTCATGACAAAATGCCAGAACGTAGAGTATATCCAGTAGGCAGCTATAGGCAGCCACAAGGCGAGGATTTCATCTGACCAGGGATCTTTAGTTGCAAAAGTGTTTAATCCACTTGTCAAGAAGGTGGAGAAGCTGGATGTTGCGTTCATGGTATGCAATGTACAATGTCTCTCTACTAGGATGAATAGAGTATGCCTTTCAAGAAACTAGATGATCAAGTGAATGTTGAAAAACAAAAAAAAAATAAAAAAAAAATAAAGTGAGGAGTGAGAGGAAGAAGGGGAAACGGAAAAAAGAGAGCAAGAATCGATTGCTTGAGGGGCAAAAAAAAAATATAACAGCGAAAGAGAAGCACACGGATGGCACTTTGAAGAAGCGCAAATCAAGTCTAGGAGTTTTAATGAAACTCGATGAACCACAAACATTGCTCCATTGGGGGCTGTATATATTTGCACAACAGATAAAAAAGAAGCCTTTTTTTTCTCTTTCCGGTTTTCTATACACACAAGTAATTCAAAATGGATGACGATACTATCGAATATTTCTTTGATAATATTGAAAGCTTCTATGCTGGTAAAATGGGACAGATCACGGATTGTTTGATTTGCAATTTCAAACTTTATTCACAATGTTGTTGTCATTTAGAATTAGACGATGTGTTGAACAGGCCGTATACAACTGAAGAGGATGCAAAAAGAGTAACGACACAATACATTCGATTCCTAGTTCGATACCAACGTAAGCAACCTCGCACATATAGTCTGGTCCGCAGTGTTTAATTCCGTCATTGCAGAGGAATTTCTCAAGACTTCAGTTGAATTTGCCCAAGTGGCATACAAATTGATTGATTCCAAACTATGTCTAGACTTCAGTACAGTAGTACTAGCTCATATCTTGAACCACCACGCACTTGTATCGCAAGATAAAGCAGAACTCCTTGTCTCCTATTCTCTACTACTTTATGCAGGTAAAGACGAGCCAAGGTGGATGGATTTCATTCTGTTGGAATCAATTCACAAGAAGAGAAATCGACTGTTCTGCAAAATAATGACCGAGGTTCGTCTTGGTTTCTACAATTGCTACAAAATTTTGAGTGCTTCGTTTGCGCTTTGCTTTGAAATGTGTAAGCTGGCAAAATTGGAGAAAGAAGATCTCGGTATGTTGATAGTCTGTTTGCGTTTTATACTTGCATATGTACTCTAAACAAACATATTTTCTCTAGTGCTACTGGACACACCGACGGTAAACCACTTTTTGGATCTGGTGGAAGAGACACGTGGCGATGCTGATGAGTCTTTCAATTATGATGTCATTCGCTTGATATTAGTATTGAATGAACAGTATATGATGTCTGGAATGAGCGACAATCTTGTGCTGGATGTATTGTCTCAACGTTTTGGAACATCAGATACCTTCAGTGCGAACCTCATGTTCATGTTGAACAGGTCTAGTAAGTATTGCGATTGTTTAGGGAGCAAGCATTGAATCCCTTGCTCACATCTCCGATTCTCCGTGTGTCTAGATGATACTTGTGTTCAAATGTTGATTCTCAAATTACTCTATGGCATTTTCACAAGGGCATCTCTTTACGAATATTTTTATACCAATGATTTGTATGTGCTGGTCGACATCACATTACGAGAATTATGTGATCTAGGTGATACAAAGGAATCACAGACTGTAAGTGGTAGACATGTCTCGTACCATTCAGCATGTAGAACTCATCTTGAATTAGCTACGTGATGCTTATTTGCGAGTGTTGGAGCCACTACTAGAGAATACGCAGCTTCGATCTCGCCCTTACAAAAAGCAAGAAACGTACAAAACACTACAAAGCTTACTTAACCCTGGAATGCAGCGAAAAGTGAATTCTACCACCAAGAGATTAGTGAAGCGAATTTTAGAAAACTGGTGGGAGAAGTTGACTGGATTACAAGTGAATTGGTGCTACGACAATGGCAGTTCACCTAATCTATCGCATACGTCCACTCTATCGTCATGTTCGTCTGGCCCAACAACGCCTGCTGATGATCTTGGTGTGGATGAAATTTCGGCCGTCATGACTCGAAAAGAAGTAAATAAGAAGATCCAGCAAGATACAAAAAATCCAAATATCGTTGTTGTGTAAATAAATTAATTCATGTCACAAAATACCATCATTTACATTTACAAACCATTCGAGTGCCCCACGTCTTTACGCAATGTTGCCGATATGTGCTGCCATGTTTGCCACATTTAATGCCAATCGATCAATCAAAGAGTGCTGATGCGTGGCAAATGGGTCGATTCAAATGGTATAGCAACATTGTAGTAGATCGCATTGGATCAATAGACACGGGCACTTTATACTAGTATTCGCATTTAGACGAAAATTTCACAACGTGGATACCTATTAGATTTAAAATTTACAATAGAAGCAACCCAAAGTAGTAAGCCTAACCTATCCTATTTTTTCAGCCCGTAAGGTCCTTCTTATAAGCTTCTATCAGCATAAATGACTATCCTCATGAACATGGCAACACGTTTGCCAGCCAAAATCGTTTCGATCTCCGATCCTGTTTTTTTTTTTTCTCTTGAAATGGGAATTTATGATCCATTGGCTCCTCTACAAGAAAAAAAAAAAAAATTATGATCCATTTGCGACTTGGTTGATCTATTTTGCGAGATTCGACTATAAAAATTTGATAATCATCTCATACGTCCTTAAGCTTTGCTGGAATACTTTTCAAGGCGCATCCAATGGTACCAAGTAAGATAGATGTTTTGAAGAAACTTATTGAGCAATTTATGAAAATATGAAAAGAGGTTTCTGGCCAAAATGTCGAAATTTTACATACCAAAGTCCCACAAAGATGATTTTAAGAGTTACGTTGGATCGAGAGAAACCTTTTGATTCAAGATATACCATAGCAAAAGTCTTCGCTATCAAGGTGAAAAATGCGACCGTTTGATTTTCAATGAAAACCATGAGGGATACCTCATGCTTTTTGGTCGATTTTGGGTCATTTTTTTTTGGTTCCCAAAAAGTTGAGCAAAGGTGTCAGAAAGTAAGTGCTATTCAAGAGCAATTGTTTGGCGCTATTCTGGGGGTCCAAAGCGCCTTCTAATACGAGAAATTGCCGATCAAAGACATCCGTATTTCGCTGTAATTTGCCTATTTCTGACTAGTAAAAGACAATGTCAGTGTGTTGTCTGTCCGTATAGAAGCTGTTTTCAGTGATAGAGACATAGAGCATCGTAAAAGAGTTAAATCCATAGTTACAGGCCGTTTCTACAAGTGCCTACGTGATGACAGAGGGCCAAAAAGTGACATTTTAGCTTGTATCCGTTGAATTAATGGGCTTCAAGTGCATTGCGGTGCTAACCAGTGTATGCTCCAAGCATTGAATTTGTTTAAATACCTCACAAGAGCAAGACATGCGATCCGGTGCTTGAATGCTGATACATTTGCTGGTCTGAAAATGAACCTCCTTTCGTCCAGATATAGATACTCGTAATATAGTTACATTCAGTCGCCACTCTGTGTAGGGAAGTCTCCCCCTAAACAGTTTCTCGTCCTTCTTTTCTCCTCTCTTCTTTTTTCTTAAATTAACATAGCAAGGAATCACCATCATGGCAACCGAACAAGCAAAGAAGAAGCCACAAATACCACAGCAACCCAAGACATCGCTCTTGAGCCAAGGCTTGATTGGTTTATCATGGATTATACTGTTCTTCTTTTTGGGTTCGTACTTGATTACGGAATCATGGACTTGGGGATATCGTGGTAAATGGACCAACATCAACACTTACATTCCAGTAAGAGCAAGCGCCTGCAAGCTTTTATCCAACAACTAAACGTGTTGTATAGCGCAAAGAGATGATATTCACAGAGCAGGAATTGCTGCAATACGATGGTTCCGATCCTAAAAAGCCAATTTACTTGGCCATTGAGTAAGTTGTAGTGCGATGCAAATGTATCAGTAAACATATTAACTCTTTATAAAGTGGTGATGTATACGATGTAACTCTCGGTGGAGGATGGTATGGTAAGGGAGGTAGTTACCATCATTTCGCTGGTAAAGATGCAGCCAGAGCTTATGTGACAGGATGTTTCCAAGATCATTTAACGCACGATACCAGAGGACTCAGTGAAGAGCAATTGAAGGGCATTGCACATTGGAAAAAGTTTTATGACAGACATCACAAATATCATAAAATCGGGCGTGTCTTGCACGATCCCATTCCAGCAGATGCACCTATACCTAAACCTTGCAAATCTGCAGTTGGCCAGAAACCATAATATGGCAACACGTGAGTCAATTTGTGTAGCACTATTACTCTCGTATTTCAAGGGGAAAAAAATTGAAATATCATAAATCTTTCTTGTTTATTTTTAATCAACATTCTCTTTGTTGTTGTTGTTGTTGTTGTTGTTCTTTGTTGGTTGTTGTTGTTTTTTCTTCTTTTTTTTTATAAATATATATATATATATATATATAATATGCCCCATATGATGAATGATAATGATGATATCAGAAAGACCAGTGTTGCACCATGTGTCAATCAAAGCAACCCAAATGACAAGCTAGTTCAGCAACTATTGAAAAAGTTGGATGAGGTATTATAGGTTGAGGCAAAGAGTAGCACTGTGTAGACTCATCTCCTATTTTTTTTGCACTTAGGGTTCAGAAACAATACTAAATTTACGTTCGCTCTTGACCTTGAAAACTGTGGAACTAAACGAGCTAGTACATCAATTGGAGCTGATTGACCAAGTCCTGATGAATGTGGAAAATGGCACAGAGCAGATTGAAATTGTACTCAAAGACGTGCTAGTCAGCAAAAACCAGCAAGACAAACTACTGAACGCTGAAGCAACACTAGATTCTGCAATCAAGACTGCCTGCAGCCTTTACTCCATAGATTTATACTCGGTAAACAACAAACAGCCTTCTCCTATAAAAACCACGTCTATGCTCAAGAAGATCGCCGGCATCTTGAGCGAACTTGATATCGAATCCACCATTGATTTGTATAAAAATGGCAAGTATTTTGCATAATATATCAAAGCACATCAAGTAACTAAATTATCGCATTGAAATCAGATGATATCAAGGTGCTACAAAAGGCGTATATGGATCTCGATTTAGCAAAAACCATTGCTACGTCCATAAAAACTGACTTTAAACACAGAAGCACATTGATGAAAAAGAAGCACACTTCAGTATCATCAATGGACAAGATCAAACAGGTACAATTTGCTTATAATTTACATCGAGCCGATATTAAAACAGAGCAATTAGCTTGGTAGCAGCATACGAAAGCAATTTGCAGTCTATCAATCGTATACTAGAAATGCGCCTCTCATCATGTATGGCAAAGAGGACATCATTACTATATTAGACCGCGAGGACCATATTATAGCCTCAAGAAAAATGGTATTGTATTATGCTGGCAGCATCGCATAGTGTAAGCACTCATGTATCACGCTATGGATAGGTGCATACTACACCCAACAATCAACAACAACAATCAACAGAGAAACCCGCACGTATGCATTGCTCCTCCACAAACACACCCAAAAAACGTCAATCGTCCGCATCTTCATCATCACCCATCAAACTAAGATCAAAGTCGACTACCAACACTACGGCGACTACTACCACTACAGCTAAATCCACTTTGCAGATGATATCGAGACCAACACTCACCTTTATGGCTAAATGCAAAGAGAAAAGAGCAGTGAATAATGGGCCTGGTTCAACATTGAGATTGCGTAATATGCTAGCCAAACGAAATCCAGCGTTGAAAATGATCAATGAACAAATGATGATAGGTAGCACAGTGTGCTAGGTTACGACTTAGGCATTTGGCACTACCATTTTGCAATTCATCGCATCATCCCTTTTCCCTCCTTTTATCTACTCGTTTCTTTTTTTTTTCTTTTTTTCTTTTTTTTTCCAATTGTTGCTGATATATAGCACTCCTTTTTCAAGACATCTAGCATATATATTTACTGTAACAACCAATTCCTCTTTTTTTCTCTTTCCTTTTTTTTTTTGTTTTTGTTCTTTGAGGACACTTTTGAATCATTAAAGAAACATGCCTACAACAACAAAAAGTGTTACAAATGCCAGTAAATTGGATAATGAATCTACAGTTCGAAAATCTCGATCTGAATTGACTTCAAAGCAACATTTGAACAACAATAATAAGCAAATTCTATCCAACAAACGACGATCATTAGGCTCCAATTCGATTAAATCCACACAAACTGCAGTCAATCATCAGGTAATCCTGCAATTTGTTTCCTTGCTGCTGCTATAGTCATGCTAAATTGCCTTGCTAGCCGAAAACACATTGGAGATCGCCTGGCCACTGCGAGATACCAAATATTCTAGGAAATGCTTATTTAGAGCCATTTACGATATCTGATCGACAATTGAATCATATCAATCAATTAACCCACCATCAGCATCAACATCAACATCAACATCACCAACAGCATGAAAGTGGTCCTAAAAGGGTATGTTGAAATCTGTTTATTAAAAAAGAAGGGGAGTTGCTTCTAAACAGGATAAAATATAAAGCCTCCTTGGGTTCCTGCCTATAACTGGACACCTTCTCCACTACCACCCGTCATTCGAACCGATGAAACTGCATTTGAAAAAAGACTGAAAAAGGCCTTGCCAAAGATCCATTTAGTTACCATGCCAAAAGCAAGATATGTTGGCGCAAAAGAAATTGGCACAGGGTAATTACAGAATGTCAATAAGGATCGTTCATGCGCTAATCACTAGATATAGTGTCAATGGGGCTGTGGTTCAGGTACAAGTGAAAAATTCAAATAACAATCAGCCCTCCAAGTTAGCATTGAAACGTTGTAAATTGGACAGTGATCGAGAGTATCGCACTGCCATAGTGCGTGAACTTCGTATTATGTCCAGTGGTCATTTCAATCTAATCAAGCTTCGCGAGGCTTCTGTTTTTAGAAATGAAGTCTGGATTGCTATGGATCTAATGAGATGCAGTGTGTTTGCTGTACTATGTGCAAGAGGTTTACCTGAAGATTGTGCCATTTACATTGCTCGCGAAGTAAGTGCTGTGTATTGTTTGCATGTATTTACTATATTAAATTCGTGCCAATAGACACTCAATGCATTAAGCTTTTTGCATTCAAAAGGCTTCATTCATCGTGATGTAAAATGTGAAAATTTGCTTGTGGGCCATAATGGAGAAATCAAGCTAGGTGAGAGAGATTAGTTTTACCATTGTCTTGAAAAGGTTACCAACAACTGTACAGCTGATTTTGGACTAGCTACAAGCACAAAGCATGTCAATCGGGAACGATTAGGTACAGCCAAGGTAAATGAAAAATCAATTGGCATTTGCATGGAATTCATGGGCTAAATGATCATGTAAACATTACAGTGGATGGCCCCTGAAGTCATCAGAGAAAATGCCTATGATGAAAAGGTCGATTTATGGTCTTTGGGAATTACTTTAATTGAGATGATGGATCGTGTGCCTCCTCATTACAATATAAAGAATGATGAAAAGGTCTTTAGCAAGATTTTGGAGGATCCCAGTCCAACATTCACTTATTCCTATCCTACCATCTATTGCACTGGACTAGTTGCATGGCTACTAGAAGACGATCCAGCCAATCGCCCCACAGCTAAAGATGTCATTACTGAATTGGACTTACATCTTGAGCAAGGCTTGTTAAAGACCACAACTGCTCAAGAACTGAGCAATTTTATAGTCAAGACATTGAAACCATAAAATTTACCCTGCCATATATCATTATTTATTATAATTAAAGTCTTCTTAATGCTTTCTTTTTATCGTTCTTTTTGATTTTGGGCTTTTTGCTTTGTGGTTGCTCTTCCTTCATATTTTCTTGTTGCTCTTGTGGTCGTTTTTTATTTGAGATAATAGGGGATACAGGAGATGTGTTTGATAATGGTTTCAGTACGCTGCTCGATGAATCTTGAGCCAATGCCATGTATTCACTCTTCCCAGATGTTGCTTGAATAGATGTATATAACTTGGCTCTCTTTGCGTAATCCTCATAGTGCTCCAACAATAATTTGCCTGCCTCTTCGTTCAATGCGGACTCAGGATTAGGCACAATCAGTAAGCACTTGATTGTCTATATACTACATAAGTACCCATTCATCCGCAAATCACCCACTAAATCTTACCAGCAGCACATGCTCAATGCCTAGCTTTGATTTCCAATCCTTCTTGAGCGTATTTACGCAAATCTCTCCTTTTTCAGATACATTGGGATGGAAAATCTTGGTCAAAAAATAGCCTTTTGGTGGAGTGTCAGGGAAACTTTCATCCATCTGCAACTTTACTTTAAAATAGCCCCCTTCATATGGCGTTCCATCTAATGACATCCATAAATCAATCTCGTGTCATGTCCCTTTGTTTGCCATGCTTGATCGTACCTGGTCCTCGAATCCAAGCCTGAACCTGGGTAAGATTCTCATCGTCAACAATCACCTGAATGTCTTCTGGCGGTGATGTTTGCAATTGTTGCAGTTCCTTCACGACACGTTTGATCGCTTTGGATGACAATGTTGCAGCAGTCATTTCGAGGAGTTTTCCAGGAAAGAAGTGAAAGGTGGAGGAGGCCGAGAGACTTACTGTTGAGCAAAAACGTCACGGATAATGTAAGAACTGAGCCAATATATCTAAATCAGTGAGGAGCCTCGATATGACCGTTCATGCAAGAGGATATACAAACAATGCACTTATACTTGTAAACAACAGTGACAAAAATGTATAAGACGAACGAAACTTAATTTATATTTCTTGCTCTTTCTGATCTTTGAAACTATATTCCAATGAAGTTGATTAGTAGCTGTTTGTCAGCGTTTATATTTACAGCCGCTATCAGTGCAATCGCAATTGACCCGGAGGATGGTATAATGTGGATTTTTTGATAAGCCAAGGTGTCACATATTAACATGGCTACTACTGACAGCTGCATCATTGGAGGAATCAGCATCGCTAGTCTGTCCAGATTATCAATTGAGGTGTCCAGAGTGCCTTGATGGTCAAGCATGTGTGTATCCAGACAGTGGAGGGTGTTCAGGTGCTGGTATTCCTGTGTGCCAGGCGATTGATTGTCATGGTATAATGTGTCTGACAAAGCGACTTCCTTGGTATATAGTATAGCTTTGAGCAATTGGATCGAGACACTAATCAATGACACGTAGTCCTCATGAATGCCCATTCTCATGTCGTTACAACGGCCCATCTTGCTGCCCGTTTCTAGGACAACCTGTGTGCGAACCTCCGTGTCAAACATTTGCTCCTTGTAAAGTGACACCATGTCCAGCAGAATGCCCTGACAGTTGTCAGTACCCAGATGCAGATTACTGCTGTCCTAAAAGCGGTACAGCAGTTTGCAACAGCAATGCATTCGACAAACGTGCATTAGGATATCTGAGTGGTGGTCTTCCAGAGGGTGTCGAATTATACGCTGGAAACATGCCTGCTGCTGGCATGGATGATGATGATGATAATATCTGGGGTTATCAAAGCTTTGGATTAGGTGTTCAGGCATATCAGGATTTTCCACGAGAAGAATATCTCCACCAACACCATCATGATCATGCTTATTACCATGGCGATGGTAATTATGGTCATAAGACAAAAGGCGGATGTCCCACCTGCGCAAAAACCGTGACAGATGTGAGTGTCCAGCTAGAGTTTGTCACGACCACCCGAGAGCCTGGAAAGCCTATTGAATGTGGTCATTATATTGAGCCTTGGTAAGTCTATCAGGTAAACAAGCTAATCATAGTCAAGACCTAAAGTTATTCAGTCCTTATGAATGTCCATTCAATTGTATATATCCCATGAATGAGCCTTGCCCGTTCATGCAGAAGCCGTGGTGTCCTAGCATATTGGATCAGACAGCCCTGCCAGAGGAAGATTGCGACACTATATACAACACGGAAGGATACCCATATCCTTATTTCCCAAGTTATGATCCTTATTACGAAATCTTTACTTCAATATTGAATCGATCGGGTGTCACATCAACGCCTTCCTTTGTAACAGACCAGCCTACAGAGGCGCCTGCAGTATTCTGTCCTTTAATCTTCATTATGTGGTGAGTCTACAGTATGGCCTAACTAAAAATTTCAAAATACCTTATATCATTCATATCTTAGTCCTAAAGAATGCCCTGACACTTGCCTCAGGCAAAACGTACTATGCTCATTCACCCACGAAGGATACTGCCCTGGCAATGAGCCACCTGCATTGCCATCATCCGAGTGAGTAAATAACTTCAGGTTACATATGATTACATTAATACGTAAATAGAGCTTCACAAGAAGTAACGACTCCAGGCGAAACCACACTCTCTGATGGAGCTATTATATGCCCTCCGTACATGCTAGCATGGTAGTTTATATTTTCTCCTTGATTTTTATGTCTTGACACTGAGAACCTCTCCCGTTTTTTCTAGTCCTTACTGTCCTAACGGATACTCGTGTATAAGAGAAACCACTGGATACTGTCCTAATACCAACGTGCCTTACTGCTTCTCAACAGCAACTGCTGAACCTGTAGTCATTCCAACAGCTGCACCTCTATTTGAGTTCTATCCTGAACCCTATCCTCCTCAACCGACACATTGGAGAGGTTGGGAGCAATTTGATAATCTACCAGAGGACTTGATATACCACGCCATGAGCCTCTTTAGCCGCAGCAGCAGTGGCGATGATGATGTTAGTGCATCTACATCTAATTTCTATACCCCTGAACAACTAAAATACTACGTGAAGGAGGAGGAGGAGAATCAAGATATCTGTCTAAGAAATGGCTTTATCCGAATTGCGTCAAAGCAGATTTTTGATCAAGTGCAATCATCGCGGTATGGTTGCGAAGGCTGTCCAGAGTTGAAGTGGGATGGTGCATGCGATAATATATGCGTTTTCCGTACAGAGAAGGATTGTTGTATTCAATCAACTTGTGTATCGAAAGAATAAAAAGGAGACAGTAACTGTTGAGGAGGATAATGATGTATGATAAAAAAGCGCTAGGATTATAAGGGCATTGAATAAATCCAATTAAACATATTTCAATCAAAACCTTTTTTCCTCTTTCTTTCCTCTTTCTATAAATTTCCCTATAGCATGTACAGCTTAAACCTTCTCTCCATCTCAACTCTTGTCTCGCTCTTGATTTTTACTTCTAGCTCCTTTCAGCAAGAATTGGATGAAGTGGTATACCAAAACTGTCGCAATCGCTACCAACCTCACCCAGCCATGTGCAACAAGTTTGATTTCATGTCAAGCGAAGAGGTAATGCTGAATGATCTGAAGTGTTCATATTTAATAATATGATGAATCAGGCTGTGAAAAAGGGCTGTATTGTTCCTAAAAATGGCACAACATTCTATGACTTGAATGATCTGCCTCAGGTTACTGAAATGAATGTGAATACGATCAAGATGGCTAGCTTGATTACAAATGTATTTGAAGATGGCGATTCCAATTTCGCATTTGCGTAAGTTTTCTTTTCCCCGTTGCTTATTTAACTGCATGGTTTGACTAATGTATCGAGACAGTTCATGCTCAGATATCCACGATCTAAGAGGGTTTACCAGTGGTTACGCAGGGTTCACTGTATGTATGCCATTTCTGTTTCTATCATCTGGCTCCTTACACTGCATATCTATTTAGACTGGCACAGGAGATTCAGAAACTTTGATTCAATTATTCTCTCAAAACTACCCAAATAATCGACTTGAACGATTCTTGCCCAGGTGCCATGAAATCAGTAGCCTACCTCATTGCGATCGTCAAAGCCGTGGTACAACACAAGGCTTGGAGCAATTCTGCACAGCATGGAAAGAAGAGGCTTGCGATGTTAGTGGAGCATTTGCCAAAATGCAACGCCAATGGGTGTTTGAACACTACATGATCCCTAGCGCAAGATACGCTGCTCAGAATGGCGTTACATCTGCGTTGGGGCAAGCTATATTCTATGGTATATTTGCATCATCCAATGCCAATTGCCAGTTGTACTAAAGAACTTATTACTAGATACAATCATTCAACACGGGTTCCAATATGTTGAGCCCGACATTAATATTGTTAGAGTCTTGACATTGACAGGTCCAAGAATGAGATTAGAGAGTGAAAAAGACTATTTGACAAGATTTATCACAACTCGAAGAGAGCTTCAATGTTGTTATCCGTAAGTGATCTACTGTTTGCATCGCTACATTTGACCATCTTATCTGATATTATTTTGCAGTGATAAAGTGTGGCCAGCAAGCGCTAGTCGCAGTGCAGATTTCCAAAGTTTAATTGATGATTTTGAAAAATACAAAAATCTGGATGTTCCTGTTCCCCTTATCAAGTTTGGGAGAGAAATTACAGGGAACGAGAATTTAGAAAGAGATGAAAAACATTGCAAGTAATGCTAGTGCTTTAATAAAAAGTTTAACTAAAGATTTCATCGCAAACTAAGAGACGAAGCACTACCACAGCTCAAAAAGGTTGACAAGCACGTGACACTAAAGAAAAATTGGGTAATTATATAAATTACATTGATTTTATAAATTGATAAACCAGTACGTTGTTGAGGTAGCAAAAATGAGGGAGCAGATGAGTAGATTCAGATCAATAAACCTGGGAGATGACAACCAATTAATCTCTGTTCAATTGTAGCACCTTGGCCGACTGAAAAAACCAACTTACAATAACAGGTACCAAAAAATGATGTGTCAAATGTAGATTTAGAGAAAAGACTTTGAAGGGTGTTCGAAATAAAGTATTTCTTAGTAAAGATGATATGTTCATTTATTCAAAACTTCAAGATTATTTATAGCTTTCCAATTCCTGTATCGTTGTAACTTCATTGCTTCTTGTTCAATTCCAAAGGTTGCCCATGAAATCTCTTCGCGTGTTGTTTATTCCAGTGTCGATGTGGATGTGGGAATAATGATTCATCTTGACATGCGTTGCCAAGTGTCTAGTTTGGCGTGAGAGTCTTGATCCATGTCTTACTTATCTTGTTTTTCAGTTAGTGCTTGGTTTTGATGGGTGTGAGTATTGATTTTTGAAGTGATTGCTTGTTTGATTTGTATAAATATTGATGTTTGATAGATAAGGCCAAATTGTTGAGAAGATGAGAGCCTTTTAAATGTGTTGCTAATTATAAGTTTGGTGGTTTTACATTGTTTTCCTTATGTGATGCTTTTGGTGTCATAAAATGTGTATACTGGTAATCTCTATGCGTGGACCTAAACTATCCCCACACATTTCACATGAATTCCTCTAATTGAAGATAGGTTGATAATCTCAAATACATCCACCAAATACTGATGCAATCATGTCGTATGTTCTTGATGATTCCACATCCATACTTGAATAAACCTTCATTGATTTGCCTGCACCAGCTATTTGCCTTGTATTGATCATCCTCCCTCATCTCGAATTACTGTAACTCAACAATCTCAGAATGATGCCTATACATACTCATGTAGTGAACTTAGCTACGCACGTGAACAGAAAGCACAAGTAAAATTAACAACCTATAGGAAGCAACACAATTATCAAAATATAACATGGTTTCATAGTGTAATGGTTATCATATCGGTCTTTGAATCCGGTGATCCGAGTTCGATTCTCGGTGAGACCTTTTTTTTTCGACGCAAATTTGAAGTGCATGTAGTATTCTTTGGTTCTGCAATAATCGTAACAAAATGTTTTGAGTAGTGTGAACCGCTTTGACATCACAACTTTAATTCTATTAATTCTGTACGTCTATCGTAGAATATCATATTTTTGTACAATTTTAGGTCATGTTTTCTCCATTATCATAATCTTAACTTAATAATTTGTCCTCGGATTATTAATTAACAACAAGACCGTGTATCATATCAAATATCAGGTGAACAATGTACGCCAGAGGCTTGAAACAAATACCATTGTATTCTCCTTTGAATTCTCTACAAGTTTCATATAAGTTTGAAGGGATGTTTACTATCAGGAAACGCGTAATTTTAATGTTGATAGATTTCGGAATCCCATGGATCATCATTCAGAATACTAGAAATTGAAGCTCCGTTGACCTTCCGCATGTGTACACCTCACAAGTGTGCATTTGACCAAGCATTTTAAAAATCGGAGCGTACGAAAAGGGCCATATTAACTTGCTATTTTCAAGTTATCAATAGATACTTGACATGTTGGAGAATCTTGCTTTTAAGACGAGAGAGTTGTACCTTGCTTTGTTCGATTATAATAAGTCTTCCAATTTAAAGTATGTATATTCCCCCGCTTAAAAATAGCATCTCCAATGTCGATTAACTCATGAAGTGGGCATTTCCAGTATAATGTTCCCACTTAAAAGCTGCTCCAATATCACTATTCTACAACATATTTCAGTTTTATATGATTCTAATTTTTTTTACCTATGAGGATCTGGATGTACAAAATGTTTTTTAATTTTGAGGTTTTCAACTTTTGGACGATCGAAAATCAATTTTCTAAATATTGATGCTAGAGCCTTGAGACTAGCATGTTTCTATACCAGTTTTTTGCCCTCTAAGCGATGGTGCAATTGAAATTTGCGTAGGTAGCATGGTTGTTGAGAAAAGAAAGATTTTAGAAAATAGTTCATTTTGAATAGATGCTGCTAGTAAAACTTTTTAAATTACTATATGAATGTGTAATGTATGTTTAGTAGAAGTTGTAGAAAATACTTTGATTGACTAGGACATGTTTGATGTGGAGTTATTGAGGGAGATGTCAATGGGTAATGATGGAAAATGTTCAAAATGACCGATTTTCAAAGGGCCATACCTCTGGATTCTACTAAGTGAACGAGAACTTCAAACTTAATAACATCTGTTTCTTTTTCAATTCTCTATACGATGGTATGATTATTATTGATAAATAAAAAAAAAGTTGATTATCCCCTGCTTGTAGCTCATAAAATATATGATTTTGAGCAAATTTATGAAGGGAACATACACCTGGTACTTGAGACCCCTATATTATAATAGATATAACATAAAGCTATCGAATGGTTTTTGTTTTGTGCAAATCCAGTGAGTATTTGTCGAGATATGGTCAAAAAAAGGGTATCATGCAAAATCATGGATTTTTGTTCAAAATCTACGTGTGATAGCAAGCAAAAAATCCGGTGACGATTTTTTGGTCAGGACAATATTTTCAATATTTCATGATAGAGTCATGCCAGAGCTTCAAGCAATAGCTCATTTGATAGCAAATTTTGTGGTCTACAATGTGTAGTAATGCTTAACAAAATGTTTTGATGACAGATACTGATTAATCTTTAGAAAACAGTCAAAAAATCGCAAAAACAATCGCATCAAATATCAGGCGAACAATGTACGCCAGAGGCTTGAAACAAATACCATTGTATTCTCCTTTGAATTCTCTACAAGTTTCATATAAGTTTGAAGGGATGTTTACTATCAGGAAACGCGTAATTTTAATGTTGATAGATTTCGGAATCCCATGGATCATCATTCAGAATACTAGAAATTGAAGCTCCGTTGACCTTCCGCATGTGTACACCTCACAAGTGTGCATTTGACCAAGCATTTTAAAAATCGGAGCGTACGAAAAGGGCCATATTAACTTGCTATTTTCAAGTTATCAATAGATACTTGACATGTTGGAGAATCTTGCTTTTAAGACGAGAGAGTTGTACCTTGCTTTGTTCGATTATAATAAGTCTTCCAATTTAAAGTATGTATATTCCCCCGCTTAAAAATAGCATCTCCAATGTCGATTAACTCATGAAGTGGGCATTTCCAGTATAATGTTCCCACTTAAAAGCTGCTCCAATATCACTATTCTACAACATATTTCAGTTTTATATGATTCTAATTTTTTTTACCTATGAGGATCTGGATGTACAAAATGTTTTTTAATTTTGAGGTTTTCAACTTTTGGACGATCGAAAATCAATTTTCTAAATATTGATGCTAGAGCCTTGAGACTAGCATGTTTCTATACCAGTTTTTTGCCCTCTAAGCGATGGTGCAATTGAAATTTGCGTAGGTAGCATGGTTGTTGAGAAAAGAAAGATTTTAGAAAATAGTTCATTTTGAATAGATGCTGCTAGTAAAACTTTTTAAATTACTATATGAATGTGTAATGTATGTTTAGTAGAAGTTGTAGAAAATACTTTGATTGACTAGGACATGTTTGATGTGGAGTTATTGAGGGAGATGTCAATGGGTAATGATGGAAAATGTTCAAAATGACCGATTTTCAAAGGGCCATACCTCTGGATTCTACTAAGTGAACGAGAACTTCAAACTTAATAACATCTGTTTCTTTTTCAATTCTCTATACGATGGTATGATTATTATTGATAAATAAAAAAAAAGTTGATTATCCCCTGCTTGTAGCTCATAAAATATATGATTTTGAGCAAATTTATGAAGGGAACATACACCTGGTACTTGAGACCCCTATATTATAATAGATATAACATAAAGCTATCGAATGGTTTTTGTTTTGTGCAAATCCAGTGAGTATTTGTCGAGATATGGTCAAAAAAAGGGTATCATGCAAAATCATGGATTTTTGTTCAAAATCTACGTGTGATAGCAAGCAAAAAATCCGGTGACGATTTTTTGGTCAGGACAATATTTTCAATATTTCATGATAGAGTCATGCCAGAGCTTCAAGCAATAGCTCATTTGATAGCAAATTTTGTGGTCTACAATGTGTAGTAATGCTTAACAAAATGTTTTGATGACAGATACTGATTAATCTTTAGAAAACAGTCAAAAAATCGCAAAAACAATCGCATCAAATATCAGGCGAACAATGTACGCCAGAGGCTTGAAACAAATACCATTGTATTCTCCTTTGAATTCTCTACAAGTTTCATATAAGTTTGAAGGGATGTTTACTATCAGGAAACGCGTAATTTTAATGTTGATAGATTTCGGAATCCCATGGATCATCATTCAGAATACTAGAAATTGAAGCTCCGTTGACCTTCCGCATGTGTACACCTCACAAGTGTGCATTTGACCAAGCATTTTAAAAATCGGAGCGTACGAAAAGGGCCATATTAACTTGCTATTTTCAAGTTATCAATAGATACTTGACATGTTGGAGAATCTTGCTTTTAAGACGAGAGAGTTGTACCTTGCTTTGTTCGATTATAATAAGTCTTCCAATTTAAAGTATGTATATTCCCCCGCTTAAAAATAGCATCTCCAATGTCGATTAACTCATGAAGTGGGCATTTCCAGTATAATGTTCCCACTTAAAAGCTGCTCCAATATCACTATTCTACAACATATTTCAGTTTTATATGATTCTAATTTTTTTTACCTATGAGGATCTGGATGTACAAAATGTTTTTTAATTTTGAGGTTTTCAACTTTTGGACGATCGAAAATCAATTTTCTAAATATTGATG